TCCTTCAACAATGTCGTCCTCTGAAACAAATTCCCAAAAATAGTAGTTACAACAACACGGATAAGTAATTATCCGTGATATTTTTTAAAAGAAAATCGTCAGCTACAGGGTTCGAACCTGTGCGGGCGGAGCCCATTAGATTTCAAGTCTAACTCCTTAACCACTCGGACAAACTGACACGCTTCTTTCGTGTTTGTAATTGTTACATGAACTTTTGTCAGGCTAAACAATCATCCGTATACACTTCTTGAAAGAAAACCTATCAATCCATTATCCGCAACATACATCCATCAACAACAAACACCAATCCACTCACCCCATTTCCTTTGGACCAAAACTCATCGAGTACCCCACTTTTGAACATTCAAGAAAAACCTAAAGACAGCAACAAGACCAGTAACCAGGAACCCACTTCCGCCCAACCCACCGCCCCCGCCACTCCTAAGCGCACCCTCTCCGACCGTTCTCCTCAACTCTCCCCCGCCGATCACCTCAACCGGCCTACCAGCAAGCCTAAACTGCACAACCTGCAGTACCTCATGAATCCCACTCCCAACACCGACTTTGGGCCTGTTACCCACCCTTCCTTCTCTGCCAACGCCCTCGTAGTCAATCAGCCACTTGATTTTGGACTACCCTCCAACGTCCCTGAATGGTTCCAGCCTATCCAGGCAACGATCTTTAACCGGTTCGCCCACATTGAATCGCTCATACAAGAGAACCAACAACTTCGCACTGCTTTGGATGCAGCCAATCAACGTATCAAAGCACTGGAGGCTAACCAGTTCCCCCTACCCACTTCCACCACCCCACCAGCACCCACTACTCCTAAGTCCAGCGATTCCAGCGCGTCTAAATACGCCACTACCACACCTCCAACTGCTTCTACCAATTCCTTACCCAAAGCCTCTCCTGTATCCTTTGCCTCAGTTGCTGCTAAGAACAAGGACACTAAACCCAAGATTACCAAGACTATGTCCCACAAGCAAAAGTCCATGATATCCAGACACAAGATCCAAGTGATCGCTCGCTCCTTCACTCCCGTGTCTGAAACCGCTGGTTATCAGTACATTTACCTCCCTCGTCGATACCGTGAACCCATCTCCAGCATCCGTACCAAGCTTCGTTCCCTACGTATCGATAACGCTCGTATCCTGGATGTCTTTTATCCTACTCGTCGCGTTGTTGGCCTTCTACTTCACAACGACTACGTCCCCACAGTTCTCGACATCCTCACCAAAGCTGGAATCATACCATTGTCAGACTTCAACCCCAGAGACGAAGCCCGCCTTTGCGACCCTAAGCATGCCCAACTGCCACCTGCCGAACGTACAGCCATGATCACTACCATTCATACTACACACCTTCTTCGCACCTTGAAACGTATTCGTTCCGACGTCCGCCCTGCTGTTCTAAGAGCCTTCATCGAATGCAACTGGCTCACAGCTACACAATATGATGATTACATCAATGAACTAGCAGCCAGCAACAACAGTTAACCCCCCACATTTGTCGATACAGAAATGTCTGATATCCCTACAGCATCACCCTCAACACTCGCACCCCCCTCCCCTACTGGTGATGGTCAACCAGCCGAAGACCAATTATGAGTAATTTAAACAATATACATACTGATACTAACATATACCCCCCTCACACTCTTTCTACTAACAATTTACTAACTATCACTCAATGGGACTCCAATGATTGTGCACGACACACTATTGAGGCCGTTACCAACTCCATTCTCTCAACACATCTCCTATTCCTTACAGAAACCTGGCTCCTCTCCCCTCTCCGATTCCTCACCAACTGGCAGCAATTTCATACCTACGCTGTCCCAGTAGACAACACATACCGAGGTGAAATGGGTATCAGTTTACTCGTACATCCTGATTGCCCACATCCTGTTATTCACTTCCCCTCCACATCACCATACGTCCTATCCTGCCAGGTATCAAATTTACTCATTCACTGTGTGTACCTTCCACCTGCACTCCCAGATGCGGAAGCTATCGCAGCTCTTCAACAATTACCTACACAAACGCACCCTTCCCAAGCGAACACAATCATCTGCGGTGATTTCAATGCACGTCATTCAGCTCTTCTTGGTGACTCGCGAACTACCCAAAGGGGCGCAGCCTTCTATAATTGGATGGTTGAAAATGGTTTGCATTGCTGGAATTCAGAACTAACCTTTGGTATACCCACTTATAACTCACATTCTAGAATTAATCAACGTACAGGTATACATTTCCAGAGTATCATTGATCTCTTTCTTAGCACAGATGAACTTTTGAATCCCACTCTCATTGTACATGAAGATCTCGCTCTCGGATCAGATCATAGTCCACTCACTCTTTCTTGCTCTGTGCCTCCCGCGCCTCCTGCTCCCGGTCACCCTCGCCTTTTGTGGCATCTCAGTCGCTTCCAAGAACAAGATTGCCCTTACGAGGAAAAGATTAGTACAAAGGTTGCACCCTTCAAAACACTTCTCCTTGACTACGTTGCTGAGGATGGTAAGTATACAGATACCGCTCCTAACATTGACGATCTAGCCGCTGTATTCAATGATATTATCCACTCTTGCTTGGATGATTCTGTTGGCAGAAGGAGCCCACGTCCTCGTCATCACTCCTGGTTCTGGACCTCTGACTTGCAAGATGCTTTTGATCGCAGAGAAGTCTGCCGACGAGCCTGGAAACGCGCTCCTGACCTGGATAAAGTTCCCAAATGGAACACCTACCTCTCAGCCTGTGCCCAGTACAAATCTGCCCTTCGTCGTCGTCGACGAGCTACTTGGTATCAATTCTGCAAGAAATTGTCGAATGGACCACTTGCTGACACCACTTCCATTGTACGTCGCATTCGTCGTAACCGGACTGCCACTCCCCAGTTCTCACAGCCCGAGGGACCACATGTTGCTGCCGATGTAATGGCTCGTCACCTGCAAAACGTATTCTCAGGTGCTACACTACCCACTACTAGGCTCACTGCTCCACATATCCCACAAGGTCCTCATCCAGTTACTCCTGATGTCTGTCCCATTACTGAGTACAGTACGTTATGCCTTGTTGCGTCGTTTGTCTCGACGTAAAGCTCCTGGGGCTGACCATCTACGTACCGAGATGCTATTACCAATAACCGAAGTCATTGTCCCAGTGATTACTCTTTTGTTTCAACTTTGTTGGAAATGGTCTTGCGTCCCTCGCTTGTGGTGCACTGCCCAGGTAGTCCCCATCTACAAAACAGGCGATACATTAGATCCAGGTAACTACAGGCCCATATCACTAACCTCCATTATGCGCAAGCTCCTTGAGCTTTGCCTTCAGTCAGAACTTGAGAATACAGCTCCTACACTTGATCCTGTACAAGATGGATTCAGACGTCAACGAAGCGCTCTAGATCAAACATTGTATCTACAAGAAATCTGTCGACAGCACCGCCTCGATCATTACAATGAACCTCCAGTTTTAGCCTTTCTTGATATCAAGTCAGCTTATGATACTGTTGATCGATCTATCATCTGGCGTGCATTGGAGACCCGCGTTTCTGATCCTATGCTTGGTCTTCTGCAATGTCTTTTTGACAAGGTAAGTATTGAGGTACTCATCGGTGGACATTCATCTGCTACCTTCTGGCCTCGCACTGGCGTTCTTCAAGGATCGATCCTTTCTCCTTTTTTATATTCCATCTATATCAATAATCTTCCTATACTGTTGCGTGAAGTACTAATGCCAGTCTCTTCTCGTATGTATAGTGTTATGCCTCGCCGTGAATATGAAGGTCTTTGGATCAATTGTCTCCTTTATGCTGATGACGTTGTTCTCATTGCTGCACCAGAGGTCATGCCTCGACTGCTCAAGAAGGCAGAAGAACACTCCGTTTCCCTTGGGTACCGCTGGAATCCAGCAAAATGCGTTGTACTCAACTGTCCCAGCATCCATGGTGCTCGTCGGCTGCAGCTGTATGGGTCTCCAATTCCCAAGGCTGGCTCTTTTGCATACCTCAGCGTACCTTTTGATACCCAAGGTCGTATCGCCACTGATCTCCTTATCCGCCGCAACACTGCTTCTGCCATTACCGCCATGCGAAGAACACTCCTGCCCATTGGATTACGTGCTTCCAACTTCTCCCGTCTCACTGCTAGTCGTCTATATGCAACGTTCATTAGACCTAAATTTGAATATGGTCTCTGTCTCTGCACCTTCCTCGTTCGCCAAATGAACCTTTTAGAACGCGCCCAAGATCAATGTCTACGAATGGCATTTGGTGGCCATACTACCTCGTCCACTGGAGTGTTTAAGCATCTAACCAACCTCCCGCACATGATTGAAAGAACCAATATACTAACGTTCAAATTCATCATCCGTGTCCACTTCTTGCCTGAAGATGCACTTCTCTCTGTTATCCTTCGTTTTGTAAATGCCCCCGCTCCTCACACTCGTTTCAGGCGGCCCACCCCCGCGCCAAGAACGCTATATGGCCCCAACCTCTCTCCATGGTTGACTCTACCTCCCTAGAAGATCGCCTCACTCATCTTATCTCGTCGCCTAACGTCCGAAAAAGCATTCTCACTTATAGGACTCAGATACTCACATCTAGGCGTCAACAACCAAAGCCTCCTGTTCTCCTAGTGGCATGCCGCCCCCATCTAGGTATTGACCCCATCCTCACCTTACCTATGAGTATCTATACCAGAAGTCGTCTTATTCGCTGGCGAATGGGTTGGCTTCCTGGTCGCCCAAAACCCTGCCGCTGTGGACACCCACATGCATCAAGAAGGCATCTTCTAAATTGCCTGCGTGTGGCCTCTCGTCTCAACGTTGCATTACACACTCGACCAGCTCCATTGGCCTACGTCCTCAACCAGCTGCCTCGTAAGCTCCCCGCTTCTCATTCTCCTCCCTTGTTTGTTCGTTGGTCTGCCTGGTGGCCGGTAGTATGTCAAGTACTCTTTGAGATTGAACAAATCTATCAACCAGATGAGGAATTCTCAAGTGCTGCCTCTGACGTCTCCGGCTCATTACTTTTAGACAAGTTAAAACCTCCCCCTCCTGTTGACGCTGCCCTAGTTGCCACTGGCTCTCTAAAGTCAACACCGTAACTTATTTTTCAATATAACAAAAAAAAAAAAGTAAAAAAGCGGGAAAAAACCAGTAAAACCAGTAAAAATACTTTACCCATGTCTAGTGACACAAATACCAAAAAAAAGGAAACAAAATAGAAAATATCAAAAACATATTATTACTTATCGCTTTATATATTATCTTTATTCGCTGCTACTAACATCTTCCATATAGATTTAACAAGTTCATAACCTGCACACTCTGTTGTCCCATTGCCTCTATCCCCCCTATATAGACTGGCATTTCACATATCTCTGCGTACTATCGCCACACCTGACTCTTCTGTTGGTACACAAGAAATAATCTCATCCAAATGATTATTTCTCTCAAACCCACCTTCTTTTCTCTCCACTCATTCACTGAGTTTGTTTTTATCCATTCACACAATGATCGACACATTGATTCCCAGATTCATGCAGATCTTCACACCTTTTTCAGTCTTTACTGTTTTTTATTACACACCTTTATATTTGCGCTTTTAAGGCGAGGCAATATGCCCACATCGGTCCTGCCTCCTATGCCTTTAATAATAAAGAAAATCCTTTATCTCGGACAAATTGACGACACTTCTTTCGTGTTTGTGATCGTTACACCAACTTTTATTCGGCTAAACAATCATCCCTATACACTGCTTGAAAGAAAACCTATCAATCCGTCATTAGTTCGATCAATCTATCAACATACAACATTAATCCACCTACTGCAACTTCTTTAACACAAAATACATCAAATAATCCAGTTTCAAAGATTCCAGAAGAAGCTATCAACAACACCAACAGTATCAGGTGTAGTATCCACGCTACTATTCAGTGTTTACAATATCTAGAGTTGAACATAATGTTACTATAAGGTCTGTTACACCTTAATCAAATATAGCCAACTCAATTTAAATATCTCAGCTTCTTAATATATAATTATAAATTGTGCTATCATTTCTTTTCTCTTCACTCTATTCTGAATAAAGATACAACACAGTCTCATCGTACTTTTTACTTTGTTTAAATCTACTCCCAAAGCCAAATATAGCAAAAGCGGTCGACAGTTTTGCATAAATATCCTCCAAAACAGCAGCATATTCAGCTCTAGAAGCTCCTATTTGACCTTCCAAGTGATGTTGATAAGATGATTCTACGAAAAAAAAAATCGTGTAATCTATTTTTTTTTTTTCTTATATTCAATAAAGCCTTGCTTTGAGACTAAGTAACTCACGCAGCGTGTATTTTAAAATCCCTAAGGGTTCAATGTTTGTGGAAATCTTCAAATCAGCGACCAGATGAGCGACCGTCATGTCTTCATCGCCAAGTATACATAAGACGTATAGATACCCATTGTTTCCAATAGAGACCATCGCAATTGTCATGTTCACACCATATTTATTCCATAAATCGAATAAATTCGAAAAATTCAAATGTATATTCTTTGACTGTTGATGAACTTTGATTCGTTTTCCAATCACTGTTCTTTTCCATTCATTGGTGGAGATGTCCACCTTTGGTTGCTGACAGCATTTAAAAACAGGTCGATTTTCCGATCATACACTTGTGATAAGTCTTCTGTGTGAAGTATTGTTTTATTCATGCCAATATTACTCTTAGTGAATTTTAGTGTTGTCCCTCCGTCTGTCAGAAGGATACCGGTGCCCGTCAATAAAATATCCAAGGTTGACAAAGTGACGATAAAAGATCGTCTCGCTCTCGCCTTGCTTCGGTGACCAAAGGTACAGATTGTTCACTACTTATTCGATGATGACTATGTTGATATATTATTAGGAATTTCTATGATCGCAGATTAGCGCTTCCTTGGTTGCCATAATAAATTCGAAAGCATCATTGTGATATGTCTCGAATTAGGGAAGTAGAAAGAAAGTTTATTACAGTATCGTCATTTTATATGAAAGCATGAATTAACCGTAATTAATAATAGCTGAGCATGTCGCGTTATTAGATAACAACGTGTATTGCTGTCAGTCTCTTTGTATTATTCATTCTTAGAGTATAGATTTATAGTAGTTTCATACAACAAGATTAAGTGTTTATAAGGTAAATACGACAATCATTAATATTAGAACCAAAGCCAACAATTTGTTCGATATACATCAAAGTATCCAAGCCCAATTCAGAAACCTTGGAGGTGTAATCAAGTTTCATTATTACCTCTAGGCATGTCCCGTAAAAGTGATTTAAAATCAGCCAACATTATAATCGCGATAATAATCAACGAAGAAATACAGATGTCGATGAGTCTCTATAACCTCTTTATCATGAATTAAGAGGAGAGAAGATTCATTATTAAAGGAGTATTATAATTAATCACGGTCAATAAGAATTGAGCATGACGCGTCATATAAGAATCACATCTTCGTTTTATTTGCACATCCTCCAAGATAAGCACATGGCACTAATATCATGAGAAAATGGATATTGCATGATGAAAGGGTTATTAACATATTGTTTTTGAAGTTGTTGGTAAGCAGCAGCATATAAATTGTACGAAATGGCAAGTGTCTAAATAGTTTTATAAGCAGCAATGTAATAGATCAATATGTCATAAACCAAAAGAGTGGCCGAATTTCACAAAATCAGATATATACTATACATCGCTAAATCTACCAAGAAACAAACAAGCAAGCCTCCGCCAATTCTGATAGAAGCCAAGTACACGATACACATGTCTTTTTATTGATGTTTGATCTATTACTCTTTGCCTGTTAGAAAAAAATACTCAGTGGAGCCCATTGTACTTACATTTTATATCCACAGTACAATCAATGGCCATTCAACGCTAGCAACAATATGTGAATCGTTACCATTTATGAAAGGTCTTCCCTGTTATGGCTGGGGACAGACCTGCTTGCTTTTAAACGCAGAGAGCATAAGCAGCTTCGTGGCACTTCTTCATAGAACAGTGGTCGTCAGTGAGAAATCTAGAACGGTGCGATGATGAAGCCCTTTGTCTGTTGACTTCATTTTGAACTATACCAGGATATTCATCTTATTTTTCTCAAATAAAAAAGGAGTATAGCAGTGATAATAGATGGTCTAAAAAAAGTCCTTTAGTTGACGTAAATATATATTATATCTAACAAATCAATTTTTTAATAAAAAGATGCTATAATGCCATTAAGTTTATTCAAGAAAATATGTATATACAAGTTATTCTATGAACGTGAATTCAACCATTGTTCTGGATTTTCAACGCCAACTAGATCTTGAACAATTGAAAGGAGAACTTGCAACTCATCTACAAAAACAAGGCTGTTCATTAAATAGGAGGAATAAGAAGGAAATGATGAGTTGGCGATATCACTAGGTTCAATCATAATTTTCTTTTCGAGCAAATTGACAAAGTTCTCTCTGCACTCGATAGGAGAAAGCATATAGGGTGGTAAGGACGTCTTTGCATACAGAGTAGATGAAATCATTTTTAGAGTTGAAAGAATAGATGATAGCTATTCAAAGAGTTATTCATACGTATTATGTTTCTGTGGTATTAAACTTACATATTCTTTTCTTTCTTTCCTAAGAATTGACCCAATGTGTCTCTTCCATTCAGGTTTAACCTGAGCAAGTGATGAAGCCATGTTTATGACAAGATCAGACATGTTATCCGCAATCTGTACTAGAGCCTTGTAATTTTCTGCAGGAAAGTAACCTCGTAACGGTGGCTCATAGTTTGCTTGGTGCAAGAGAGTGTGCTCTTCTGCAATCTGTCGTCGAAGCTCAATTGCAAGCTTTTGGAATCCTTTACTTTGCTTATCTGTTATTGGCTCATCAATAATAACTATAGTGCTAGCAGCTAAGATGCCATAAGCTTTGCCGATATCACGAATTGTACTTGCAAGCCTTTTTCGAAGTTCTATGCGACTTGTAGGCGGGAAAGGGATTGCAATCAATATACCAGAAGCAGCAATCCCGATAACTACCATCAGTAATCGCTAAAACGATAAAAAGTTTAACGTCATGTTGTAAACAGTCAATGTTACTTACTTTTCCGGCAACCGTATAAACCTGATCATAGACAGCTACACCAGATACTGCATAATTATATTCGTATATGATGACTAAAATCATCGTGATCTTGCTCATCAAAGCAGCAACTCGGAATTTTGCCACAAAAAAGAATGTATAATACAATGGTAAGAAGATAACAAAAGACAAAACAGCTAAACCATACGGATTTCCTCGCGTAATCTCCCAAACGATGATCCCAAGAACTGCACCTACTATGGAACCTATGACTCGATCGATCAACCCAAAAATAAATGCACCGGTCATCGGGAACATCCAAAGCACCAAGGTGATCATGGTCCATTGTCCTCTCCATTCTATGTACCAGCCTGCATCCTGTGGCCTCCAAGCAGGGATAGCCAATATGACAACTCCTAAAGCAGTTTTGAATGCAAAAAACGTTGTTGTGCTTGTCAGCCATTTGCCAGCTACATAGATTGCATTGAAGAACTTTTGCATAGGCGTAACAGGAAGAGAAACATCAGGGTCATTTTTCCTATACTTGTCCTTGTCTTGTTCGCCTCCTGCATTGAATACGGTTCGTTCGTCTGATTCGCGTCTATTGTCATCATTGCGAGTAGAACATCTTGCCAAATCATTTCCTGCGTTTGCATTTTCTGATTCTTGGACATCCACTCCAACCGCTCCGTCAACTTGATCATCTGAGTGTAACCATCTAGATAGTGTCTGATGAGGAAACCATAGCCTATACTTTTTACGTTTTGTTTCAAGCTCTTCAACTAGCTCTATAAAGGATGTAGTGTGGATGGCATGTTCTCTTAAATTATAAAGATACAGAAATATTAAATAAAGTGGCCCATTCCTTGGCAGGTCGGCAGGATCCAGCTCCAAAAACTTTTTGAATGTTTCGCTGCTTTTACTAATCTCGTCAAAGCGAATAATGAGTTCCTTCATCGTTGTTGATGAAATTTGTGCAGGCTGATTTTCAGTGTCAATGTTGCTCACTTTTGGTCGCGAAACCCAAAATCTTGGAAATGGCCATAAAATACTATTCAAGCCTGTTCTGGGATGATAGTGAAGTTTAGTAATCCTGTCAAGGCATTGTCCAGTGGCATCGATGCATGCTTGCGTTAGTTCAGCGGATATAGGCTTTATGTTTTCCAGAGAAGTGTTGAATGCGTTCAAAATTTCAGGATTTTTGAATCTACTGAAATATAAGTTGTCGTTATCAGAGTTTAAATAACTTGATTTGATGATAAAGCTAAGACCAATGCCGTGTAAAGAGGCACGCATGCTTCGCACAGCTTTAGTCAACCTGCTACAGTCTTGATCGGAAATACGAGAGAAAGTGATTTCTCGCTGGACTGCTCGTTTGCATTCAATCATCAAAAGTACGCCATTCTGCAAACGTGTATGAAGCTGGGGTAATGTCGATTGGCTGGAGGGTGGCACAAGATCTAAAAACGCATTAGAGTGTTCTTTGAAGAATGCATTATATCCGCCAAGGGTTTGCCGCAAGACGCCAAGAAAGTTGCTGATACTATTGTCTGGCCAAATAAAGTAGTTGACAGCCAAAGAAATAGCACCAGCAAGGGCAACAGGTTTGAGAAATTCCCACTAGATAGAGATCAGAAAGAGGTACTGTATTCATGTTGTGGTTATTCACTTACAGTAACAGCAGCAGTGAATCTTGGAATAGAGGCATAATATGTCATAGTAAACTAGAGATCAAAGGATTACTGGCTTTAGTATTGAATAAAAGTCTGACTTACTGTTAATATAATACAGGCGTTTACAGCAGCAAAGTTGGCTATGATTCCCCCATAATTTAATATTCATTTTTATCTTTTACTTATGTGTGCGTACCTTTTGGTAGTTTTATACGAATGACATTTAAAACGAATGTTCCAATAAATAGAAATACAGCCAAAATTGCACATGCACCAGGCTGTACAGGATTTGGATCGGAAGCATTACGGGCTAAGCTTGCAAGAAAAGCACCTAGGGACAAAACGTTTAGACCAATATTGCAAGATACACAAAGATGCTTACCCAAGATGCTCCATGCTGACGCTATTAGCGCACCAAGGGTTCCTAGTAGCACTGCCTACATACATATTTGTTTACATTTAATTTAAACAATGATCCTTCTACTGTCTTACCTCCGTTTGCACTCCTAAAAAGGGAAAGAAGATGTCAGTGTGCAAATTTTTGTAGAACCATGTCTTGTCCTCTTACCAATTGTTCGTACAGGGAAATAAAATATTGTAACGATTGCCACAAGCAGTGTAGCTGATCCAAATACGTCTCTAGTACGATTGACCAGACAAAATATGGTGGATATTAGTAATGCAATAGATGCTTTTACTGTTTTTCTGATGTGAGGAAGTGATGGCAAGGGAAAGTGAAATCGTCGAAATAAGCGCCTTTTTTGAGCTTGTGTCTTTTTTATATCGCTTAATTCATCATCTCTGATTTGTGTATCTGAAGTATATGAAGACTTGTTTGGTGTAGTACGATCGTTGTCACTTGAGACTACTCTATCCAATTGATCTTGTGAGTGACTAGGCGAATCTGAAGCTAAGGGTGTCAATACTGGTAGTTGTTCATGCCGTGGTTGAACGTTGACGCCTGCATTTTGATCTGATCTATCAGTGTTTGATCTGACGTGTGCTGAATTATTAGACCTTTCTTGAAAGTGCTTAGATTTACGCAGTTCTGTTAATTCTGTATCTCTGTTGTTCATCAAATAACAGAATATAAAAGAGAAAAAGAGAAAAAAAGATAGAGTCAACTTTATTTTACGTCATGTTTAATGGAAAAACCAAAAGGCCCAAAACATAAACTATATAGGCCGTATTGACCAATCATTTTTTATTTTTATATAATTCATAATTTTAAGTATTTTGTAAGCTGCTTTAAAAAACTAGTAAAGCGGGTAAAAATATAACAATCATGTGTAACGTGTTTTATGGCCGTAGAGTTACCTTTAATATGGTGTTGCTAGATGTTAAACTAGCATATCTAGTGCAACAAGTTAAACACTGACGACGGACTTCGCCCCAGTCTGCAACTAGTGAAGGCTGCTTATCTAAAAGCCAACAATACCAGAAAGCACCTCAATGATGGAGCGCGCATAAAGCATAAAGGTTTATACGTGATGAGGACAACGGATAGATCGAATTACAATATCATTAAATGATAAACAAGTTAAACATAATAAAAGACTTTATAATATGAAGTTTATACAATTATTTAAAGTTTCTTTACAAATGAGCTCGAGAGATCTGCTGTTCCTGCTCTTGTTTTACCCATTCTTTTACTGTTCTTCTTAAAATCTTTCCACTTGGGCTTTTAGGAACTTGATCTATAAATCGAATACCGCCTCGAAGTTTTTTGTAATCCACTACATTTCCATTCACAAATTGCGTTATTTTGGCTGCCGTTTCTTTGCTTCTTGCGACAGTAGGCTGAAGAACAATGTAAGCTCGAGGGAGCTCCGTTGCCTGAGCTGCATCATATACACCAATAACACAACAATCTGCAACACTTGGATGACTCATTAATAGCGCTTCTAGCTCTATAGTTTTCCAATAAAAAACGAATGAGTAAATAAAGAGATATCATGTATTTCTCATTGGCTTACCAGCTGGAGCAACCTGATATCCTTTGTACTTGATGAGCTCTTTAATACGATCGATAATAAAAAATTCACCATATTTAGAATCGTATCTTGCAACATCTCCTGTACGCAACCACCCATCCTCTGTGAATGTCTCTGCATTTGCTTTATCGTCATTCAGGTAGCCTTTCATAATGGTTGGGCCCTTCAAAAGGATTTCTCCTGGCTGATCAGGGCCTAGCTCTATTTGCAATAAAAGCACGTTATGAAAGCTACACGAGATGTCACTTTAAACTCATTACCATTGCCTGCTTCATCCACTAATTTACATTCCATATTGGCTACCAACTCTCCAGTTGATCCTGGGGGGCTTATCCCAACTCTTTGGTATATGCAGCCCGCAGTCGTTTCTGTCATACCATATCTATTAAGCTGTGATTAAGCCGTACGATTGACAAAAAATATTTCTTACCCTTGGCGTACATATGCTTTAATACGTGCATTCAGCGCTTCGATATGTTCATGACCCAAGGGAGCAGCACCACTAGTAAGCGTCCTAAGCGAAGAAAGATCATACTTCAAAGGTATATCACTTTTTGCAAGTTGTACAGCTATACGATTGATAGAGTTAGAATACAATCTTATTGAACCAAAAATATCCCCCTTACCAACTGGAGGCACAATGGCAGCAGTGGTTATCTTGTACTTTTCAATTAACCGGCATACAAGTTCCAGATCATACTTTGGTACAACCACCACAGTTATGAGACAATAAAAGGCACGAAAAACAAGGGTAGTTAAGCCAAAGATGTGATAGAAAGGCAAGAAGCCAAGTATGATACTGTCATCTTGCTTTGGGTCAGTCTGTTCAAATTCAGTGATAATGGTCATTTGAGCAACAAAGTTCTTGTGTGTGAGCATAACACCCTTTGCAAGACCTGTGGTTCCACTTGAGAAGCAGATAAACGCGATATCTTCAGACGATGGTTTGTCTTGGATAGAGAGACTGACTTTGCTTGATGTAGTAGCGATGGAGTAGTACGGCTTGAACCCATCTATTGATTCGCTTCCAAATAAGAAAATTCTGTGTTTAGGAATATTGTTTCTAGCAGCTACTTTTGTCAAAATGGGTAAAAGTGAGGGAACGGTAACAATAGCTTTGGCATTAGACAAGTGTATTTGATGGTCAAATTCCTCTATAATACATAAGCATAAATCAATCTGAGACAAGTGTAAATGTATTTACGTACTTTCAGTATAGCTCGGGTTACTATGTACAAAAACAAGAAATAGAGTAAGTAAAGAAAAACAGAAACTATATAGGCTTGAATACGTTACCCAGGAGTAACAATGCACTGCGCCCCAAGTAAGGAAAGATAAAGCACGGCGTGATCATACTGATTTGGAGCAAACACTGCTACAACATCGCCTTTGCTCAATTTCACCTTTTCTTTCCAACCTGCAGCAATTCTATCAGACAAATCTTTCACTTGAGCATAAGAAAGTGATTTTCCAGACAATCCATCAATCAGCAAAGGTTTATTTTGCGAGCGACTTTGATTAAACTTATTTGAATCAAAAACATGCGCGTAGATGTCTGTATCAGGGACATTGACAGTTGGTTGGCTTGATCTGAATATAACCATGATTGCAATAAGAAGAAAGAAATATAGGAATAAGGGAGGTCAGAGGATGCAGCCGCTTAAATACTTTTGTGTCAAATGAATGCCGACTGTTTCAATTGGGATTCTCCCTTATTCTATCCAGCAAGTGGGAAATTTGTTACTAATTGCATACCCAATCTTTTGGCTTATTGGCTAAAAGGGAAAATGATTTACCTTTTGTATACTCTTTCCAAATATCGAAGTTTGCTGAGATATTTGATCGAATTAAATATTATTATGCACAAATATAAAGTCGTTAATACCTGTATAATCGTTTTTTATTAGGAAAGAAAGACAGGATTACAACCTTATTATAAACAGCGTCTCTGTAAAAAAAAAAAAAAACTTTTATTGGTCGAATCTTTTATTTGGGAAGATAATTGACTAGAATAGGCAATAAACTTGTTCAAGAATATCACCAAATTAGAGCATATTTGGCTTTACACCTTTTGCCACAATGGTTAAAAAAAAAAAAAAAAAAATTAAAGAACCGGTAAGAAACATGATGAATGGAAATTAAGCATTATAAATAAAAAGAAGCATTTAAAAGCAAGGCTATTTTGATATACGTCCTTAAGTCAAACAATCTTTTCATATAATAAGAGTAAAAATACTTTAAGGATGAGTGCACCAGATGCGTCTCATCATGCTTTTCCCAGGAATCTGATACCGCGAAATGATTCACGAACTTTAGTAGTCACGCGTCGCGTAAAATGAGAGCAAGTTTAGACCTCAGATTGATGGCGTGTTCAATATTAACAAAGTTGTTATCGACTGAATAATTAGAGAAATGGACAAAAAGACATCCAGGGTCAAGCTTTTAGTGACAAGTTGAAATGAATAGTATCATTTCCTTTCTTTCATTTCTGCTACGGACAATAAGAAAATCAAATTCTTCATGTGTACATTTTAAGATTAATCAATGTTGTGAATGATGAATACCGTTTCTCTTTTCCAGTTAATTTTATATTATTAAGGACTGAGCCGTAACGACTCATTAATGTATTATGTACGATAGTGACAAGTAATAAATGTGCTTTTTAAAAATGTATGAAAAGATATCTAAAGTTGGAGATATCAACAACTCAGCTTGTTTTCTATTTAAACGTGATCTATGGAAATAATCAAATCGATTCCAGTTGATTCTATGTCAAGAACTATAGAAGAATCTCTTTCAAAAGAAATTAAATTTAAAGGCTTGTATCACTGGTGTTTTCCACAAAGATGGCAACGAATACAACATGTACATAACATTGTAATTGACTAATTCAGCTCTTTACTAGATCTATTTACTTGGATATGATGCAGCTTCCTCTGTATGTCTTTCTACTCCTGCTCACAGAAATAACCTTCTAAAAAGTTCAAAAAGAGTTGGCATTTGTGTGACTCAAATAGTCATGTAGTGCAGCTAGTTGTTGTTTAGTCTCATCCAAATGAGATTTTTTTTATAGTGAGATCAAGTATCTTTACTAGTATTTATTAGATATCAAAAGACCAAGTAGGATTCATTCTAAAGGATAAAGATGTTTGCATCAAAAGGAAGTTCTTTAAAATAAGTATCTTATAAATGATTACAAGGATTAAAGAAGAAAAATATGACAGGCACTTTATGGTTTCCATGATGACCTTTTGAGGGCTTGCCCTCTTTTGTGTTGTCATATCGCCATTTAAGTGCTGGATGATATAAAAAACATGCGATGAGTAATCATTTATAACCCTCTTTTATTGTTGCTAACTTTAGTCTAGTAATTCTCTCTTGTTGCTATGGTTATTTAATAGCTGTACATTGTCTTTTTAAAATAAATACGTATTTCTTTTGCCTTATTTTTATGGAGCGTATTCAGGTAACTTTTGCATTCATACAAATGTCTCCTGTCGTCCATATGAGAGATGAAAAATGAGATGTATACTAGCATGTGGTAGACAACCTTTACTTTACCTGTATCGTCATGGAGAGAATCCATAGAAACATAGGCTTGCTATAGATAATATGCTTTAAAGTGATTTCGAAGGAGTATTTGGAGATATATTGAAGTTTAAAAGTTAATATTAATATTAATAACAGCGTTTTAAACAAATGATTTTTTGGATACAAAGTAACAATAATCACTGACTAGCACACAAGACGTAGTGAAGAGTTCTGAAAGATTGTGCTTTTCGCTATGATGTCGAGAGTGATAACATCAAATTGGCAAAAGACATGCTTACAGGGAAGTCTGTAATTATTCCTACAGCTATTACTGAAAAGATAGTTAAACATCAGCTCATTAAGCGTTCATATGTATCATAAAATAGTACATGTATCTTTCATTGCTTAATAATACACACCGCAGGTGCCTGCTTGTGGATGCAGAATATTCTACCAAGCAAATTACGAACAGTCTTAGGTAGTGTGAAATTGTAAAATAGCATCAAAGATAGTATGTAGAGACAGTGGCTGTAGTATTGGCCTATTTTCTGGTGCATGTAGTGTTGGCAGTCTTTAACTATATTTGTGCCTGTTTAAATGGGTAAAAAATCATCCAGTTTATGCATCCCTCCAGTAGTAACGCAATATAGGGTAAATGAGACTTTGGGCTTTTTTGTTGTTTAAAGCACCCTTTCTTTCTTTCCATGTTACAGCATCTCATGACAACGCCAGCGAATCATAAATTGCCAGCAGATATACTCGTTCTTGCCTTTCAGCATATAGAAAGAAAGAATGTCGGCTTGTTTGCGTATCGTGGTATCTTTTGGCTACAACGTATCTTTTTCGTAGTATTCAAATTAATAGCACATCTCAAATTGACGAATTCATAGACTTTCATGAAAACTCAGCATCTGATCAACTTGTTCAATTTGGAAAATATGTCAAACGAGTCACTATTGGTGAAGGCATAGGGATAGCTGATAACAGGATATCATTAGAAAACTTTGAAAACTTTGTCAAATATTGCCCCAAGGTTACATTGGTTAGCGTTTCTCTGCCTGTTTTTAGAGGCAGCTTGTACTATCACCTATTTGAAGTTGATGATAATATAAAATGGAAGCTTCATAGACTTGATCGGAATGTTGAAAATCAAAAGTTTAAATTGAGTTATTACTACAAGTATAAAGATACCATCAAGGTCATAAGATGGCTCGAGGACATTGAAGATTTTGATTTTGTAATAGGCTTTCCGTTACTTGAAGAACTGGCTCTACCGTAGACAGCGATTATCACAGACATACAAGGTTTTATGTTCATTTGTAATGCATGTCCCAACTTAATCGAATTAGACCTGTATACCAACATGAACGATGATGCAAGACTGGTGGCTAACTTTGCTATATGTTCCTCATTGAAAACTCTAAATATTAAATGCAGTTCTTTGATACCCAAGGTGTTGATTGATTATATTGCTGCAGGCTTGGTCAACCTTTCATATGTAACCTTTTGCATGGAAATAACATCATTACAAACAAACTTTGGTGAAATCTATAAGCAGTTAAAAGATTTTTTGTTTACACCTCAGAAGAAAGTAGTTTCTTTAACATTAAGAGCAGAACCAAAATGCATGGATGATACTGAAAAAACATATATAATGATTGATGAATGTCTCAACGTCGCCTGTCGTCCTTCAAAGCTTAGAGCATGTAATTCTATAAAATGGATAGTAGCCAAATCCGCAGTGCCCACTATAAATTTATGCAAGTCATGGAACCATACAATCGAATGCCAAATCAGCATACCCTTGCATGTGTTTATTTAGAAGCACCAAAATTAACTCGTACTACGCTTTCTAATTTTTTGCATTTTCAAACCACCTATACTTTTGGTAGGGCACTGTACAGAATGTATGAAAATAAAGAATTACACGAATCATGGGTGATAATTTCTTTCGATTTGACATAATCTAGTGTCATTCTCGTTTGAAGCGAACATATATTATGAACCAAGTGTATAAACTTGCATGAAATCACGTTTATTAAGACATGAGTACACTTATACTTGTGTTATTATATTAAATGGAAAAATAGCGAGACCTTAGAAACCTGAAAAACGAGCATGAAATATTCCAAAGAAATGTGGGTTTGTGAATAAGCATATTGACTACCCCGTCCAGCAACTATAGAGCAAGGTGTCTAAGTTTGCTATGGGCAAAATCAAGCTTGAAACTTACTAAGCTTCTTTCTGATTCTTATAGCTGCTATTATTACAAGGATCAGATATCCTATATTGAGTGGAGCATATATGAAATTAGAAATGTTTTAAGAATATCAAGTATTTATTGCAATAATAGATAAATAAATAAGGTTAAGTTCTTTGACGCCTTTCAACAAACATTTTCATTCCGTTTTTCATAGGGTGTGTCAATGAGATACCATACGTGATTATTTGATTAGATACCAAAGTAAACGAGTAGCGTCGAAGCAACATAGACACACAGATAAGTGCCTCCAGAGTAGCCAAATTTTGACCTATCAAAGAAAGAATGTGAGCAATAGGATAAATGGGCAAGTATAAATTGTATTACCTAAACAAATACGAGGACCAGCATGGAATGCAGGCCATTTGCCAGCGTTTTCTCTCTTTAGGCTTCCATTTTCATCCAGCCATCGTTCAGGATAGAACTCTTTGGCATTATCGCCCCATACATTCTTATTTCTTCCTTGAGCATACGGGTTCCAAGAAACATAGGTTCCTGCTTTAACAAAAGTCCCATCGGGCCAGACATCATCTTCAAGCGCATATTTCTGGTTTCCAGGAACTGATGGATGTAGACGAAGGGTTTCAAAAAATCTAGGTATGAGTATGAGGAAAAGTGTATGCTATATACAGTAAGTGATACTCACACTGCGTGGAGATAAGACATCTCGTTGATAGCCTGATAAAGGGCAGATGAGTCATTTTCTAATCCATCAGTCATATATTTTTCAATCTCTTCAAGCATCTTTCTTTCAATACGAGGTTGTAAGCTGATATTGTAGAACAACCACGATAAGGCTTGAGCAGTAGTATCACGACCAGCAATGATAAAATTGAGAACAGTGTCACGTAGCTCTTTATCGTTTAATGGCTCTCCATTTTCATTCTTTGCCTCCATAAATCGAGAAAGCAGGTCCTTATGACTTGTTTCTCCAGATGCGATCTCTTCACGTCTCTTTTCAATGACTTGCTGAGCAAATGTGTCTACGACTTTAATGTTGTAGCTAGCGGTATGCTCTTTTCGGAAGAATAAGCTAGGGAAGCGTTCTTTGTATTTCATCGTAGGATTACTGAAGCGTTCGGCGCATCTTCGCTGAAGGAAGTCAAACGATTCAGCAAATTCTACCTTGCCATCTTTCAAAAGTGAGTTAAGCTCCGTACCAAATCCGAGGCTATTAAATGGATATGAATTAGACGTTATTTCTATAGCTTTCAAAAGGTACTTACTATACAAAAGAGTCGAGGGTAAATCTGAACATGATGTCTTGAAAATCGATGATACTGCCATCACTCGCAGCTTTATCAAGAATGTGATCGCACATCAGATGCAACTCCTTTACAAAAACACTAAAGGGTGTTACTCATGCTGCCTTTTTCTTAATCTTCTCAACGCTTACTCTGTAAATTGGTCTCTAAAGTTTTTAACGTTGAATATATGGCTTGCTGTCTTTCTCTGCCATTTCCATTGATCTCCGTTTGCATTAAAAATACCATGGCCTAAAAGGTCATGCATCACATCGTTAAACTGTGGCCCTTTGACATAATTTGAAAAGTTTGCTAAAACATGTTGAATCAGCACATGGTTTCGCAGATAGATAGTTATGGTTACTCTTTAAGATATGTTCAATATTTCGAGGATCAATCGTAAGGATTTGTCGAGGCAGACCGGCCACTGGCAATGTTCTATATCATACAGTATTAATAATGGAGGTAATAGAGGACTCGATCATATAGTTTTACATGGTAAGTGCCCCTGTTTTTTCATAAAGTTCAACAGCATAGTCTAAGCGTCGTCCAATGTTTTTAATCAAAGTTGGCAAGTTTCCTACTAGAGGATAACCCTTGATGAAAGGTATGTCTTTTATATGTTCATAGAATAAAGGTCTATCATGGTATTTTAATGACATTAAAGTAATGATAGAAGATACAGCTGCACCAGCAATAGCAAGCTGTTGTCCAACTGAAGCATCTTTGAGAGACATGGTTTAATTAAAAGAAAGCAAGAGATGCACACACTCGTGGACTGCTTTTATATTACACCGATTGAGAGTCAGATACAATAAGATTTTATCGTAAACAGGTTAAAAAATGTCCAAGTAATCACACTTTAACCTTTTTCACTCAATTTTTCTCACTTATCTAACCTTCAATTTACCTTTTTTAGAACAATCTAAAGAAAGCAAGTATTTAGTTCATCTTTTTCCCATCAATTTTGGTGCTGTTCTCCTTTATGGTCTCTCTGTCTTTAATATAAGATGGAGGTGTGACACTTTGTCGTATTCTACGTTGAATAAAGGTCAATAAGCAATGTTTACACATACATAACAAAAGCTCAGTAACATAAACTGACCAATCACAATAACAATTACAATTTTATATAATAAGTGTAACTATCAATTTTAATACCTTCATCTTTACTCTTCAAAACAAAAGAAATATAAGGGATCCCATTGTGCTTTCTGTCAATTCACACTAATACAACAAATATCGCACACTTGTTTTAAAAGGGTTCGCGTGGATATGTAGAATGTCCGCCGTGAACACTAAAAAATTCCCGTTTGGAATCAAGGATAGGAGTAGAAAAATATGCTTATTATGATCTGTAGTGATAAAAAATCAGAAAGGATGTAGTGCTAAAAAGCCTTTCTCATGAAAAAAAATGGACAATAGAAATATTTAACAGCAGATCCTTGATATGGCAGATAACACAAACAGGTATCAACAAAGGATGTTTGAGGCAAAGTTCGCCTTGTGTTGGTGATTGAGCGCCGCGTAAATTGAGCAATATAGATTGTCTGAATCGATAAAACCATACTCTTATCAACTGTAATAGCAAACGCGCGGAGATTTGGATTGACTGCTCAGAGAAGGCAAAACTTGTAAGGCGTTGGCACTGTGCTTGACCGTTGGCACTGTACTTGTAAGGCGTTGGCACTGTACTTGACCGTTGGCACTGTACTTGTAAGGCGTTGGCACTGTGATTGACCGTTGGCACTGTGCTTGTAAGGCGTTGGCACTGTGCTTGTAGGGCGTTGGCACTGTTATTACTCACATTTCAGCATTAGTGTTCGTTATCTTAATAGTGCTGCATGAGAAAGGCATCATTAATTTAGTGTCCTGGACTTGATAGCATTTACTCCCGACCGAACAGTGTGGCATTTTTTTTTTTGTAAGAGCGTTTTTAGCCAAGGCTCATTTTTAAATAAATGAAATAGCCACTTGAAGTCAGTGGTGGACTATTGAAAGACAGAAATACTAAAGAAAATTAACAAATATAAAATTAATGCTTGAAGGATTCCAGGCAACCAATGATAGCCCGAAAAACCTTGGATGGTATAAAAAGATGCCCATTGAAAATAAACATCCAGTGTGCACGCCAGATGCACCAAAAGGTGCAACCGACAATACTTTCATTAGAGAAAGCAGAAAGTTTTTGAGAAGGAAAACGTAAATTAAATATTGCCTGTTCCATAGTATTTACTGTTAAAGTCAATTCACCAAAGAAATGATGCCAAACTCGAGCCCACACTTCGAATTTTTTGGGGCATCACAAGATAAAATGCATTTCATCTTCTACATTTGGAATTTGACAAAATCGGCATTCTGAGGAGAAGGAAGACGCTAGCAATTTATGCATTCTGGATGCACAAGGAAACTTATGTTGTAACAGACGATACCAAGGAGTCCGAATTTGCAATGGGATCAACAAGTTCCAAAATCGACGCCAGAACGACATTGATCGAGGCATATTGGAAACTTGGCATTCACCAGATTGCTGTAAAAGCTGTTGGTGATGCTTGTGAAAATTACGAGGCAGAATAATATCAGAGTTTGGCTCGAGCCAAGGATGGACTAATTGGCCACAGATTTCAGAGAGAGACGATGGAACAGCAGCCATAATACTGCCCGGTAAATAAAGGCGGGCGAAAAAGGATGTAAAGTAAGTTGTCCTGCTAAAAGCAAGCGAACCTACTTTCGGATGCGATTACGATCCTGAGAAGGTTGACTTTACCCGTTCACCCATGCTTTGGGAATTAGATGAGAGTGATCAGGTGATAAACAAAAAGCAGGGCTAGCCTGAAGAGACTTATAAGGCCTTTGCACCCTAAGTGAGCCATCTGCGGGCCAATTTATGACTTCCGATAGTGGTAAGGATAAGCAGATTTCAACAGAAACCTTAGGACGTTCGGATAAAGAGCTGTTGAGCAAAGTAAGAACTGTACCAGAATCAAAAAGAGCGTCGAAAGACCGAAAGAGAACCGAAAGGACCCCTGGAAAATTCATTGCTAAAGGGTCTTTGCGAAAGGACGGGAAGAGAAAAGGTAATCTTGCGTCAGCAATCGACAGAGGTGATAAACCAAGCAAATGGGCCTGCAACCATAAAGTAATAAAACTAGAAGGATCATCATTGAGCAAGAGAGGAGTTAACCACCGATATTGAAGAGCCAGGTGTTGACAATTCGGCTCCAGGAAACCCAGTCCACCATGCTTGAGGAGTTGTTGAAAGGTGTCTAGCGATATAGATGGGAAAATCCTGAAGCCAAGGAAATTGCGGAAAATCTTTCGGATAGTGTCAGAAGTCTTTTGGTTAACCCCAACTACTCTAAGAACATGCCAGAGCGAGGACGGAATAAGTACATTGAGGACGGTTGCACGGTCGCGAATGGACAGAGGCCCTTGCTTAAAAATGTTACAAGCATTGGATACTTTTTCTACGATACATTGTTGAAAACTATTTCGTTGTCGAGACGATTGTAACAGAGGGTTTTGAAGGTATGTGAGTGGCTCAGACGATGTGGAGTATGCCATTGAGTAACTCCATATGACTGTAAAAGTGTTGGCCATTCCGTATGGGAAGAACCTGAGACAGGGATGGCTACAGTCTTGTTATAGTTCATTCTTGCATTAAAAGCCAAGTTATACTGATGAATGAGGGATTGAACCTCCTGAAGATCATGTTGATCGGCAAGGAAAATCAAGATCATCTGCATTTGCTAGGACTTTGATTTCTGAAGGGACTGAAAGGCGGCTCTGTAAGGAAGCGCCCTCCATAACGTCGATCGAAGGAAAAGAAAAACCACGAATTCGTTGGGAAAAAACAATAGATTTAACCAAGGGTTCCATTACAAAGTTGAACAAAAAAGGACTAATGGGGTCTCCTTGGCGTAAACCACGACCTAGTTGTATAGGTGACGAGGAGTAACCATTAACGTTGGCTTTCATGGTTGTACTAAAGAAGAGAGAGCAAACAGCAGAGATAAAAACGGAGGGCAAACCAAAAGTCTGAAGGACAGAGCGAAGATACACAGGATGCACTCGATCATAAGCTTCTTCTTGGTTGCACAGCAGATCAACTTCCGAGGGGGACCAGAAAGAAGCTTGCTTTATAGTAATTTGTGCTAAAAGGCCACTGTCGGCAATAGATTTTCCTTGCATAAAACTAGCTTGAAAAGGACAAATCAAAGAAGAAACGACCTCCCTTAAACGGTTGTTCAATAATCAGGTGAATATCTTTGCATCACAATTAATCAGTGTGATTGATCTCCAATTCAAAAGATACCGCAAGTCACCTTTCTTCAAACAGTGTGACATGCTCCGACCTCATCCAAAAAAAAGGGGGGGGGATACATCTACCGTTTTGTCCATTTCGGCTTTTCTTCCGTAATTATCATGACTCTAGAATAAGTTGATTCAGTAAACAGCTGCACAGAATGTAACGGCACTTTTGATAATCCAGAACAGAAACGTTATCATTATTATTGTTATCACCAAGAAGTAGTAGAAGTTACTATTAATAACGGTAAAAGCACCCCAAACTTTTTTTATTTACTTGAATAAATCTGATTTTTCGTCAAATAGTTCTTGATTGTCGAATGAATCCTAACAATGATAAAAAATATAAATGTGCAATTTGTCAGAAGTTGTTCAAAGGATATCACAACCTTCTGAAGCATTTCAAAAAGAACCATCCTCAATGTGAACTGCGTAACTATAAGAGAAAAGCTGACGAAGACTTCACGTTTGAGGGAGGATCCCAAGCAGCTATAGGCAACAAAAAAATCAAAGCCGACTTTTTAGTAGATGCGCTACATTTGGTGCCAGCAAAATTAGAGATTACCCACGATACAATTACATACAACTTCTTTGATTTAGCTAGTAAATCAACTATGGTTGCTTTGAAGGGATTAGGTTTACTAAATGAAAAAATTACGTGCAGCATCACTGGTTATACCGATAAAAAGATGGTTACAATTCCTGCCATGTCTGCAGTAGATACATCTCAGCTTGCTTTTCCCAGTTTCCCTGACTTCTACACAAAAATGGGCGAATATATGCATATTTCAGACGCCTTACAGAAACAATTGAATAGTGACTCATGTGAAATGGCCAAAGTAACCCAGCTATTTGTCGGATCATTCATAGTCGTTGAAAATATTGCTTTATTTGTTCTAACTGTTGAAATCTATGCACGCGATTTTTTTGTTGATGCTCATGCTGAGAATCACTCTATCAGCTTTCCAGAGCAAATTGACATTGGTGACCGCTATTACAACTCCATTAAAATTGCTCTTTCAGCTGTAGGCCAAGGCAAACAGCTGATGAAGAAATTAGTCATTGGTTCCACTACATTCAATATTCTCGTAACCAGTTCTATGCTTTTGTCTCCACGTGAAGTTGAGTTTGTTACTTGTGGCCCTACATGTCATAAAATTTTGCATCACCTGGATCTCAACTACGCGCAAATACTTCTACGTCAAAAGCAAGTAAATGAGTTTGAAAACGGTGAGATGATTATTGGTACGGATATTTCAAATTGTCGTCAGTTGATGTCTGCTTTTGATCACGAGTCTACATACTTCTCGTACCGTGCTAGTTTGTTGCAGAATCCTAATATACAGCCCTTAACAGTATTTACAATTGGAGGTGTCCCGGCTAATGAATATGGAATGTCCATTCACAACAAAGCTCGTGCTGTTTCCCACTTTTTCAAGACTGTTGCCTCTTGGATTTTGAAAGCTCATGTTATAACTTTAAGTGATATTCGTAGTCTAAAGTCATTAGTTAAAGGGAATGAGGAAATTACTGTGTTAGTAATAGCTTTGGAGAAAGAATATCTGGATAACAACAATGTTATTGATATTTTGGTATTCTTACGTAATCAAAAAGGCTTGAGTGCTATGGCCCAGTCCCTATCCCAAAATATCTCAACTGCGAATGATAAGGTGAAGCAAGAGATCATGTCCTATTTTTCTAACATGTTTGGTAAAAGGTAACTGGAAGCAGTATGCTAATAAAACCATTATTATCTTTTTTTTTTTTTTTGTTTATTTCTTACGTTTCTTTTCCAAGTTCTATGAGTAGATGAAAAGTCTATGGCATAAAGCATGGCCCCATAACCCATATAGAAATAGCCAAAGGTTGTATATATAGATAAAGCTTGCCTGTTACCTTCCACGAGTAAACCAAGAACAGCAGTGCCATCAGTTGATAGCATATGTTCCAGATCATCTTTCGTAATATTATCAGGTTTTATAAAGTCTGGGTTTAGGCTATCTTTGGTTGATAGCCTTTTCATATATGATGGACTTTTAATTTCACAGATGAAAGGTAATGCTGTAAAGGTATCTGTTTTTGTAAGCACAGACAAACCGGGAATACGACCATTGCTTCATAGTCTCTCTCTGGGTCCAACTGGCTTATCTGTGTTCCTATTGAATGTTTTATAATTGTTATAGCACTTCTAGATGCTTCATTGGAATTTGGATTTTACCCTTGTAAGATAATGTTGTATCCGTCTGCGCATAAAAATGGAACCAGTATTTTCTCAACAATATGACTAGCAAATAATGGCTTTTTAAAATGATCTACATTATTCTTCTTGTAAATTTGGATCCTAATAAAGGCATGTCAGAGAGAAATGCAACAATGAAACTGATGTCATGAAGCTCACATATCGTAAAGCAAACTGATTCTTTCACATAATTTTTGATCATTGCTCTTTGAATACTGCCAAACATTCAACAGCCTCTTTCTCAGCATTCTGTATATCTAATTTAAGCAACTGATTATCATAATAAATGTATCAGCAGTGCATACCATATTCAAAAGTGCTTATTAAGCATTATGCATTGCCTCTGAAATTTTATCAATATCTCCATAATCCTTATAGTCATCGTCTTCCTTGAATTCAACATTAGACTCTTTTATGGCTGCCTTCCATGTTTTTTCATTAATATAATAATTTCGTCTAATTCTTTCATTCATCCACATAATTCCGTTTAATGTCCTAGAAATAGTTATCAGTTGAATGTTTTTTTTTTTTGTAAAGGCAACGAGATTTACAACTCTTCTACAAAAGTAGGCAGCAAGGTAGTTGCTGATAATTTTTCAATACAGCTGTGATATTTATGCTTATATAGTTGTAAAACAGTGAAGGATCAATAGCTAACAAGGGAAACACTACATACACCAGAATTTAGACTAGTACTACAGACGCTACCTCTATCCATTACCTATAACTTCGCCCAACGAAGCTTTTCGATCTGCAGCGCCAAACTACACGTGAAATTATAAAGTCACCATCTTGGTTTGTTTTTATTTTGAAGAAGAAAGGAATAAACAAGAAATGTTGTTATCTCTTTATTTATTCTAATTTTACGTTGTCAGGTGACCAACAAAGACCACTTAGCTCACGTGTAATTATGATAAATGTATATCTCACATCAAAGGATATTCCACCGCACAGTCTTAGGTTAGATGGACAATTTGGTAGCGTGAGGTTGTATAGTGACTCCACATGTAGCGCCCCAAGGAAACGCCTGTAGCATTAGCCTATTTTCTGGTGCATTTGGTGTTCAACTTATATTTTACGTACTTCTTTTCTTTATTAAAAATGACTACAGATTGTGTTCCAAACGAGCATATGCGTTGCCTCAACGTTCTCGACGATATTCCTAAGTATGAGTCTATGTATATCGAAGGGAATGCTAGCGATCTCTATGAGACAATAGACTTAGAATGGCATCACTGGGAAAACCCAGAAACATCCAAAAAAGAACCTGAACCAAGTTTGAAAAAGCTGCTGGATTTTGCAGGCTATCAATCCTCCTAAGAAGGTATTGGCTAGGAACAACAAAAATCAACAGCCAATTTTGATGTTACTGAGACTAAAGTCTACAAAAGCGTTGATGCACCAAAGAAAAAGAGCACAGGAAGAGCTAGAGGTTCCTACAGATCTTACAGTCCTGAACAAATACAGGAAATTCTGAACCTTGTGATTGAACAAAGCCTTTCAGCAAGAAAAGCAGGTTTGATTGTAGGCATAGTTGAAAAGAACTGTTCAGTACTATGTCAAGCAATACAAAGAAGATATAGAAAAGTTCCTTTTAGGTCAAAAAAAAAGCAAACTCAAAAGGGTAGGGAAGCCCTAACCATCTCATACTGAGTTTCTCTGTGGCTTTTTTACCAAAAGCCCTGAAACGGCATTTTGGCAAGCGAGGGATGCACTGCTTAAAATGTTTCCTCAAATTGGATCAATCAACCTGTCGAGGCTTCATAAACATCTTGTTCTTCATGCCTCATTGGGTTTTAAGAAATTAGAGCTAGTAGTAGCAGCAAGAACAGCCCAGAGTACTTTGCAATCAAGAAGACAAAGAGCATTAGAATGGCAGAATGACGGTAGCATGGATTGGAATCAAAACTGTGTTTTTATTGATGAAGCAGGTTCCAACATGCATATTCGCAGATATTTGGCCGATCCAAGGAGGATATGCCTGTCAAATCTGTTGTTCCTTCAAACAGAAGAGTCACGGTGACCATTGTTGGGGCGATTTGTTAAAAAAATGTTACTGAGCTCATGCTTTGTAAGCTAAAGGCTGTGCAAAAGAAAGCTAGTGGAACAAAAAAGCGCAAAAGGGGCAATGACAAAACTGACAAAGTTGAGGTGAACACTTGAGTGGGCACGCGAAGCGAGAATTTCTTAGATTTCTTGAGTAGTCTTATGGGCATCTTGGAATCAATTTGACATGCAGGAACGTTTATTGCTATGGATAACGCAGCTATCTACAAAGTCAACGAAGTTCAAGAGTTAGTGGCGTCAAGAGACTATAAGGTTGCTACCTTCCTCCTTACTCGCCTTTTTTGAACCCAGTTGAGTTATTTTGGTCAAAGATCAAAGGAAATATCAGAAAAAATTGCCTTAGTGTTGATAACAGTCTCAGCCTTAGAATTACTGAAGCAGCCAAAAAAGCTACTCAGGAAGACTGCGCAAACTGGATAAGTCATTCTCAACCCTTTTTTGATAGATGCTTGACCCTTGAACCAATGCTTTAGGTTAGTAAGCCCATCCGTAAAATAAAAAATATGATCCGCAAAGCTGAAGGCAAAATCCAATAAGTAAAATGTCCGCTAAGACATGGTCAATCTATTGGGTCGTGAACACTAAAAAATTCTCGTTTGGAATCAAGGATAAGAGTAGAGAAACATGCTTATTATGATCTGTAGTGATAAAAAATCAGAAAGGATGTAGTGCTAAAAAGCCTTTCTCATGAAAAAAAATGGACAATAGAAATATTTAACAGCAGATCCTTGATATGGCAGATAACACAAACAGGTATCAACAAAGGATGTTTGAGGCAAAGTTCGCCTTGTGTTGGTGATTGAGCGCTGCGTAAATTGAGCAATATAGATTGTCTGAATCGATAAAATCATACTCTTATCAACTGTAATAGCAAACGCGCGGAGGTTTGAATTATCTGCTCAGAGAAGGCAAAACGGTTTATTTTTTTGTTTTTTTTTTGTTTTTTAAATTTAACGATCTCAGTCTTGGAAGCTGTGAATGTTTTTTCTAAAAAAGGCAGAAAGTATCCAAATGGATCATGCTACGCAATCTTTACTTCTTTTTTTCAAGATGCCGTGGCATAGTTTCTATTGGCTACTTGTACACTCTTTTGATCTGGCCTGGGCAGATCGATATTTTTTTTTTTTTTTACATCATTCGGTCATTTATGTTGATGCTCAAACTTTGTGATCGCGGTTTTCGGTCTACGGCGAGATTTTAATCCGTGCGTAACAATTACTTGCCTAAAATGTACATAAATCATCCAATTATATTAGACTGTCGCCTGAGGTGGGGATCTACGGACAGTTATAAATTTATATTTTAACGTGATCTCTTTGTACGAGGACTTTCTTCCTTTTACTCCACTTCACTTGAAAAAAACAGCTATGAAAGACAATTCAGATCCTGCGTCCATATCTGATACCAATACAGATCAGACAACAGTACTTCCAGTTAATCCCGAGAAACCGGAGGAACAGCCCAGTGTAGAAGAATACAAAAACAAGAGACTTGCTCGTGTATTGACATTTATTGGCCTTCAAGTTGCACTCTTTTTATCTGCACTCGATGGGTAATTATAAAGATCAATTGTAATAATGAATTCCACTGACGATGACTATAGTACTATTATATCAACAGCTTTACCAAGAATCGGATCAGATTTCAATCAAATGTCAATTGTTTCTTGGGTAGCCACCGCATACATTTTAACATTTGACGCATTTCGTAAGTTGAATGAAATCATTCATATTATAATGCTGACATCTCTCGGTTAGAACCGTTATTTGCCAAGTTTTCAGATATCTTTGGTCGAAAATGGATTTTGATGTTTGGTATTGGAGTATTCTTGTTTGGATCTGTGTTATGCGGTGCCGCCAAGGTAACAATAGCGACGTGGGAATAATATTCGGAATAGGAATAACCCTTTATTTGCGTAGTCTATGGTCATGTTGATTGTTGCTAGAGCCATTGCTGGTATTGGCGCTGCAGGTATTACTTCAATGGTGTTTATTATCATTTCGGATATCGTCCCATTAGAGAAGCGAGGAAGTTATCAGGGGTAAAAAAAGTCACAAAGAGGCGTTTTGGAGATTAGTGCTGATCCACCTTTGTAGTATTATCAATGCTGTGTTTGCCTTGGCAAGTGTGTTTGGTCCATTGATTGGTGTAAGTATGCTGCTTTATTACTAATAATCAAACTAACCATGCTTATGATAGGGTTCGTTTACGGATTATGTCACTTGGAGATGGAACTTTTACATCAAGTAAATAACGTAAATAGACCATTGAAAAAATTTTTTAACAGTCTTCATTTAGCCTTCCTATTGGAGCTGTTGCGGTTGCCATTCTTTTATATTTCTTGCGTCTGCCAACACCTAAATCCAAATTATCCGAGAAATTAAAGCGCGTCGACTACACAGGTACCGTCATCGTATTGGCTTTTTCCACTTTATTTTTGTTGGCTCTCAATTTTGGAGGGCAGACGTTTCCATGGAAATCAGCTGCAGTCATCGTTCCCTTGGTCCTCTCAGTTCTTCTCGTTGGCCTCTTGGTCTTTGTCGAAAAGAAATTTGCCAAGGAACCCCTGATGCCTCCACGCCTGTTCCGTAATCGATCTGTTGTAAGTGTCTTGTTGGTGAACTGGTTTTTTGGTATGACATTTTTTTCTGCTGTTTACTATTTGCCAGTCTATTTCCAAGTTGTCCGTAATGACAGCGCCATGTGGTCTGGTATTCGATTGATCCCTATGCAACTCGTGCTTTGTTTCATCTCGACATTTGTCGGTCTATCAATCTCCAAGACGGGTGTTTATAGACCTCTGATCTGTGTTGGCATGGCTTTGCTTACCTTGTGGATCGGATTGACAAGTTTATATGATCAAACAACGCCTTTTTCTCGTAAGTTTTATAGTTTTATTAAAGGGCTTTATTTCTTACGCAACATGCAGGTATCTATGGTATCACTATCATTGGCGCTGGGGCACTTGGTAGTTTATTCTCATCAACCATTATTGCCCTTCAAGCGTCTGTAGAAATCAAGGATATCGCTGTTGTCACAGGTCTTGGTAACTTTTCGCGTATCCTTGGTGGCGCTTTGGGTGTAGCTATTTCATCTGCCGTTTTAAACTCTCATTTGAATCAAGAACTCCCCCAATTGATTCCTACAGATGAAGCTTACCGTGTCATTCAATCCTCAGAGTACGTCAATCATGGTCTTCCTGAAGCATATAAGGATATAACTATTGAAGTTTATGTTACGGGCCTTCAAATGATTTGGTACGTTTTGATTGCTATGGCCGGTTTAGGGTTCATTGCATCCTTCTTTGTCAAGCATCACTCAGTACGTAGACATGTCAAAGCAAAGGCAGCGGCTGATGCTGCTGCTGCTGCTGCCACAGAGAAAGAGCAGCAGGAAAAAACTGAAGATGAAAGTGTAAAGATTGACGTTCCCGTTGAAAAAGAGGAAAATATAGATGAACAGGAATTATCAACAAAGCAGGAGTCGTCTGCCAAACAGCAAGTGTAAGCATACATGTATAGAACTTTATAATCACCCCATTCTGCATTACTATATTACTTTAATCCCGTAAGCATCACTCTTACATTACTTTCATATTCTATGTACAAAAAAATAAATCATTGTTTTATTTCTCTATTTCTTTTTATATCATTTGTACATAAATATCTATTCTTCATCGTCATCCTCACCATCATCCTCATCGTCGTTTTCATCGTCATCTTCAGCCATAGCAGACATTTCGAGTTCATGTTGCTTGATTGCTTCCTTTGCCTTATTTCTTAATACCTTGGTTGCACCCTCTTTTGATATCACTTCCATAGGTCTGTTAATTTCTTCCATGGGGACATCCAATTCATCTGTTTCTGATTTCGATCGAACGTCATCCAGCACTTTTTCTAATTCTTCATAGTAAATATCAATAATATGGTATCTAATTGCATCAGGCTTGGTTCGATCAGAAGGACTAAAGGTGATGAATATTGTGTACATTTGTATTATTGTTCACTTACTGTAAGGGCCCTTCCAAGAGCATATCGCTATAAGCATCCAAGTAAACATGATCCCAGTTTTCTCGTGCCAAAAACTGGAATGAGAAGTATATCACACGACGAAGCAGTAGATAATATTTATCAAGACGAATTCGATCTAATCCATGCCATTCTTGACAGTGAATCTGCCAGAATGCTTTTAAAAAGGGAACGGCGTTTGATGCTGGTAACTCCATCACAAGCGAACCGAGGTCGTTGGCAAGTGCTTGTTGAATCAAAGGCTTATCTGACATCCAAAAGCCTAAAAAAAATACAGAAAATAAACACTTTTGCACATAGAAGACTCTTATTGTCACTTACAGTAAAATAATCCTTTCCATAATTTCAACAGTTCAGTCTCGTTCAAGTTGGAATCAGTGGACAAAAACTTGCGAAGAGATCGAACGGCTTTGTCACGAGTCTTTTTCTCTAAAATATAATAAGAATAGGCTTCTTTATATTTCCATATTTATTTATACCATTGGCAGCTAATTGCTTTCCTAAAGGAAGATAGCTTTGTTCGATCGATTCTTCAGGCATTTGTTTTGATTAAAAAAAGAGAGAAAAAGGAAAAGAAGGTAAGAGAAGGGCAAAAAAGCCACTAAATCATGTCAACTGTCAGCCAATCATATTTTTTCTCTTGCCCTGGTATTAATGAAAAAAAGGACTTTTTCCCTTTTATATTTCATATCAACATGTTTGGTGCCTTCAGACCTTCATTAGTAGCCCAAAGTGGTTTATTATGGTAATTGGACCAATAATCAAGTCATAATAGATCTAACAACCTCTATAGGAAGAATCCTTTCCGCATGTCAGCTACTCGTAAAGCCAATGTCAGAAAGAGACTCAAGGACGTCGATCAAGTCATCTCAACTGTTGCTCAATCAGGTGTTGAGTGTAAAGCCTTGACAGAAGCATTAGCACTACCCAAGGAATCCGAAATGCTTCCACGAGAGAAATATACTGTATTCAGCCGCACAGCAAAGGGACACCGCAAATCATTCCATAAAGTGCCCAAGTTTACTAAAAAGACAAATAGAACCAGTCCTCCCGGTTTTTAAAATAAACATGTAAATAGAACTTATTTTTTGCCCTTTTTATTGCTATGCTTGGATGGCTGCTTTATAAACCCATACTGTTCGAGTGCAGTACGTGCGATATTATTGATATCTTTGAAACGATCAGGGCCTAAAGGAACACCACCATACCATCTTGTCACGATCACAACAGCATTTTCCACTTGAAGTATTTGCATTAGATGCAAAAGACGACCTAATATAATGGATTAGCATGAAAGAATAGTGAAATTGGAGATATACTTACTGCCCGCAGCCGTTTCGCCGTCATCATCGTTGTCCTGGAGTACTTTGCCATCTGGCATAGTGATGCGATATGCCAGAATGTTATGTGTTGCCTTGGCAATCTTTTTATTTTCTAATAGACAGGAAATAACTAGCTTGACTTGATGTACATTGTCGACCTTTGCTACGTGAGCAACAAAGACTGATTTACGATCGACAAGTGGCTCACTTGAGAATATCTTGGGTGGAGACTCGTTAAAATGAGAGCCCATCAAAGCCCGAACCATGGGCCGATCATGTCCTTGGTCTTCTTCTTGGTCTTCTTCTTGGTCTTCTATTTGGCCTTCTTCTTTTTCTTCTATAGATAATTGCTCCATGGCATGCACTTGCTGGTCATAAGAATGACTCTTTTCAACGTGCTGTTCCAAAAACTCTCTTAACCAACTTATCCACTCAAACAGGACAACCTGTGTCGGCTCAAAGAGAGATGTGAATCCTTGGTCAATTGCGTCTAGCAGGGTATCGTCTACTTTCTTCGCTCCACAGTAGATAGAGCTGACCTCATATACAGGCATATCTTGCATAGGATATGTTGGTGGTAGAAAAAATCGGAGGGTGAGTGTGCGTGGTGATTTGACTTGGTCATCGTCTTGATCAAGGTTGATTGTAAAGATGTAAGCGTCTGCTGATGAAGGATCTTTTTTGAGGCCTTCAGGAAATATCGCTTCCAAGGCTTCTATTTCCTGTGCCTGTAATTCTCTGTTTTCTAGCTCTTGTTCTTTATTCATTCAAGAAAAAAAAAAAGTAAAAGGTAAAGGGGCTGTGACTTGTTTCAGGCTCATAGATGTCATGGATATACATTTAAATAAACTTTTTTATTGTAGTTAATAAAGCCAACATGGCTACTTTGTGTTGTCAACATAAAAAAAGAAAGACAGAGAAAGAAGGGAAAGAGTATATATGATGAATGCATGTGTGTGTGTGTATATATATGTGGATGTGTATATTGAATGTGTATACATGTACATATCTGCAATAAGGTGTAATAATGAAATAGGTGGTGTAGTGTTGGTGTTAGAGAGGTGAATCTACTATATATGTATTTGTTTTATATATATGATGCGGTGTGTAAGTGTGAGTGTGTGTGAGTGTGAGTATGTGCATTTAATATCCCATGAAAATATACACTAAAGGTTAAGCTTCTGTCTTGGTTTTCTTGTTCTTCTTATCTTCTTCTTGACAATAATAAGATCTTTTGCTAATGGAAGTATTAAAAAGTCTAGCCTCTCTCTCTCGTTCCCCTTTCTTTTACTTACTCAGTCATAGTTCGAACCCCGGTTTCTCTAAATAATGGTGTTGATGTCGTCGGTATTAAAAAAGGACTTGTCGTCTGGATCGGGCTCAATGAATAAAACTCTGGGAAGAACGTCGTTGGTGAAGGCAAGTTTTGCGCGAATTGCGAAGGTAAAGCAGACTAGATGTTTATGCTTAGCTCTTTTTCATACATCTTTATAAGTTTACTTACCCCTGGCTCAATTCCTTGTTTTGTCGTATCTTGAGGTATTGTCACGTTTAATTTAGGTCTTTTGTCAGGCGTACCGGGTTCAGATTTGGGTGATTGATCTGGAGATGGATGAGGAGGCGAATGATACAGGGCCGGAGGGGGCGTTTTGTTTTGATGGCTGTTATTGTTGTTGTACAATGTTCCAGCCTCATGCATCATAACTGTGGCTGGATGAAATTGTTGTGTCATCATATGTCTGTGCTCCTGTTGTTGCTGCATGTTCTATTTATTATAAAAAGTTTAAAAAACTTCTATTTTTAAGTTGTCATGGTTACCTGTTGCAGTAAAAATAGCTGCTGTTGCTGCTGTTGTTGTTGTTGTTGTTGATACAAATCAAAAGGTGTTGGCAACACATTATTTTGCAATAGCAATGGATGACGAACGTTGGTGTAACCATGGGGGCGTGTCGTATTAAACGGAAATGACATGCTTGGCTGAGTCGGGACCACCATGACAGGTTGTTGCTGTTGTTGATGTTTTTGCTGGTGTTGTTGTTGTTGCTGAGGTTTTATTTCATTGACAACTTTTTCGGATTGTTCTAGAGTGTCATTATCAGATTCATCATCTACATGGTGACCACTCTTGGCTGCATTCTCCATAAACTATGCATACGATTAGTTTTTCTTGGTTTTCTATTATAGAATAAACTTACATCTTCATTTGTCTTTATCTCTCGAGGGCAATCGCTCTATTTATAATTTTAGCTTTTTTTTTAAAAAATGGTGAGAGGATGATCAATCAGTATGTACCTTCTTAAACCGGGTTAATAAAGAATCCATGTCAGAACTTGAGTATTGAATGATTTTATTATTGGATGGTATGATCACTAGCGCCACTTCACAATTACATAGCACACTTAATTCATAGGCCTTCTTCATTAAACCATGCTTCCTCTTTAAAAATGTTACTTGTCTATTACGGTCATCTTTGATAGGTTGAATTTGAATCTTTTTACGTCCCATTTATGTGGTGTACTGTTATGTAAAAGAGAAAGAAAAGCAAGAAGGCAAAAGTTATTTAACAACAAGAACGGTTTGGGTTAATCTTCGGCAATGTTACCTTTCTTTCTTTTTCTCGAATAAAAAATGAAAAAAGTAAAAAGAAAAAAGAAAAACCAAAAAAGGGTTCAAAATAAAACCTGAAATTAAAAAAAAGTCCAAGAAAAAAAAATTATTTTTAGAAACAAAAAAAGGGATGGACACATTGACAGTAATGGAACTGGTTCTAAACTGAAAGCGGCTTTTTAATATAGAATGTGCTGAGTAGAAGAGGCTTTTTGCTGAGTGTCATGAGTTGTCCTTGTTTACGATCGAGCTCTCTCTCTTTATTCTCCCCTTGTTAATACCGACGCTTTCTCCCCTTTTTTTTTCATATTCATTTCAATCATGATTTCTCATTCGCTTTGATTGACTTTTTCAATTTAGATGAAACGTATCCAATTCGATCATTTTATTATTATGACGCGTTTGAAGAAGTGGTTACTTTTGTGTAGCTCTCTGGCCACCAATTTCATTTAGTGTCTTTCCTTCAATAAACCTCTGAGTTAAAAATACATTGGCATGGCCTGTGCACTTTATATTAATCTCTTCAAAAGGTGATTTAAATTCAATTTGATACGTCGTCGTAGGATCGTCTTCAGTGATATTATGTTGAATCCAATCCAGCAATCGATTTGCAAAATTTAAACATACAGCAGGGTTCTTTTCGTTATTAGTGATGATATCACACTCTGATTCTATGTCACTTACCCACGTGTTTTTCGTGTTTCTTACTTGTCGAGGAATTTCTAATGTCTTGTATTGCTTCACTTCCATTAATAGACCATTGTCATTTCTAAACCCACAAATAATTCGTGGTACACCAACAAGAAAGGATTGTGCCCAAAATTTCAATAGTTTGTATCTAACACCCGCATTTGCAATCATATACACATAACGCACTTTTTTTTTCTTTTTTCTTTTTTTACCTTTGAAATGAGTAGTCATGTCTACCTGTTTCTATTACTCTAGATGTCTTTAATTCTATATAATTGCTCAATTGTGCAGTGGGATCTTTTGGTTTGATGTCTTTCCTATCTTTATGAGTATATTTTGTAAAATAAAAGAGTGCATCAATACCTCTACAGCAGTCCACCTCTGCTCCCATAATAATGGAATTATTGCCTAATTTTGTCTTTACTACTACACAGTACTGTACATTTGTATTTGCACTCTCATTATCGCGTTTCTTTAGCTCTTCCTTGTTTACTTTATGTGGTGGTTGACTGACAGTACAGAGTGTTTCAAATCGATAGCCCCAATATCCCATAAGTTTTTGTCGATCTGTGTCTTTGCTATTGTCTTTTAATGATTGTTCTTCAATAAAAATAGTTCCCTACAGTGTACACACATATATATATTAGCTGACTGTTAAGCACTAGAGTCTATAGTGTATACATTGTATCTTGTCGCACGTAGTTCCCAAGCATCTCTTCGACTATAGGGTGTACATAGTATCTTTGTCATTATACCACGCCAAGTAACCTAGCATATTGTTTAGTCATTCGTGTACACATATATATATAAAATCGATATACAATCTAGTTACAATATCAGCTTGTATATCCGATGGATGCTTCTGTTTTACTGTCGTGAGTGCATCAAGTAAGGTATCAATGTGTTCAGATACTGATTCGTCTCTTTGAATAAACTGATCGTAACCAACATTCAAGTCTTTTCCTAAAGGTGGATAATAATATTTCTACTTGACGTTAATTCTTTTCCTTGTCATTACTTATAATTTTACCATTTCTCGATCATCAAACCAAACTCGTCGATGATGATCTATGCTATAACATGTTAATTCCTGAGGCTGCTTATACACTGGAAATGAGCCTTCGTATCGTTCATTAGCTTCTAATGGAAACGAAAATTGGCTCCTTTTAATCATTTCTGTCTCATTTAATTGTGTTGTTGCTGATCTTTTTGACATTAAAGAAATAAAAAAGGAACGTGAAAAGAAAAATGCTCGAATAATGAAAGATAGTCAACTTGGGTCTCAGAACCCAAAGCATGATCGTTCCTTCTTGATGGCAACTTGGCTTGGACCCAAGCCTTTATCATCCAAAACTGTTTCTCTACTTCTGACAAGCTTCTTGTCATATTAACTGCTTTATAAACCTACTTCACTATATCAGTTTCCGGAAACTCTAAAAGCTTCAGGCAATCACCTTCCGTGGATCACACAGCCTTTCTTGGCTTACTTGGGAAATACAAAGCAAGCATGATTAGTTTAATTGCCCACAATAGCCACTACCTTCAAACAAGTAATGCAAACCGCTGGCATCAATACAACAACGTTTGACCCCACTCTATTAGAGCAGCCTCTAGCACAAAGCAGTGCAAGTAGGTCATAAAGCTGACGACATTAAGAAACATTCACACTAGAGCTTATCGGCAGACATGTTTGAACGATTCTATTATAAACCAGCTCATCAACTTCAGTACAGATATCATCAACTCGATATTTTTTGGTTCTGAAAATAATACCACATCTAGAATCGAAATAGAGGCAATTAGGTACGACATATACAATTGTAGTTCTATTGTCAATCTTTTTGACTTGAATAAAAAAAAATCAATGTTCAATGATAATCATTGCAAACGTTTTTATGTCCCCTTTGTGAGTAGTTTAAATTACAGCGTATTGATCGTAATAATCGGTAGAGTAAAGGCAGTAGAATATCTTGGCATATTATGCATTTTAAAATAGACCCTTACACCACCAACTATCTCTTCCTTTCAAAACCGGGAAGGGAATTTTGGATTGCATCAAAGGGTAGCTCGGTAATTATCTCACATATATACGCACACACAAAAATAGAATGGCAATAGACACCTCACGCGCGTGTGAATATTTTATATATATCTTTATCATTATGCAATTGCCAAAACATAATTGCTTGTCCCTTACACTTGCTATTCATACCAAATGACGCATATCACATATACACGTGTGTATTCGTTTTCTTCAATGGCTTTGAGGAAAGACCACATAACTCAGTGGCTCACTTACAGCAGCAGAAGCAGTCTTCACAGAAGTCATGATATACTCATCTAATCCAGGTAAATCAGGTTCGAATGATACAATCACTTGGATCTTCACAGACGCTGCTTCCGTCCACGGTGGCAATTCAAGTTCAATATCTGTTGACAGCTTGTAACTAAGTGGAGTCACTGGCTTAAAGTGACTATAGGCTGGCCAAAATACATGTGAGGATTCATTAGGCAATACGACCTAAGAGGGGAAATTTCTATTAGACTCATCTAAATGGAAAGACTTCATACTTACCTCGATAGCAATGTACGTAATATCATTCACATTAAATATGTTGGCTTCCACATGGAGCTTGAGTTTGTATATCGCACTATATTTTAACGGCTTATCTGCGTTAGGTAATGGATAAGTAATAACGGCTGATGTATGTTTCACGGGATTATTATCCAGTTGCATAGGTACAGGTAAAAAGGACTAGATAACAAATCAGTCAATGTATATGTATATAAAGGGGGCTTACCGTAATGAATGAATACAGCGCAGTCATGTTGGAAGTATTTGGTAACTCAATTGCCTTTACTAAATCGTTTTTTAGGTCATCAAGAATGGTATTATCATGAACTTTATGCTGGAAACATCTATACATCTAAAGTAAGTTACAAGCAGATATTGTCTTGTTTTTCTTACGATTGAACTAACTCAACACGCTGTTTGGCAGCAATCAGCATATGTTTCAAATCAAATGATGTATCGCCCGACCTATAAGCAACTGTGAGATATAGCTCATCTTTTTCTTTCTTATAGTTACACTGGCATTTGTTTAACTACACTAAACAGCCACACCATATTTCCCAAGATGCGAAAGAGAGCAGCCGCGTGCAACACGTTAACAGAGAGCCCCAAGAAGGTATGTTCGATCGTATATGAGTATTTGAAAAGTAAAGCAGCGTCTTGCCGTACTGTGGGCGACAAGACGCCCACTGAGTGACTTTGCTTTATCTTGATCATGATATTGTAGCATTCGAGATAAAGTTGACCTAAATCCGATTTCCCAGCATCCACAGGCTTTAGACTGGCAATATATTTGAAATTACTATATAAACGAGTCAATCATTTCCATGTTTTGACATTTTCTCTTTCTCTTTTACCGTGCTGCAGCCTCCAGTGTTACCAAGGCAAGCTTATACTCATCGTTTCTCATAATTTGAGTTTGAATCACCTGAAGCATCTCTACAGTGGCCTTTGTATAAATCTCTGCATCATCTGTTGTTGCCTTTTTGGACCGATTAAATGTCATGGGCAAACAATCAACATCGCCTTCTAACTTTATTCCAGCGTTTTTGTATAGCTTTCTTAAATCAGGTAAACAGTCAGCATACTTGCTCTTGAAGTAGGCAAAGTGTCTGAATATATATTTTGGTAAAGTCGTGAGCAGTCGCATATTGGATACACACGCATTGGCTATTAATATCACATAAGCAGTGTACATCATGTCGTCAACATTAGGTTCTCTTGGCAAAAACCGACGATCGAGCTTGAGCATATGCGGTATTAAATTCTCCACATAATCATCATGACGCTTCCCTACTCGACCTAGGCATCGATAAATAGATAGCATGTCCTCCGGGTATCGTTTCATGTTGGCTTCAAGCGCTGTGAGTAAGGTTGTCATTGAACTTTGTTGTGTCAGCCGAATGACTGTAAATAGATCGTGTGTGGCATGCCTGGCAACAGATTCTTTGTCTTCAAGAGCTCCTACTGCAATTTCAAGCTGCTCCTCATCAAACTCCACAAGTGATCTTGTGCCAATCTTACGAAGACTTTGAATTGCATTTACTCTTATCTTATCAATTTCATCGTTAAACATGTCTACAAGATTCTCCACTGCCTTCTTTGTCAACTCTTCATTGTACAGACATAGCTCCCCAATCGAATCTATAGAATTGTCAAGAGAACTGCGGCATTTTGGTATGTAAGTAATTACCAATAGATGCGTATCTCACTTCTTGGTACTCGTCTTCCAATCCATGAATGAACGCACCACATGCGCCTGAATCCAGGAGGTGGAACTCATCGGATTCCACGTCAAAATCACCTTCTGCCACAGGTATCATTCCATTTGCGTACTATAGAGAACACACATGAGTCATATGGCTATTTTATAAAAAGATTTTTCGTCCACCTTCTTTTGCTGCATCCTCCACTTTGGAAGAGATCGTTTTAAATGTGACATGATTTGTTTGCTAAACGTCTGCTTTAGCATGTCTGTGCCCACATTCTGATAAGATGCCATCATCACACAGGCCTTTGTACGGACCATGACCGCAGCATCATTGACCAAGTCGCACACTTTATTAAACGCGTCATCAATAAGTCGCGTTGTTTCTGTGATTTCCTCATGTGCCAATTTTAATCGATGTTCAGGGTACAGTGAACTCAACACACTACAGTATACACGATGAGTGATTTCTTCAAGCTTTGTCAAATGGATACCTTTACCCCATCAAATTTAATCCACCAATGCGAACCTCTTCATAATCGTCTCTTAGGGCTGCTACTGATAAGTGGTATATTGATAAGTCAAGAGGACATCCTCGTTGGTGCATTTGAACAAGTGAATCTAGAGCACTCTATATCTATATAAGCACATCACTTTTTTTTTTAATTGGCCTATACACACACCTTTCTCACTCGAGGGTCTTGGTCTTTAGCATACTGGCTGATAACCTTTTGTATTTCCATTTCAGACATGATTTTGTCTTTATCCATGTTCAACTCCTTTAGTATAAAAGGTAACAATGAGAGCAATGGGATCACGGCTGCTCTCACTTTGTGATGTGTGCTGGATAGATCAAGCATAAGCTGTTCAAAGAGAGAGAATAACAAGAGTTTACTATGCTCGTCAACAGCAATGCGTCTCCTCTAGTTTTTTTTAAATGAGTTTACTGATAATAAGCTTTATATGCGCGTGTGTGAGTGTGAGATCTACCTTTAATAGTTTGCATATACTGTTGTATATATGGTATTTCACTTTGGTTGATTCATCTTTTAACTAGTTACTTGACCTTGTCAATACTTTCACGCTAAAAAACAAAAACAAAGAAACTTACTTGTGCCAACAGCCGTTGAAAGATCAGCAAGTTGTTGATATTAGGAAACTGACAGCATTTTTCTATTAACAAGATGATCATGGCCTTTGTTTAAGGAATTAGCGTTTGTTTTCTAGTATGCTTTATAAACATTACTTTGGCATCGTTGTCTGTTTCTACTTCAAGTCGATCAAGTAATGCTTGAGTTAATGTTGTTTGTTGATCAAGTGATATAAAAAATACATATCGGGCAATGTCCAATAATGTCTAAATAAAGAGCTTAATTTCATTTGTTGTTTATCTTTCTTTTCTTACCTTGATACGATCTTGAACAAGGTTGGAACTTAAGCCATCAAACGATGGAATCCATTCAATACTGGCATGATCAACAATGGGAGCATCAACAGTAATAGAACTATATAATATTTAACAAGACATACACGCTTTTTCATATATACCATTTTACCTGTCTCTGTTGACCAAGGCTGCTTCATATCCTCGTTTCATCAAGAAAAGACGGGTTTAAAAGAAAAGGATGGCTGTTATTTTTGAGAAACGGCGCCAAAAATTCTAGGAACAGTGACACCACACATAAGCGCGCCTTTATTTCTTCATATCGCATTTCTATCTATACACACATAAATCCCCTTCCTCTTTCTCCCTTTCTTTCTTTCTTTCTCTTCAATGGTATCATACATCCTTTTTGGGATAGCTGTGTGACGTATTAGTGCCAAGTCTTTTTTTTATTCTTTTTTATTTCTTTTCTTTCAGCAATGTAAACATGTTTAGCATTTACTTTATTTTTTCTTTTCAAGGCATTGTATTTGCTTGTGTTGTTGCTTTCTTACTGTACATAGTCCGAGGTTATCCTCAATGGAAAACCGATCGCCAAGAACAACAACAACAACAACAGCCAGCAGAAACTATTAAGAGCACAGGGCATAAACAACAAGAAAACAACATTGAGAATCTGTCTATTGCACACTATATCCTTGTCTCACCATTTGCTGCACTCTATATTCTTGCTCGAGTCATATTTGACACAGTTCGATTCAGCATATACTACGCACTTTGGACCATAGAGCGAGTTATACCCTATATAGATGATTGGTTATTTGAAACAGTCACCGTATCACTTCCGACAAAGATAAATAAATGCAGTCAGTGGTGGGAGGAGAGGGGAGGTCCTGCGTTTTATGCGTACCAGGCAAACTTTAGACAGCACACGTTACCAGTTGTGTTACAGTATGTGGAAAATACGACTGTTGCTATTTATCACATTGGCTGTGCTATTCAGTCATTGTCACAGGAAACAATGATTGCCTGGAGAAAGTTTATTAATGCTCACGATTGGAAACAACTCGCAGAGGATTTGTGCGAGATTGGATATAGAAATATTTGGCAACCCACGACAGCAGTCATATCACGTATCATACATCTTTGTCGCCTGGTATATCAAGGCGTAGCACACTTGTACATATCTGTCAAGAACGATGTGGTATGGATAGCTACTGTAGTCGTGCCTACTGTGTATGACTATTGCGCATCAACAAGGCTTGTGCAGCTCTTACAAAGAGCGGTAATGGTTAGTCGTCGTGTGCTGTCATGGATAGGTGTCCAGATAAAGGACCTTGTGCTTGCGCCTACCATTGGTCGAGTTTTGACCTGGTTAGTAAAAGCTATTGATCAGCTTTTGTTGATGCTTCAAACACATCAATTTCAACAGCGTCTAGAGAGTATGTACATGTTCTTGGCACCACACATTGTCTGGACACTTTCAGAGTGCTGCCTACTGGGATCTTATTTGGCCAGTCTATTGAAGACAGCATATTTTCAAATTATTTACCCAGCCTATAGGCTGTACGTTAAACATGTTATGCCACGATTATCTGCCACTTATCATCAACTGAGAGATAAAGTGAGTCATTACTTTGTTACCTATATCTACCCCACATGGCTACGCGTTGTACCGTACCTCGAAAAACCAGCCGCCTGGCTCTACTTTATGATTGGACCACTTGTCCATAATGCCTGCAAGCGTTTGTTTGATGTCATTGGCGCATATTTAACTCAGGTCGTTGGGTATATGCACATAGTAGCTTCTCAATGTCTGAAAGTTACCCTTGTCCTCACCCATCGTATGTACATGGCTTTACAGAGCTGGCTGACAAAGCAAGCTCCACTGTTGTCAAGCTCATTACAGCAAGTCTCGGGTTATCTCTACAATCTGAATTGGCAGGCAATGACGAGCGAGATAACAAGCATTGTCTATGCTATCTATCAATGGACTACTGAACAAGGAGGCTTAGTCTATGCTTCCCTTGAACGATCCTTAACGACATGGGCTAAAGAACAAGCTAAAGCAGCAAAAGATATAAAGACACAATAATCAGATGTATTGTATGTAGTCAATAAAAATATTCTTTGAAATCAGGCTTTTGTATATAGTGTTTAATACATGTCTTATAAAACTGAATTACTTTTGGAAAGCAGGAAAATCGGAAACTATTCCAAAAAGTAGCGTAAAAACACTTGATGAAAAGCAAAGAGTATTACACTCAAGCGCACCCTTACTGTGGTCACATTGCTTGTCTTTGCACACTATGACAAAGTCGCCATATTTCAACGTATGATGTACGATAATGCGTTACCATAATTGATGGGAAAAATATATATGTTGCCATAACTTTTTTTTTTTGAAGATATTGCCAACACTTGCTTTAAATAGTAGTCATTGCTCCATTGTCATATAGTTTCCCCTCAACAGACACTCATTTGTCTTTTTTGGCGCTTTTTAATAAATAAAATAAAATGTTGTCAGCGATTAATAATGCTTCCAGCCTTCAAAGAACTAAAAAAAGCACGAAAAGAGCAATTGATGGCATGAGCCTCCAGTCAACACGAGGAGTTCGCGGAATTTAGAACAATTGAAGCCGATGCGAAAAATGATGACACATTTGGAACTAGGCCTATGTATGAAAGCTACATAACGCTTCCTAGAATTCCGAAAGACGAGCTTGACTATTTGATACATAGGATTGACTTCGATGACCAGAGTTCGAAACCTAGGAAGTGCTGGGGAGTTCATTCATTCTGGTCATTCTGTTATGTGTAGTTAGATCGCCTTACCCCTTGCATGACACGTGTTACAAGAAAGTGGCCAGCCCTTTGTCACTTTGTAATATCGCTAACTGCGTCTTCTCATGTCTACTGTGGGATTGCTCAAGCGGGAATAGATTTGTTGTCTGCTGTAGAGAAATACGAACATTCTGGGACTCTCTTTACCTGGTATTTGCTTAGGAGTTATCCTTTGATGCTCGAATTACCAGCTTTCTCAAGAAGGTTCAATTGTTCTTTTTTTTTTTTTCTCATCACATGTCTTTACATGCAAAAGACATCACTGTCTGAATTATGCAAGTCAATTCGCTCTTTGCCTTCTTTGTAACTGATTCCATTTCCTTCAGTGTCTCATTGCCACTTTCTATCTAGAAATTTAGTCTATCATTAATCTGTCGGAGAAATGACACGATGCCTACAACTGCCGAAACACTCCCCGTCCCTGACACTATCCTCCAAAAACTAAGTGCATGGCTAGTAGATGCAAAGCAACTCGCAGTAAAAAATTTTATATATTTCCCGAGAAATAGAGAATATACAGATCCTGCTCTTTATCTTTGACAACTGTAGTCATTTTGTCACTTTTTATGGCACGACAGCTTTTGAATTGGGTGCAGGGTATGCGTCTGATATTGGGAAAGAACGGTAAATTAGTTGAACCAAGCTAATGAAACTATAATATTTAAGGTGGCACATCTTAATATCTCATGATGCAGGGAAAAAAATGACACCCGTCTTATGTAAAAAAAAAAAAAAGAATACTAAAATATATAGCAGCAATCTCGGAAAAAATGAACTTGTCGTAGTTCGATATGTCTTAGTTTTCAAGGTAACAATGCTAAGTGAAAGAATGCTCTATTTTAGATTCATTCTATTAGCCAATAACTTGACGAAATTATCTTTAGCAACACTCTAAATAAACAAAGGCGCAACTAGTTTATGGGACTAGAGTTTTATTGGCTGAAATTGTATCTTTTAATTATTGTAAATTCGTAGAATTCCAGTGAAAAATAGTTACCATTTATAGTAGTTTTTAAACAAACAGATTGATTGGAGAATATAAAGGACATCGGCCAATCAAATGTATAGTTTGGATTGGGTAAAAGTGTAAAAAGTTAAATTCCCAGCAACGAAAAAAAAAAGGAAAAAGAACTTACCTCTTTTAGACTTGGGCTAGACTCTAGAAAACAGTGAAACTCCCTTTTTTTTTTATTCTTTTCTCTCTCTCTTTTTCATGCCTTTTAACTGCTACTATTTTTCTTTTATATTATAAAAATGGATTTTATGACAGGTCAACAACAACATGGTGATTGGCTTGGTCATCATCTAAAGAAAAGTTTTATATTAAGCCTACCAAAAGAACTATTATTAGAGATTATCACCAATGTAGCACTTCTTGAATCTATGGATTCATATCCAACTTCTTTAATCGAATTATCATTATGCTGTAAATACCTTTATTATCTTGTACATAAAGACCCCTGGAGATTACAAACATTATGGTCAAGAGCATTTCACTATAGATTTGATACAAAGGCCATCTATAGAAGAAGACTGGTTCACCACATCGATTGGCAACGTCAGTTAGAAAGAAGATTTAGAGCACTGTACCTATGTCGTTCATTCGCTTTAAATCCAACCCATACTCGATTATTAGAAATGATGGATTGGGAAATTATATGGAATATGCTGATAGAGCATGGTAATAAGCATGGATGATGTATCTGCGTATTAGCTCTAATATATTCAATAGATCACCATAATATCCCTCTTTTACTTAAATATCAAGTCCAATTTGCTGCAGGAGTTGCCTTTCAATTAGGCCGTTTTAATGATCGAGAAATCTATCCTGTGGTGTTACCTATTTTATCATTACTGGTCAATTATGGTAATCCAATAAATATACACCCTCACACGTGTTCTTACCCTTTATTTTTATATTCATAGACTTCACAATCACCCGATTTTTTACCTTTCAGACTTCCTCTTCTGTTGTCACACCTGAAATAAGCCAATTCGCCTACAACTCTGACGCAGATTCGCTCATTACAAAACATACACCTTATAAATACAATTACAATCATCACCCAAATTCAACTCCCATCAGATTCTATCCTGCTCAAGATCCTATCGCCTCTGCCTTTCATCTCTTCTTTACAACTATCTTTGCTGCGCATCCAAATCTCTATCAAGCCATTCCTGGTTGCATCCCGATTCCTTTATTCAACCTACAGTCTGAGCTATTTGATGTTGAATTCCTTCGCCGCTATGAACGAAACCTATTCTTCTCTTCTCTTCAACAACACACTATTCCCAATATTTACGCTGACACTGGATTTGCTTCATCTCAATACTATGTCAGTGATGCTCATCAAATCGAAGGTGACTGGATCGGCTATTATACCTTTCAGGACACGGACGAGAATGTAAATAGTATGGAAGACTGGTTTGATGGACCAATGCGTATCAGTCTCAGAATTGTGCCACTCGAGACTGACCCTGTTCAAGGTGACACAAGTGTCACGCCAAAGGAACCTGCTAGAACCGGCCTATTTCCTTCTGCTCACCTCCGTACTTGTCCACTTACTCGATTTGAAGGCACTGGTATTGATAACTCGGGCGCCTTTTCTGTTTCTGGTCTTATTGATGACTCTGAAGATGGTCAAATCACTTGGGAAAAGAACTATACAGAATCAGGTGAAACCTGGGAATACTCTGGTCGCTTTGTTTGGCCAGTAGGACTATGCGGAAGATGGGGAGATGAAGAATATGGTGGTCCTTGGTGGATGTGGAAGATGAGCAACAATGAAGCTAATGTGCCCGCTATTGCTACGAATCCTAAATAATTCTTTGTACTATTATTATAACTTACACTGCTTCTTCAGGCTAAGAAACTAATATGCACACACACATATATACACACATTCCCTTCTTTTTTCTATACAACTATATTTCTGTACGCGCATCATCCATTTCATTACATAAGCATTTTATCTTTACATAATCGCAATAAATTTCCGCTTTATTGTTTTTTTGACAGCTCCTCGTTGTTCGACTCGGACTTTGAAAATGTGCTTGTGTATTCAAGCACATTAAAAAAAAACCACTAAAGCCTCGTGAGACATGAGATTTATCACTTTATATTAAAGAATCATTATATCGATGTATTAATGAGAAACATACTCAATTTAAATGTGCACAGAGTGAAGTGTATAGTGTACAATCAACGAGGTATTGCACTCACTCAGCTCGCTGGCATTATTTGAGAATTACATAAGGCAAACTTCACATTTTCCAGTCATTTAATATCTCCAACTGCGTATGCTTACTGATATACAACCGCATATATGCCGCTAAAATGACATGTGCTGCCCCTTTAAAAAAGCTATCATAGAATGCACTGTTTCAGTCATGTATAAAATACTCGAGTTCCAGGGGCTGTATTTGAGTCATGAACAATCGAATGATAAGGGGGAGAGAGGGATAGAAATAAGCTCACAGGAGAAGTAACATGATGCATACAGCAATGTATATTCTCCGCTACACAGCACTGTATTCTCCGCAAGGGTCAGCAACTTGGGTCAAGGTATTGCTTTTACCATTTCACTGGAGTACCGTCAAGCTCCTTTTTTTCACGTTACCTTGCATAGTACATGGAACTTCACATTGAGTCCATAAGGATATTATTGTATTATTTAGTATATTTGGTGTTGCAGGTGAATTCTATCAAAAAAAAAAAAAAACATCTTTATTATACGCAAGCAATTTTCCTTTATGTATTAAAAGCGCTACAAGATCAATCTTTCATTCTGTCATTCTTTTATTCATCACGTGTTGCCAAAACAGTCTTTTTAACCTGTATGAAATGCCATCCATGATAGTCTGGCTCAAACTCCCGTTTACACGTCCTACTACATTTTGTAGGTGCTGTGTGCATACGGATACCCCTTGGGCACACCCAGTAAGGCTCTTGTATGCTTAATGTTGCAATCTCTTCAAATTCCAAAAGAATGTCACTTACGAGTTGGCCATCATTGTTCTTGAATCCTTTGGTCCTTTTCATGCGATCGTACTCTTCTGCATAAAGTATTTTATATATTCTTTCTTTTGCTTCTTCTTGTGGACTGTTTAGTATGTGTATCTTTTCATCAATGATGCTGTCCATGAAAGGTATCTTGTAAAAGTGGACTTCTTCTTTAAGACGCGTAAGTATATTTGAATCGGAAGGCAACGAGCTTGCATCGGCCGTTCTGAGATACTCCAGAATATACCCAAACAATTCACCGTCTCGATTCACCAGTAGCCAATCTGCATTTGCCCATATTTCAGGTCTTTTGAGAATCCTTCTGAGAATCTTTTCAAAATACCTAGAGACCATCAAAGTGTGGTAAAGCGTAGTATACCTGTAACCACCAATATCTAACTGAACAACAATGCTTGGCACTATCGAGTCTTTCAGAGTGTTTCCCCAGTTTTGCTGAGACTCAGGGCCTGAAAAAGGAACCTTTGAATCTACACTTTTAAGAAAAGGATGCTTGGAGTAGTTTGGTGTTGTGCAAAATTTTAGAAATCCCAAATTACTCATGATAGAAAAAGGAATTATGAATGAAGAGAAAAGGATAAAGAAAGTGCTTATATAACAGTGTTTGATGTCGATTAATTAGACTATGAGTTATTTTATGAGCTTTTTTATGCATAAATTGTTACTCTATATAAAAGATGATTTTATGGTGATAACTGAAAGTATGGCTATTATATTCAAGAGGTATGTGTAATGAATATTTTATATTTTACGTACATGAACGAACTACAATGGCCGATTTACGTGTGTAGAAAAAGTAGTGCCTTGTATAGTATATTCTTTACGGCGTTTATGGTCAACTTGAAGCGTAGACTACAAGTGTTCAAATCAATTTTAGTTAATCACAGTAAAATTGTAAAGAGTACGACTAGTTGTGACAGTGACTTTAGCAAAAGCTATATTAGGTAAAAGATTAAGATTATTTCTTTTGCGAAACAAAAAATATTTTGCAGGTTTAGATGTAAGACTACCCGGTCTTCTGTTAAAATCAAGGCATTCACAGGACCCTATATGGTCGGGGATATTTCTGATACATTGTTGCTCTGAAGTAATGCATTCAACAATAGCTCTAAACTTGTATTTCTCGGGGAAGCTTTTGATAGGGATAACGCCAGTTTTAGTGTAAGCCCAGCTATTGGGTTTTTGTGTATGCTTATCAATAGGTATAAAAAAGAGATCCTTTTCTTTGCTTTACCTCCTTTTCAACTTTTCATCTCTTCGACTTGGTAAAATTCAACTTCTTCAGACAAATTTTCCAAGAGCTCCACATCGAGCTTATTCCATCTTACTGTTTCATTTCGCAGGTATCTCAATATATGTTCAAATAACTTTCCGGATCTGTCTACAAATATTTCACCACTATCTGTTTTTTCATTGTTCTGTATTTCTGTCTCGAGCAAATTCTTGAAGAACAGCACTTTCTTTAAAGTAACCTCATACGTCAGACAGAGGTCACCTCCAGCGTTAAGTTTAACTAGTTTTGCTTGCCGACTTTCAGATTCTGACGTGTCAAATCGAATTAATGTGAAGTTCCTGGAAAGAGAAGGACTAGATGCACTTGATTACTGGATATTTATATTTCCACTATAATATCACCATTATTGCTTATCATAACTATCTATCACAACTACTTATCATGAAATTTTTTCATTTGAAGCTCCTTTATGCATTAATTTTATGCAAAATATTCACAATATTCATAATATGTCTTTCATTACTATCTATCTGTTTGCTTTAAAGCTCTTTATTCTGTCTCAGAAGATTATTGACTGCAATAAATTGGGCGGTATAACTTTCCAACTCGCCTCCATTTTATCTATGGCTGCTATTTGTAAGAATATGACCTTGCTCTTCACATTACGCTTTCTTGTCCTTAGGTGTCTTCTGATCTACTGTGCGATCGCTGCAGTGATACTGTCTCTCTAATAAACACGTTTTGGAATGTGATATTCTACTTCTTCTCCAATTCCAGCGAATCTTTCCTCATATGTTTGCATATTCAGGAAGTTGACTGTTACCAAGCCCTGAATTTATTACTATGTATAACTCTTGACTCCAGTAAACTTGATTTCCAGTATGCGTGTCCTCCTGTGTTTTCATTTCGCCGCTAATCTTATTCAAAGCTCGTACGTTGTGGTATCGCTTTTTTTAATGGTAAGCTGCATCATTAGTTCTTAATGGTCCGATCTAGCCTGAGTGTACCTGAGTTGCAGTTACAGAGCCTATTAAAGCCAATAGCCGCAAAAAACCAACTAAAAGTATCCAAGGTTTTATCCTCCACATTCTTTCTTTTAAAAAGGAATGCATTACTACATGTCTTTATTCACGTAACATTCTTAATGGATAAATCATTTATTACTGTTATTATTTTAGCTTATTAGCAAAAAAATATTTAATTGAAAAAAAAGAAGCTAAATATGATATTAGTTGATTGCATATTTTCTTTCTGGGAGCAATAATCACAAAAAAATCATGCCATAATAAAGTAGTTATTCCCTGGTTGAGACCAGCGCATAAGGCTTGCCTACAGTTATCCAGCGACCGTTTCTTGTTTCCATATTGCTAACCACGCAGGTACAAGGAGAATCGTGATCAGTGACATTAGCTGCGCACTCCCATACTTTTTCTGCACAGTCTATGACTGTAATCAGATCATACTTGCTGGATACATTTTTAATATGGCTCTCATCTTTGTCATGGCAGTTGATCGTATGCTTAATCTTGTCGAATGGCACAAGAGAGAGGTTGTCTACATTATGACCAAGGCTTGCAATTTCCTCTTCTATTGCGTTCTTCATTCCCTTGATTTGATAAAAGTCTGCTTCATGCCACAGTTGTGCTAGAATCCTTCTGTCAAGTTGCTTCCAATGGAGTGTGCCATGTACCAAATAGTCTAACACGTGTGCAAAGAGCTCCCCGCTTCGATCCACAAAGTACTCACCGTTTACGGTCTTTCCGCTGTTTTGCATCACATTTTCAAGAAGATACTTGAAGAATAAAGACCTTTTCAGAGTATCATCGTATGTTACAAATGATCTGCCACCAACATTGATTCTTATAATAGTTGCTTTTTTAACTTGAGATACGCACATAATTACTTCAAACTGGTAAGAAAAAGAAAAAAAAGGGTAAAAAAATAGCCAAACATGAACAGCTTTTATATGAGATGAGAATGGTTTATGCGTTAGTTTATGCATTATGCAGGCGTTTTCTAAGATATATTGAAAAGTTATTATTGCAGATATATAACTATAATACTTTAAAGATGTCAAAAAATTAAAGCATATTGTAATAGTAGAGCATCCTTAGTGCGTGTCTAGGCTTTATTTTCCTTATTAGATGAGAGTAAATGGCATCCTTCAGCGTAATATCACATTAATCACTGATTGATTTCGCTTGCTGCTAGCATGAGTGTCGATTTGTAGAAGTCTTTCCTTATACAAGTTGAGCATATTAAGCATGACAGCGTCACCAGTTGTCATACTAGTGCTTTATGAGATTACTCTGAAATGAACAACACAATAGATTGGCAACAAAGCATATTATTCCAACATGGCGCGTCATACCCAATTTTCATTGACTGTAAATACTCCTGTTTGCATATAAAATGACAATGCCTAATAATGGACTCTTTTTTTCTTCATTTTAAAGAGATAATAGAAATCTGTCGACATACATCTTTTTTATTATTCAAAAAAAGGATACACACAAAAAACCCTTTATTATCTCGTAGCAACGATAATCCTATCGATATTCTTAAAGTACCATCCATGCTGCTCAGGGTGAAATGCACTCTTACAATGTTTTCCACACTCAACAGGAGAAGAATGCTTTGATATTTCTCTTGGGCACACCCAATACGGCTCCTGAGTGGAGATTGTTGTAATTACTTCATAGCTTTTACAAATAGTCTGGGCTTCTTGCTCTTCATCACATTCTAGGTTGACGGATGACAGCTTATTAAATTCAGGCATGGAAAGCACTGTGTACGTTCTTTGTTTTTCCAAATGATTGAACTTGGCTGAATGGAGTTTTCTTTTGACTATTTTTTCCATTTCACTCAATTTGTAATATTTTACTTCTATGAGTAGCCGGTCAAGCGTAAACGTATCAGAAGGCAAAACCAGATATGCTTCATTCTCCAAATATTGATATATGTATTCAAAAAGATTTCCATCGCGATCAACAAACACTTCTTCTCTGTCAAATGACAATTCAATGTGGTCTGTGACAGGAAACATGCCATCAAAGAATGGAATAGTGTTGAGCTTGCTTTGCTTAATCGAGTAAATGATGCCTCCCACGTTTAAATTGATGATAGGGCTGACATGAGTTTTTTTCTCTTCCTCTGGTTCTTGATGTTCACAAACTTCGTCGTGAATATCCAGACTGGTTTGACTACTTCTATCTGGGCTTTGTGCAATCGAATACATGATACCCCTTAAGTTTAGATCCACCATGGGGCTGATACGAGGACTTCTATCTTCTTCTTGTTCTAGTTCGTCGTAAACTTCCTGGATGTGCTGACTATGTCTATCTGAACTGTACATTTGTGTACTCTCTTCAATAACTGTGCTTTCATTATTTCCCATTCTTGAAAGTTACAATAAGAAAATGTATCAATTCTCTAACCTACCCTTATTAATTATAAATAAAATAATATTTAGGATTAATAAATCAATCCTGTCTACTCCAGGTTATCGCGGGAGCTACAGTAATCATGTCATTTTTAAACCTCTTCAGTATGTTTAGTTTACTAAACGTATGTTCAATCTCTTTTTTTCAACAGATCGTTTCTCGTATTTGGAATAATAGAACATTTATGCAGGTTTATGCTGAATGGAATATATCACAAGATAAATATCATTTTATTGAAGCAGACTTTTTTTTATCATAAAAACGATGTGATAAAAATGAATGATGGCTGACCTTTTTATTCATAAGTACCTCTTTATGATTATGTTTAAAACTAATAGCCTTCGTCTTCGTCTTCCTCCTCCTCTTCAATTTCTTCAAGCTTACATTGAGCATAGATGCGTAAATCTTTTATTCCGTAAAAGTCAGCTTCTTCAATCAAGTCTTGGAAAAAGTCTCCGTCTTTACGATCAACATTCAAGTGTCCATTTCTGAGGAATTGTATGATATATCTGAAAGTATCTTTACTTCTATCTAAAAATATGATGTTTTTATAAATAGTCATTTCTCGAACACGTCTCATGTTATTTAGCAGTTGTCTAAAATAACGAGATCCATATAGTGTGCTGTAATAAGTGTAAAAGAATTCTCCTCCGACATTCAGTTTAATTAAAGAGTTTGGGTGGTTTAAAGAGGGCATTTATCTGTTGGCAGGAAAAAAAAAAAAGAAAAGAAAAGAGAGAACCAAACTTGAGGAAATATCCAGCTTTTTAAAAGACTAGTCGAATAGATAAATTGGCTTTTCAATAGAGTATCAGTCACTACAGACTTTTGATGCCTTCTCCCTTTCCCTCCGCCTTTCTTTTGGGAGCGCATACATTTAGGGATGGCTTTAAAAGCTCGTAGTGCATATATAGCCTTAACAGTATGATGTGCCATGGTGCCAATAAGAACTAATGATTTGAGCATACCCATACCTGCTATAATATGTTACTTTTGTATCGCTTCAAAAGCTGATCAAAAGCTTAAAGATCTACAATGCAGTCGAGAGTTACAGTGTTCTCTTGACACAAGTTACCAAATCTATATTCCTGATACACTCACAATAAATAACTGTAATGGAATATTGTTGTTAAGTATACCTTTGTTCCTTTGTATTTTTTGGTCTACCAGCAGAAATAGCAATCCGTGGTAGATTATTCTTTATAAAGAAAAAATCATGCGTGCATAACACGTCATAGCTGCAAAAAGAGCAGTAATCCAGTTTATCCTTAAGAAGAGAAATAACCATGATAATGAAATACTATTTATTTATTTGCTTACAAAGTAAACCCCTCTCTTTTTGTTTATATTCATCATTGTTTAACGTGATCATCCTGCCTGGTTTAGCCCTCTTTTCTATTCACTCACATGATCTCTTATTTTGATTGGCTACTCAACTGAACATTATTTTTTTCTATATTAGTTGTATCCTCCTTTGTCTTTTTCTTTCCAATTTTTATACTATTTCCCCTTTCCTTAATGTCGACATACAATTACATTATAAAAGTAGGACAAAAAGACAAACTAGAAAACAAAGTTCTATTACTAACTGCACTCTTAAACAAAAGTATATCATTGTCGGAGATTCAGGTAACTTTGTTAAAGATATCATTAAAAACTTTGTGTTTACATGTATTTTACAATAGGGGTTGGAAAGGTAAAGTCAAGATTAGCAAACTGTTTATTCATACTGACTTAAAGCGGGTCTAGTCTTGCTTATTACTTCAATTCACTGACAAAAGATTTTATGCTGGTCGTGAGTTGACTATTGGGTAACAACAATGCATAAAGTATTAGGACACTATTATTCACTTTTTTTTGTCCATATTACAGTGTTGAGTTCGGTTCTCGATTTATCACAGTGTCTGATGGAAAGCAGATCAAACTACAGATTTGGGATACAGTAAGAAAGAGAAAGAAAGTGACCATCCATTTTACAAACCTTTCTGATCTGTTCATCTCGTAGGCGGGTCAAGAAAGCTTTAGAAGCATCACCCAAAGTTATTACAGAGGAGCAGCTGGTGCATTAATAGGTAAAGATCACACACTCAACTGTATTTGACATTTAAAACTAAGAGCATATTTATCAGTATATGATATTTCACGTCGAGAGACATTTGAACATGTATCATCTTGGTTAGCGGGTAAGTTAGATTACTTTATGCTTCTTGTTTGCTCACAGTGTGTCTATTGCTTCTTTGAGCAGATGTTCGAAAGCATGCTAATCCTCACACGACTATCGTTTTGGTGGGAAACAAGTGTGATCTAGAGAATCGTGCTAGGCAGGTCACGAGAGAAGAAGGAGAGAGATTTGCTAAAGACAATGGCATACCACTTTTTATCGAGACTTCTGCAAAATCAGCCGAAAATGTAGAAGAAGTGTTTGCAAAGACAGCAGAGGATGTATATGATAAAATAAAATCCGGCGTGTTCTCTCCAAATGAAGTAAGCTAATTCTCATTCAAATTTGTACCTTATTCATAACCATGCAATAGACCTCAGGTATTCGATTGGGTCATACACAAAGTGCACTCGCAGAGGAAACGCAAGGAGGATGCTGTTAATAAATGGAGAGGATTTATTTAATTTACTTTACTTTACTTCTTAGCCTAGCAAATGTCTCTATTGTCATTCTCTGAATTCCCTCTGTAATTGTCACTTTTGAAACATGTTTGATTAGGTCTTTGATAGGTATTTGTGTCCCTGAAAGCTAAGAGATGACATAAGTATTCAGGCATAAACTTATCAAGAGGGGAAGGCTTACATAAGCACCTGTTATCTTATCCTCATTCAGATCAACTGAGATATGAAGGGTAGCTTCTATAGGTTTTGCAAAAGTGATACTAACTGCTGTATCAGATATATACTCAACCTTATCAATACCAGACACTTGGACGCACGTGTCTATTGCTCGTTTGAAACTATAAACAGTCAGCAGCCGAATATTGTCTTTATAAAGGTACATACACTCTGTACTCCTTTTCGATAACAGGGTTCTTTTCCGCATTCAGCTTTAGTAGTTTATTGGCTTCTGCTTGGGCAAGTTCAGCTTCCTTTTCTAGCCTTTGGACCTCTTCTTCCAGGTCTTCTACTACACACTGTTGCTCCTCAATAGCCTCTTTTTTCTCTTGAGTTTCCCTCGCTAGTGCAGTTAATTCATTTGTTTGTGTTGCTATTATGCTATTTGCTTCCTCAATCGTAAGTGTATTTTTATTCGATGCAAGTTCCTGTATTCTCTCAACTTCTTTCTCCATATTAAGTGTATCTGCTAATATTTTGCTCATATCCTCAACACGACCCAATAACTCCTTCCTTGCTATTTATATATAAATATATGCATATAAGAGAATGATAATATCGCAGTCGAATACTTACATCGATCAATTGTATTTGCAACCCTATATACGTCTTCTTCCAGTTGTTCGATTTCAAAATTATGCTCTTCTACAGTCTTTTCTAGTTCATTCTTTTTATCCTCTGAAAATACATAAAAAGTATAAGCCTTCTATTATACTCTTTTGTATGTTATTTACCAATCTCTTTAACGTCTTCGGCTGTTACTTTTACTTTTGGTTCATCAAATAAAGCTTGTAAGAATCGTTCTTTTGTTTTGATGTTGACATAATTTCGTTGTAAAATTTTAAAGTTATCCTAATGACATACTTTAATCAAACTAGGGCAGGCTGATGTCACAATTAATTACTTTAATACTTTGTAATTTTGCATGTAATGCTTTTGGATGTTGTAGTTGGTCATCTTGATCAATAGATTTGACTTTTTGCTGAAATTCGGATTGGTATTTTAATAACTGAAGGCTTGAAATGGCCCGTTCTATATGTCTACATTATGTTTATAAAAGCGTTCATATGCATTAACAAACAATACTTTTGTAATTCATCAAGTCGATTAGATGCTGTTTCTTGCATGGATTTATAAAAAAGAGAAAAAAAAAAGAGAAACAATAGAAAAACTGTAAATTTTTAGTCTTTTTTTTTTTCCTGCGCGTATTTTTATAGGTGTGCACATCGTTTTCTCTTTTTCTTTTTATTAATTTTCATTTAGACGACAGTACCAGCAGCAGAAGCAATACGAGGCCACAAATCAGCACATTCCTTGGCAACGGGACCAGTGATAGCGGAACCCTTCATTTCACCCTTGGGGTTAACAATGACACCAGCGTTATCTTCAAAGTAAAGGAAGACACCATCTCTACGGCGCCAGGCCTTGCGTTGACGAACAACAACAGCAGCCAAAACCTTCTTTCTCAATTCGGGCTTACCCTTCTTGACGGTAGCAACAACCATGTCACCACAACCGGCGGCGGGGAGTCTGTTCAAGTGACCCTTGATGTTACGAACAGCAATGACATACAAGTTCTTGGCACCAGAGTTATCGGCACAGTTCATGACAGCACCAACGGGTAAACCGAGAGTCATACGGTACTTGGTTCCGGAAACGCTAACTATGTGATTGTGTTAATGACTGAATTCAGATGAACAATGTGTCTCCATCTCTCTCTTCTTTTAATTCATTCTCTCCCCCCTCCCATCTTCAAATGTGTTTAATGATCAAGTTGATGTTGTCTATTGCTGTATGATATAGGTATCCTCTATGGATGCTTTTCTCTGCCTAGTCTAGTTGCTGATACGATATGTTGATATGGATGTGTTGTATTCTGTATCATCCAGTATGTGTATCCATCATTGTTGTTCATCCATCCATTTCAATATATGTATCCATTCATCCGTCCCTTTTCCCCAATCTCTCCCCATCACCCAAATATTCATAAAGATGTGATACATACCCTTAGGCATTTTCTACAGGAATAAGGAAAGAGAGAGAGAATAATCCAAAGATGGGGCCACTTTCCACTTTGTACATCACTTGCCACTTGCACCACACAGGTAAACCTCCCCCCACTCTCGCTCTTCATACCTGTCCCCCCTTCCTCCAGCAGCTGAATTTCAATTTACTTACTATATTAGGCAAGTTTGTAATGAAATGCCAAAGCAAAATTATTCCGTGCCGGACTAATTTTTTACAGTGATTACTTTTGGCAATTTTGGACTCTTAGGTATTTGCAGATCACTTATTAAAGCTAAAAATTGATTTGGTTGACTGTACACAAGATTATACAATTTTATTCTTAAAATCCGGCACCAGCCATTGAGTTATTAAAATGAACCACTTGATCAATTATCATGGCGTCTACACCATATCTTTCCTGTATTTGGCGATATTGAACATCAGAATTAACTTCTCCTGCTGTGACGACAATCAATCCACTTTCTTTGACCGTCTTTATTAGAGAAGGTACTTGTACCTATGATCTATGTTAAACAAGTAAACACTAAAGAAAGAGACAACTTACTAGTGTTTGTGCATTACAGATGACACCCAAGAGATTATTTTGTTTTGCAAACTTAACAGCTTCCTTCAGCGATGAACAGCGAATATCACTTGAATCATGCTTTATACCCGCATCGTCTTCTACATGTTTACGTTTCATGCCACGGTGCACATTGAGCCCGCAATATGTACCAAAGAATACAGCATCTATATATATACTAGTGAGACACAGTACATGAGTGTTGAATGAACTTACAGTTGGGTTGTTTCCAGTTGACTACCATGCAAATGGCAGGATTATAGGATGAAAAGAACAGGCTTCGGCTTGCTGTATTAAGGGGAAGTGAGCGTACGTGACTATAAATACATTGAAGAATTGTATCAACAAATGTGTTTCGTCCGCAAATGTTGGGAAATGAGTAGAGTGTCTGATCGCTTGGTGAAGGGTATTTTAGTTCAAGATGAACTCCCATACTGAGTGGAAGTTTCTATGAAAAAGTATAAGTAAAGGTATTGAGCACTTTACGTTCTTGTTTTTACCTGCAATACTTGATCTAATGACAAAAACTGTCGATAATCGCCAAGCTTTTGAATGATCAGACTGTTTCCAGTAACAGGGCAGATATCGCTATTAGAGGGTTGATAGTCCTTTAGCAGTTGCTCACCTATGTGACTAAGCTGGTTAAAAGTCAAGTCAGAAACTGCCAGATCAAGCCCTTCAAAGGGAACCATCCAGTTGGCATAGACGACAGGCACCAGATCTTTTGTTAGCTGTACAATGACTAGCACATAGTCTCCTGATAATGAAGAGGCGGTAATGAACGATGGCACATTGGCAGTAGTATTGGTAGTCGCAGCAGCAGTAGTAGTAGCATCATTGGTGTTTGATGAGGTTGATGCAGGAGCCGCGGTTATGGTGGCGGCAGTAGGCTCTGAAGGTAGCACAGTATTTGTCGATTTCCAATAGGTTTCGATTCTACCACCAATCTCTAGTTGAACACCTCTGAAAGGGTTGATCACCGAGTAATCATATGAAAGCTCGCCAATGACTTTCAAATGTCCATCAAGCAGTGGGATGGTACAATGGCCCTCGGAGATCTTGAAATCAGCACGCGAAAACGAATGAGGCAAGGCAACGCCACGCCCGAGTACCTTGGAACCAAATGTTGCAAGTACATCAAACTCTAACAAGAAATCATCAAGTTTGTCCACTTGGAAATTAGACACGTCCCGATCATCCACCAATGGCAGGATCACGCTGTGAGGAATCATGCCTGTATCGGGTTTAGACGATATGATGATACGCAGAGAAGAAACTTGTGAGTTGTCATAAAGGCGGATGGGTGGTTGGCGGAAACTGATCTGAACCTGATATTTCTTATCCAAATAACTGTGACCATAAATACGGAAGGGGATGATGGGTGGTGGCAAGGATAAAGAAGGAATAACGTCCAGTTCTCCATCAGCCTCACCTGCTTCTGGAGACGCCGTGTTGGCATTCGATAATGCGTCCTGGAGAGTTTCTGTTTCACAACCGGCATCGATCAAGAGTTGAACGCAGTCCATATGACCTTCCCACGCGGCATAGTAAAGCGCTGTCTTTCCATTTTCATCTTTGGCATTCACCTTACAACCGGCATGGATCAAGATACGTACACACTCGACGTGTCCATCATTGGCAGCCCAGAAGAGAGGCGTCCACGAGTTATACTTGTCGGGCGTGTCAATATCCTGTGAGTTTTGTGAGAGTACGCGGCAGAGTTCAGCATGTCCCTGGCGAGCGGCAAGGTGTAAGGGGTAAAGCGATTCGGCATTAGGCAGGTTTTTTGCTCCTTGGTTATAGAGCATCAGGGCAATGTCGGTATGTCCAAAGTGACAGGCGAGTGATAGAGGGATATGGTCTCCTGGATGTCTGGGCTCAATATTGGCGTTGGCTTGTATCAGGATCTCTACACAGGTCGTATGTCCGTTCATGATGGCATAGATAAGTGGAGTGAATCCATCATGATCTCTACGCTCAATATCGGTATTTTTGCTAATCAAGTACTTGACACACTCGGCAAATCCATTCATGGTAGCATAATGCAGTGCTGTTCTTCCGTAGGCATCTGTTGCTTCTACATTGGCGCTGTGTTCAATACAGGTCTCCAATAGATCCAAGCGACCGTTCATGGCAACGACATGTAAACAAGATCGCTCGATGATATCATCTACGTAATCGAAATCGACCAATTGTGTATTAATAAGCATATCGACAATCTCCTTGGACGCTTCTGAGCAGGCGTGCCAGAACACACGTGTTATTCTGCCCCGGTCTTCTGGTGCTGGATTTTGAGTGATACGGTCTAGGATCTCTCGGACGACAGAAGCCTGTCCTGCGGATACGGACTTCACAAGCTCAAGTTCGACATCATCCATCTCATCTACTGCGCCTGTTCCCCCACCAAGATTAGTTCCTGTCGTACCGTTGGTGTTGTTCATCTCGTGTGGACCCCATGATGCTGGGCTAATCGGAATGCCTTCCTGAATATTGGATAGCTCAATACGGTTTGCAGATGCCATGTCGGATAACTCACATAGGACTTGTGTGTTAAAGCATGGTTGAATATCGATCTGACGTGAAAGATAGAGCTCTTTTGTAGATGACTTTGACCGTTTATCCCATTTCTTCAAGATCTTTCTAAAGCCTTCATTGTTTAATTCGACATATTTCTGTAAAAATATGTATAAGCAAAAATCCTCACACAGATTTTTCATCTTACTTGAATCTTGGTCAACTCTTGTTCAAACTGAATAAAAGCTTCCTGAATAGCTTTAAATAAGGTCGAAGCGTGCTTTAGTCGGCGGGTATCGGATTGAAGTACTTTCTTTTTATCAATAAGCGTCCTTAGTCGCACTTTTAACTCATTTTCTTTTTGAAGATAAAACGAATTGATCTGGGTTGACATGAGTTTTTTTTTTTTTTTTGACATTAGCTGTTCTGTTTAAAAGTACCTTTTCGAGTTCACGTTCAAGTTTAAAAAAGAAAGCTGCCTTTTGTGACTGAAGTAGTTTTGAACGGTCTTCTTCATCGTCAATAGGAGGCAATCCTAAAGCTTTTAGACTGTCAGCAGGGGCGTTAAGTAGTGAGCTGATGAATTTCTTTAATCCTTTGTAATCCAAATAATAGGGACTCCATTCTGTAAATTGTTGGCTTTGGATTTGTTTGCCAAACTTTTAAAAGAGTCTTAATAAAAAAAAGTATATCACTCAAACTTGCATGTTTACCTTCATTAGTTTATTATTGTTATTATTATTTTACTAACAGATTAGTTAAAGTAAGAACAAGAATAAAAAAAGAAAGAGAAAAGAAAAAGAAAACGAAGGAACTGAGGCTGTTTTCTTTGATTCGCAATATAAAAAAAAAAAAAGGTTACTCAAACTGTAAAGGTGAAAGCAATACAGTGAGCGAGAGAAAGAAAGTGTGAGTGACTAGGTGACTGTTGATCAGTCAGTCCACTGTTACGCTTGAATGCCAAACACGCGTTCGAAACCGTTGGCCAAGAGAGACTTCAGTTTTGCTGATCGGAGATCTTTAAAATGCCGACAGGAAGAACATTATTACGTAAGATGAAGGGTAGTAAATGAAGAGCTTGTGTTAAATTAAGCTTAAGTACGTCGTTTTATGCTTCATAAGGGAGATCTAACTATTTATTAGACTCTATAGGTGCAAAAGAGTGGTAAGGGTTGATTGAGAAATGAAAACAGTGTTTAAAGTTTATGTCACAGGGTGGTATATTTTTTGATTGCATGGTTGGACTCTTGAATCCCTCGAGCTGTTTCACAGAAGAGTACCGGCTGTACTTAATAGTACAGCAACCGAAAGCTAAGTCTATCCACTCCTTTACAGTTAATTTAAGCATAGGGTGAATCAATAGAGGCTCCTTAGGCTCCTGATAAAAAAAACCTTATTACTCAGCTTGCTTCTATCATTAAAGAAACTGTTTCTTCTGCTAGCGATGGGATACATTAGAGCCTTAATCATAAAATACGTTTTTTTTTACATAATTAAGAAATTTATAATATAGCTTTACTTCAGGAATCTGGCTGTTGGCTTCAACAGCCTAGAGCATTGATCATGTATGGATAACTGGCTGCCATCATTCGTCTCTCCAAGCGATTGCTCAATAAGGGCTTGTAGCCATTTGACAGCAATGAGTTGAAAGAAATTATACATACAGTAGCACTTATCTTGAAGCTAAAGCATGCTCCGAGACAAACTTCAACGTCTCTGTACCATTCTTTTCTTCTGGGTATCTTTATTGATTTCAAGACAAAATAGAGGTAGTTGCTGTTGTTGAACTGAAGCTTTGTTAGCCCCAGCGATATGCCTATCCTCTTGATTAGTACACTTCCCATGTTAAAGATGACTCTGCTTACGAGCAATCAGAACCCCAAATGTACTCTGCTCACTAGTAGATGTAGCGTGCTTCAGCCGAGCGTGAAGCTGTCGCATGCACAACTCGGCAATTCTTGCTCTACCCTTATCTATAAGGGCCATGCCTTTTCTAGGAGGTTTCGCCTCACCACAGCTCACTTCAACTTCGCAGCAGCAAATGATAATAGTATCAGGCCTACCAGCCTTGAGTGTTGTTGGGTTCCCTCCCTTTGTTGCAAAAGACAACATATCCCTCTATTCAAAGAGCACATCAATAATGTTTTTTGTCACAATTAAAAGAATATTTACCAGTCAATTGCCAGCTTGGCATTGGCAGCAAAGACATTTTGCAAGATCACCGAAGCAAACTTCACGATGCAACCCCTACATTAACAATTAAAATGTATGCTTCTAGTAAAATTATAGTTTTCAAACCTCAAAGTCCCTTTTTTCAAACGTTTGATCAATTTATTCAGGTGGCGGTCTTTCTTGGCTTTATTCTTCAAATTAGTCAATGAACTTTTGAAGGAGCTTTCTCCATGACTTCACAATGTTATGTTGGCGAATAAACATTTTATCTCTAAAGCATAAGAGTACGACAAGATAGAATAGGGCTCTTTTTGATCATTTATGAACAAGGAAAAGAAAGAGATTTATGTGAAAAAGGGGAGATTGAGTCTTTATATGCAAGAATAAATGTTATCAGCCAATTACATCTTATGGAATATATCATATGACGCTTCATCAACTACTGCAGACTACATATGCCATGAATCAGTGTGCTATATTAATATTTAAGATAACTTTGGCTTGTATACTAAATAATATTGATTCTATGATGTCTAGGGGTGTATAATCTTCTTTGATATAAACGTAGAAATATGACACGCGAAATGAAATTAAAATAATCATAAAAATGTATAATAGTAAAATTGGAAGAGCTTTGTTCAATGTATTTTCTGTGCGTTAATAATGTTTGTTCGTTATTATTCATTACATCAAAGGATAAAGAAGAGCAAATGTGTCTTGTTCTTGCCACAGCTCAATATATAATGAAGCCCTTAGATCGCATCGCAGCCATAATCCACTAATTTAGTTTATAAACTGTAGCATATCAGAATCATTATACCTACTGCTCTTAGATTATCCGTTTGTTCCTATTCTCTCTATATTTACTGTTCCATCGGCTCATAAGTTTTTCTACTGTAGATCAATCTTCAAGCCCTTAAAAGCACTCTTTCCTGCATCTATTAGTTGTACTATTCAATACATTAGGTGTTTTCCTCCTTTTTCATTGATGAACCTGAAACTCTCAATTCAGTCTTGTTCCTGATCTGCATTTCAAATATCATCTATGCTAAATACTTTTGTCAAAAGTTAGTTTTCCTTAAGTTGGTCAAATACATTCAAGTATGCCTCAAAATCGTCAAGATAAAAAAAAGCACCACGAAGTGCCATTCGCAAGTCCAGAAGTCAAAAAAAGAACAAATAGCAGGTCCAGCTATCTCTTCCTATGATCCAATTCGAGCAGCGAAAAATACGGAGGTGCCTTCTACATTTCAGCTACCGCTTCAGTGCCTATCAAGAGCTGCTCGTATAAACAGTCCATCGCTATACAACAAAACTCCCCAAACATTGGCTAGCTTTATCGCTCACATCTAAATGATTATCAATGTTGACCCCTCTGGTTTTACTAATGGTATTGGTAATATTTGTTACTTCTGTTCTTTTATGACTGGTCCCTGCATTCTCTTGAGCTCAATCGTTCCTAGACACTCTAGATACGGATAAGCCTGCTCTTCCATACATACAGTCCTTTGATACGTTCATCATCGTCTTTCATGAAGCATGCGGAAAAGTAAACGGACGACTACACATTGAAACATTGATCTAAACTTCCTTTAGGTTTGTCCAAGCTAGTTCTGCCATTGTATCGTCTGCTATATCTCAATCTCAAACTTTTTGCCTAGTCTCTCTGTACATAACGCAAATATAGCGCATCATCCTCTATTACTGGGAAGCCATCGTCGTAATCTTCTTAATAAGGTTTACAATCCACTTGCAAGACCTTTTTCTTTGCTATAGTCATCAGATGTTTGAAACGATACTGTATATTGTCTATCTCTGTTTTTGGAACTAGTCCAATTTGCTCTTCTTTTCGTTGTGATGAGTCTAAGCTTCTGAAGGTGAATCCGGATCTGCTTACGTTCTTATTCATCATTGTCCTAATACGCTGTTTGCGTAATGCCTCCATCACAAACCACATAAACTTTGAGAAAATCTTCGGCACTACACTCATGATACCTTTGACTCATAACATGTAGTGACCCCGATAGTTGTTCATCTTGATCTACAGCTGATAAAGCTTTTGTATAATGAGATCGTCATCTTCTGAGTCTTCCTTCAGTTAATAGACATTGCCCCACGTCTCTCTCTCTTTTGATATTAAGAGATCGACTGAACTAAAGAAGCTTCATGACTTGCTCTTGGTGAAACCTTTATTTATGACATCTTATTACTGCAGTACATGCCTTAGATATTATCTCAAAGTCGAATCAGAGTCAAACTCATAGACTTTTGTTCTTTAATAAAGCCAAAATAGCTTTATTTATAATACAATGGCCAACTCTGGCTATTACAATGATATATTCAAAGGTAGCATGATATTTCTGCAAAGCTCTTTCATTCCCCCGGCTCCCAGGGTGGCTGTGTGATTGACGATCGGAAAAACTCGTTTCTTTTTAATTCACGGATAATTCGATCCCGATTACTTCAACTATAAATATGCATTTTTTGTATTTTGTTTCTTTTTCATTGATTCAACAAACAAATGTCAGATATAAAAAAAGTTGATGTTTTAGTCAGTGGAGCAGGTCCTACTGGACTTTTTATTACTTACCTCTTGGCACGTCAAGGTCACTCTGTCTACTGCCTTGATCCAAAGCCTGGACCAACAGATCAAAGTCGAGCCATTCTTCTCACGTCTCGTACAATGGAAATTCTGGAATCCAAGGGTTTGGCTGGTGAGTTCCTTGCTGAAGGATTCGTCTCGAGCGGTATTCGAATGTATCGTAAAGGCACTGTGGTAAGTTTTATAAAAAAGTGTGAAGATCATAATGTGTTGACATCCTGCCTAGTTTGGACATGTTGATGCTTTAGGTGATACACCTTTCCCACATATGACTATTGTCATGCAGAGTAAAACCGAGGAAATCTTGACCAGACATATCAAGGATGAGACAGATTGTACAGTTCACTGGTCAACTGAATTCGTATCCTATACGCAAGATGATGAAAAGGTCGTCTCAGTCGTACTAGACAAGACAACAGGTCAAGAGCATAAGATCGAGTCACGCTTTATTGTCGGAGCAGACGGTAGTCATTCAAGAGTCAGAAAGGGAAACCCAGAGTTCACTTATGAAGGCATCGCGGTTACAACCAAGTTTTTCTTGGCCGATCTGTCTATTCATGGTGAGAATATTGAAAACATGATGGATAGGATGAATACATTTATGTTTGAATCGCGTAGGTGTTCACTCATGTAGGTGATGATAAGAGTACTCATGTTGATCTATAGACGTCATGGGCATGATACGCATTTATTCTCGTAGAGAAGGAAAAGACGACAGCCATGTGTTTCGTATCTTTGGCAATGTCGAAGCCTATAACCGAAGCGAAGAAGAGACCACTAGACCTACCCATGGATTACAAAAGGAGGAACCGCCCAAGCTGGAGGAGATCCAAGCCTTTGTTGATAGAGTCACTGCTCCCCTCAAATTCACACTCAGTGATTTGATCTGGTCATCTTACTTTAGGATTAACGAGAGAATTACCAACAAGTACAGAATCAAAAGAGCATTCTTAATTGGAGGTTTGTTATAGATATGACAATCCTGATAACAACTAAACGTAAAATTCACATAGATGCTGCTCACTGTCACTCTCCTGCGGGTGGTCAAGGCATGAACTTGGGTTTACAAGATGGTAAGCTTCTATTTTAAAAGAAAAAGGGCTTGAGTAACATATGCTCTCTCCAGCTGATAATCTTGCATGGAAGCTGTCCCTTGTGCTAAATGGCCAAGCTGCTGATCCTGAAACCTTGCTGGACTCTTACCACATTGAAGTAATTGGAACAAGCGAAAGCAGTCATTCAGATACTTATTTTTATTATTGTAGAGAGAACCACATGCAGCTTCAACAATCAAGGTTACAAGCAGAGCCACACAGGCAGGTATTACTGAGGGATTCTTGGCCAGAAATATTCGTGAAACAGCCATGTCTACCATGATGATGATCCCTCAAGTTCGAGAATACGCGTTCAAGAACGTGATGCAACTATTTGTAACCGTTGATGGTGGTTCGAAACTCTTGGGCACCTCTGATAAGGGACTGATCAAGGCTGGTCACTTCTTACCAGATTCGGAGGGACTTCGCCAACGTACACTCGAGAAACGAACAAGTTTGATACGCCGTTTGAACTTGCACGAAATACTGATCGGAACGACTCAATATACCGCCATCTTGGTCGCCACATGCCCTTCGCAAGCTAAACCAAGACTTGATCTCTTGGAGAAATTCTGGATTCACGCTCGTCCTTATCCTGTTAAGCGAATCATTGTCGAATCGTCATGGCATACTCATTTTAACCAATACCCACTTTTTGTCCTTCCCCAAGAAGAGCAAGACGCACAGACCTCATTTTATTCTGAGGAACGCATGGACTCTCCTTACTCAGTTACTAGCCGTGTTGGGTTGCTACCTCTTTTCCCCAAGTACTTTGATGGACCATCGCCTTGTGTGCTTATGATTGTACGTCCTGATCTTTATGTGGCACAATCCAAGACTGTATATAATGAAAATGACATTGTTTCTGCACTTGAATACTTCAAGGCACATCTTCTTTCTAAGCCTAATTAAATAATAATATACTAATAAAGATTTTACTTAAGATATATATATCTATGTGCATTTTATTCAAGGATTTAAAATAAATATACAATAGGGACAATTCCCTTTAAATACTGCCACGAACCATCAATGAGTCAATAACAGAAAGAATGGTCCACTTTCGATTTTCAGCTTCAGCAAATACAACAGATCGATCAGAGTAAAAGACCTCATCATTCACTTCTTCAGTTTTACGAGGCAAGCAATGCATAAAGATCCAATCTGGTTTGGCACCGCCTTCAGCTGCCAATTCATGTGTCACTTGGAATCCCTTGAAATCTTGTAATCGCTTGATCTTTTCTGCTTCTTGACCCATACTGATCCACGTATCGGTAATAATCACATCGCAGTCCTTGACAGCTTCTTTAGGATCAGTAGTGAACAAAAGACTGGCTCCTGTCTTAGCGGCATCTGCCTTGGCAATGTCAAGTACGTCTTGATCGCATACGTAACCAGCGGGACAGGCAGCAGCGAGACTGATACCACACTTGGGAAACGAGACAAGGAATTCTTGAAGCATGTTATTCGCATCACCAATCCAAGCAACCTTTAAACCGGGCAGTGTTTCCTTGGGATGTTGTAAATGTGCAGAGTATGAGTCAGTCACACCGTTCTTCTTGTGGTAGTAGTATTCATGCAAGGTCATCAAATCAGCCAAAATTTGTGTTGGGTGATATTTATCAGATAAAGCATTAATTACAGGCACAGATGATTCTTTAGCAAGTGTCTGGATAATCGAAAGTTAGCACAAAATGCAAATATACCCAAGTTCTCTCTTACCTCAATTTCTGAATGATCGCCTACACGAGCCATGATGCCATCGACCATGGAACTAACGACACGAGCTGTATCAAACAAGGATTCATTGACACCCAATTGAATATCTTGTGAGCCCAAAAACATGGGATTACCACCTTGAAATAAACAGGTTAATGATCATTGACTATGTTTCCCAATTTGAGACTTACCAAGATAATTCACAGCGGTTTCTGTAGCAACACGAGTACGAGTGGATCGCTTGGAGAAGATGAGGGCTACTGTCTTGCCAGCAAGAGGGCGCTCGGCGTTCTTTGGGCAAGTCTTTGCTTGAACCTTGAATTGAATTGCTCGGTACACGAGATCGAGTAACTGGTCTGCAGTATAGTCGGCAGTGGTGATAAAATGATTAGGCTTTTGAGGCTTTAAAGAGAATGCAGTCATGATAAAAAGTGAATGATAATGAAAGAAATGAAAAACTTGATCTCTTTATATCTTATCGTGTATATTCGGACTTTCAAAAAGATAAGAGGTTCTGCATCTATATAATATGCCGAATTTGGGTTTTTTTGTGTAGCCTTACCCCGTAATTTTAGCTAGAGAAACTCTGACTCATAGTGTAAATATTCATGTTGAGTCACAGACTAGCGTGTGTGAAATTGTTATGGTTACTTTTTAGTTGATTCCTAGAGAGATACTCAATATATGAAACCCCTCCCTCCTTTGATAAAGATAGCAAGTTTGTTTAATGACGTTTATAACCTATCCTTCATCTTTTGCAATTTGACTTTGGCTCTTATCGTCCTCTCTCTCTCTCTCTCTCTCTCTTCTTAATCTAGTTTGAGATAAGCATATTGAATTTCGTTGGTGATATATATCAGTCTAAAAATTAAACTTGTATTGCATTACTGATATCTTTCTGAGAGCTTCAATGAATCAAGTATATCAGATTATATTGAAGAATGAGCATCAGTTCATTAAAAAGTCATTTTAATATTCGTTCAATTGTCATACTTTGTAAATCCTAAAGCTGGGGGTCCGTCAATGTTGTTGTTGCACACGAGATAAACAGACTAGGGATTTTACTAGGTCTCGCCTTTAATTCTTGACAACAAGTTTCACGTTTAGTTTTTGAATATAGAACATTGATGCCATCTGATTCTCATTTAAACATGTATGTGTTAATCGGATGCTCTCGACTTTTGATTAATCGAGAAAAGTACGTATGCATGAGGGATTTTAGTTGTCAAATGGATAAAGTCCAGAGTAAGTTATGTAAGCTCGAGGGAATAGTGAGGACAGAATGTAAGTCTTTCTACAAAAAGTAACAGAAACTAAGGGGGAGCTAAATTTAATGATAGATTCTATATATTTACAATGTAAACAAATTTATTCTGTTCATATCATGCTGTCATCAATGTAAACAAGTACATAAGCATATAGTGCTCATAGATATATCTCTGCTCAGATGAAGTTCTGGAACAATGTTTGTCCAGTATACAAAATGACATATACTCATTAGCACGAATGTCCAAAAAAGATATTACTTTACAATATCATAGATGTTCCCATTATTCAAAATATATTCACTACTTTCAAGAATCATTTCTGTGACATATTTTCCTTTTTTTTTTTTTTAAAAAAAAAAAATCATGGCCCTCGCTGATGAGCAAATAACCAAACTAAGCGAGACATTAGACAATTCTTGTTCAGTCGAAGAAAAACCAAGTAGCAAAAAGAAAAAGAACAAAAAGAAGACCGTCGTACCGGAGACCATCAATCCATTTTATGAAAAGGCGTTTACAGACTATCCAGTTCAACTAAAGAATACAAAAGCAAAGGGACGTCATGCTGTTGCTGCAAGGGAATTACCTGAAGGTGTTACCGTCAGTCTCGAGACAGCCACGGCTTTCGTTGTTCGTTCCGAATTTATTGACCAAAACTGCCACACTTGTCTAGCAGATCTGTCATCAGACAAAGTGAGATGCGCTCATTGTCCACTTTCTTATTATTGTTCAAAGACATGTTTGGATAAGGATCGCGCTCTACATGAGCTGATTTGCAGTACTTTTGGTCAACTTGAAGCAATTGCTCATGCTACTGATGTTGAGATTGATCTACTTCGATTGATGCTCTTACTGCTTGCTCGTCGTCAGCTAGATTCTCAAGATCATGTTTCAGACGCGACGCCCTTTTGGTGTGTACAAGATTTACTAAGTCATATTGAAAGCGCGCCTGCTCCATTCAAGCAGGTTCTCACAGCTGCTTGTAAGTCCTTGTCGCGATTATTTTATTGTTAGCCCTCTTATTGACCTATTTCTTTTTTTATGCCACAGCTGAAAGATTATCAACAGAATTACCAGAATCTCTGCGAATTCCAGTTGAAGATATGGTTGCCCTTGCTTGCAGGTAATTTAAAGTTAAAATACGTACAAAGAGCAGTTATGTTTATTAATGCATTACGATAAAAGGATCAATTCGAATGCTCATGGATTAGGTGACAACCATTCGCGAAATACAGATGTTGCCCTTGGTTTATTCCCTCTGGGTGCATTATTCTTCAACCATGGATGTAATCCAAACACAGCATTTGTTGGACTACCCAATGGCCAGTTAGCCTTTAGAACCATCCGTTCAGTTCAAAAAGATGAAGAACTGGTTGTTAGTTATATCGACATTTACTCAAATAGAGATGAAAGACGACAGGAACTGCTAGCGACCAAACATTTTTGGTGCAAGTGTAAGAGATGTACCAGTCCTATGGAAAAATCAGTGGACCGCTTACTTTCTGGTATTGTTTGCCACCAGTGTGCAAAGGATGTATACATCATACCACCAACAAATATAGACATTTTACTAAAAGGACAGCTCAGCGTATCAACCGAACCTAGTTTCAAATGCGCTGCATGTAGACATGAAGTAGAGGGAGACCAACTGCGAACCGTTTTGGGAGAAGCAGAGAAAAGCTACGCGGCGGGTATGACACATATTCGTCAAAAGCGCGATTTTAGATCTGGAGGTCAGCAATTAGAGCGCTTGACCAAACATGCAACTATAGAAAAAGGTAAACTACATCCCTTGCATTCACTTCGCTTCAACTCGTATATTCCACTGATGAATTGTATGCGCTATAACGGCAATCTGAAAGGAGCAATCGAGACAAACAAATCGATTATATCACTTATAGAACAGTACGCTACCATTGGAGGTCTACCTGGTAATACGTCAGAACTGTCTGATTACTGGCAAAATCTAGGAGAGCTCTGTCAAAAGATGGCAAGTGAATGTTCGAGTGTGATCTTGGAAAAGAAATGGTTAAAGGAAGCACGTCATGCCTTTCAACAAGCTCTCAACATACGCTCCGTGGTCTTTGGTCAATCGCATCCCAAGGTGCATCATATTCAGCAATCGATGAACCAAATAAAAGTGTAAAAAAACACTGCTGTCAAGATGTGTAACATAATGCATAAATCACTGTGAGACTTTTTTAAAACCGCATAATCATGACGTATCACGTGTGTTTTTTCTTCTTCTTCTTCCTCAATAGTGATGACCTCCACTTATAATATAGCTTTCCCTGCACTGCTCTATCCGGGGCTTGGTAGTCAAAAGATTAAGACCAATACCTCATCTCCACCTCATTGGTCTTTGGCTCCACCCAAATATCCCAGTTATCTTAAACTGACACTTTATGGAAATTTAGTCACTGAGCAATACAATCTGATGCAACATGTTCAAAAGACAACACAAGAATCAACTACGGCAGTAAAAGACAAACAAGAACACGATCTTGTTAACCTTGACTTGCGTTTACCTACATTTTGGAATTCAAAAGACAAATCAAAAAATATCGATGTTGGCAGTAATGGCATCGAATTGACATATATCGGTACACTTTGCGCTTGTAACAAACAAAAGGAGAAACTAAGTATATATTAGGACCAGGCAAGCAAGAGACACATGCAGCACTAGCAAGATCAAACTTTCCTATGCGACCTCAATGTGGTATATTCTATTATGAGATGAAAGTGATATCCAAGGGAGAGGATGGATATATCGGTATTGGATTTTGCTGTGCAGAGAACAAGACAGAACGACTTCCCGGATGGGACGTAGATTCTTGGGGGTATCATGGGGACGATGGCCACTCATTTGCTGGTTCTGGCATTGGACAAAATTATGGTCCTTGCTTTACAACCGGAGATGTCATTGGCTGTGGCGTCAATTTTGCAGATAGGTCAGCCTTTTATACAAAGAATGGCAAGTTTTTGGGCACAGCGTTCAAGCAGATTGATGTGAGTAAACCGTTGTATCCGTCTGTTGGATTGCGTACGACCGGAGAAAAGATTACAACCAATTTTGGACATGAGCCATTTATGTTTGATATTGAACAGTATATCAAGGTAAGAAAAAGAAGGAAAGGACAAGAATTCGTCTCATTTATTTTTTCAAAAAAAGGATCAAAAGGTATTATCCATTCAACAGATGATATCCAGACAATCCATTGATAGAACACCGTATACAGAATATGATCTCAATCAACTTGTTCTATCTTACTTGATACACCATGGATACACCAAGACTGCATTTGCATTTGTTAAGAATACAAAGAGTATATCGGATACAGATCAAGAAGATACAGTCACTGTCCGCGGAACCGGAATGGAACAACGAACAGGTAAGATCCGAAATCAAGAAAAAGACGGTGTAATGAACACTCCTTTTTTGTTGTAGCTATTCGATCGGCTATTATTCGAGGAGATATAGACGATGCAATTAGATTAATTCAGCAACACTTTCCAAAGCTTTTAGATCAAGGAGAACGCGGTAAATCAGTTCAATTAATGCTAAAATGTGGTAAATTTGTGGAGATGATGCGAGAATACTGTGAACACACACATAAAAAGAACGGAAAATCGCCATTTGAATGTAGTGAGCTCGGAGAGATGCCAAAACCTAGTAAACAGAAGAGAAGATTAAGCTATGCTGAAATAGCTTCATCTATAAACCAAAAGAAAGACGTGAATTTGGAAAGCTCCAAGCACACCAAACACGAGCACAGTGAAAATCAAGCACATATGATGGACATTGATGAGAAATCGGAAAAGGATGTATCCGCGGAATCCTTGGAACGTGTTATGAAATACGGGCAACAACTGCAGGAGGAGTATAAGCTGGATCAATCAGATAAGACAAAGGCGAGCCTAACGGTAAGTTATATCATTATAGTGTTAAATACTGAATAGTCATGATGGTTAATGTTAGGAAATATTCTCATTGTTGGCTTATCACGATCCTTATACGAGTCCAGTATCACATATAATGAGTGTTTCAAGAAGAGATGCATTAGCTACAGAAGTAAATGCTGCTATTCTGGGTAAGTTCTATAAATAAATAATCAAAAAGAAAAAGGGAGCCTTATTTTTGGATATAGCATTTCTTCAACAACCAGAGATACCTGCTTTGGAACGCATTTATCGACAGCTTATTCTAAGTAATAAAATGCTGGCTATAGAAGGAGATGGTACATCAGCTCTAGTTAAAGTAGAAGATTATTATATGAACCATATGGAAAAAATAAAAATGCCTTAATTCTCTTCTTTGACATGTAATAGAATAGAGTGTATGAGCTGACTTTTAATACTAATACCGTTATTATTACTATTGCTACTCCCAAACACTTGTCTATCTCTTTCTCTCCTTTATAAACTATAAAGATAGAATAAGCTTCAATAAATCTAAATCAAAAAGGATAAGGAAAAAAGTAGCAAAAAAGTAGTGAAGAGGAGAATAGCTTGACAACTGAGTTTCTATTCCCCAAAAAAACACCTGCATTTTGATGGCTATAAAAAGAAGGACTTCACTGTTTGTTCTTTTTTTAACTTTTTTCTTTCATCTTCAAAATGAGTTTCGACTTAGCTGCTATTAAACAAAACACTATTCCTATCGAAGTCGAAGGATATAAATACACTTATGGTACTGCTGGTTTTAGAACAAAGTAAGTAAAAACCTTTCTTACAACTACTTTACACTAATCACATTTCAGGGCCGACGTGTTAGGTTCCGTAATGTATAAAGTTGCCATCTTGGCTACTTTACGTTCAAAGAAGCTTCAAGGAGCCACTATTGGTGTGATGATCACTGCTTCTCATAATCCTGAAGAAGTAATACTATTTTATATGTCTCAACTACTAATACTGACACACGCGCGTATACTATAGGACAATGGTGTCAAACTTGTTGACCCTCGTGGTGAGATGCTCGAGCAGTCTTGGGAAGTATATGCTACTAAGCTTGCTAATGCTGTCTCTGGTGATAACTTGGTCGAGGTTATTAATGAAATCATTGCTATCAACAAGATCGATTTAGAAACACCTGCTGCTGTTATTTATGCACATGATACAAGGTAAAAAAAAAAAAAAAAAAAAAAAAAAGAGAGGCTTGCTTGGGGATTTTATTCAGACTTTCAAATAGACCTAGTTGCCCTCAACTGGTCAAATGTCTCGAGAATGGCCTTCAAGCTGCAGGCGCAAAGATGACCAACTTTGGCTTAAAGACAACACCCATGCTTCATTATCTCGTTCGATGCATCAACACACAGGGCACAAGTGACGCTTATGGAGAGCCAACAGAGGAAGGATACTATAAGAAATTGGCAAATGCATACATTGCTGCTGTCGTAAGTATATGAATACAAACAAAAGTCATTGGTTGCTCATTACGTCGACATACAGAAAGGAAAGGCGCGTTTATCTACCTTACACGTGGACTGTGCTAATGGTGTTGGTGCTCCCAAGCTTCGTGAATTTACTAAGTATATCCCATCTGATATCTTGGCCGTCGATATCGTAAACGATCAAATTACTGCTCTCGGCCAACTCAATAAGAACGTAAGTAGTCCTCTGTGTTGACTAAAAAGCTGAAGCTAATTGTTAATCTTTAGTGTGGTGCCGATTTTGTAAAGACACAACAACGTGCCCCTGGCGGTACAACCATTGCTGCTGGTGACAGATGCTGCTCCTTTGACGGTGATGCTGACCGTATCGTTTTTTATTATGTTGCTTCTGATGGCACATTCAAGCTTTTGGACGGTGACAAGATTGCTGGTCTTGCTGCTCACTTTATCTCAAACCTTCTTAATGAAGCCGGTATAGACTCCATCAAGGTGGGTGTCGTACAAACAGCTTATGCCAATGGTAGCTCGACCAACTACCTCACTAAAGTTTTGGTAAGTTTTCTTTCTTTTTTTTTGTTACACTCCAACTAATTACCCTATAAAGAAAGTGCCTGTTTCATGCGTATCTACTGGTGTTAAGCATCTTCATCATGAAGCTGAAAAATATGATATCGGTGTTTACTTTGAAGCCAATGGACACGGTACTGTCCTCTTTAGTCCTGATGCCCTGAGCACAATTAATACTGCTGAAGCGTAAGAACAAGTGTATATGTATATTAATTTGAAAGATATTCATTTGATATCTCTAGTGAATCACCAGCCCAAAACCAAGCTATTACACAGCTTAGAGCTTTAACAGAACTTATCAACCAGACAGTTGGAGATGCCATTTCTGACATGCTCTTGGTCGAAGCTATTCTCACTAACCTTCAATGGAGCTTAGAAGAATGGGATCAGGCATACACCGACCTTCCCAACCGTCTTGTTAAAGTAGTTGTTTCAGACAGACACATCTTCAAGACAACCAATGCTGAACGTCAGTTGGTTGAACCTGCGGGACTTCAAGCCGAGATCGATGCTCTTGTCGCTAAATATGCCAATGGTCGTTCATTTGTTCGGTAAGCTATTTAAAGAAAAAGACAGAAACGCGGCTAACACCTGTTTTGTAGTGCATCTGGTACAGAGGATGCTGTCAGAGTCTATGCTGAAGCTGCTACACGAGCTGAAACAGACGATCTTGCCTTCAAGGTAGCCCAACTTGTCTATGACCGTGCTGGTGGTGTTGGTACACGTCCTTAGGAAAAATAAAAATAAAAACGCATCCTTTTATATATATATAAATATATATTTTTTATTCTTTAAATCTAAAGTTCCCACACCTTTACAACTGAACTAAGCCAAGTAGTTGAGGTCCAGATAGGCAATGCTTCCTTTACCACAGACATGATGCCCACGTTACCAATCAAGCGCTCTTCGCCTCGCCCAGCAAAGCTTTCCTTTTCTAATGCTGTAAATTCAAAACGCACTTTCCATTTGTTTTCTAATGCTTGTTCATATTCTTCTTCAGGCACCTTGAAAGACAAGTCTATGGTCCATCCATCATTTCCATATCCACTGACGTGACGAACGACATAATGGGAAGGCGTTGGCAGAGGATCTTCGTCCTGAATGCTCCAATCAACCACATGACCATCAAAGGCCACCACAGTCCAGGTATACGTGGGCGCATAGCAAACAATAGAGAAAGAGCGAATGCCAGTCTGAGGATCAAAGGTATCGTTATATACCTTCATCTCCGGGAAAGGGCCAGGTAAGGCCTCCACCAAGGATTGTTCGGTAAAGTTACCTGTCGAACGGATATAAGGCTCCACATCGAACCGATATCCTCCCAAGAATGCGCTGAACGGATAGATCGAGTCCCAGTCGTTCATATGATCAGGTGCACGACGAGTCTCTGCCTTTACGCCAAGTCTATGTTCAAGCGTGTCAACAACCGTTTGAATGTAAGGACCGTGATCTGCTTGAGCTACACCGACAGTGATTTCGCCCGAGGTTAAGTTCTTCAGCTGTTGAATAAACCTAATATCCTCATGTCAGTTATCAAACTATGAATAAAAGAAGTTTACTTACAATCGCTTTGGGTGTAATTCGTCATAAGGAAAAGCCCAGTCGCCAAAAGTACCACCACCGATATAAACAGCCGCCAAAACAGCGGTTTGGAACAAGAGTAAGATGATCACCATTTTCTTGATCACCGCCTTTCCAAAGCGATGAACATGTGCGATCGAAGGAATGGATATCATAAAGACGATCATACCGTAGATAACAGCAACAATCACGTCCACGGGGGTATCTACACCCATACGACCTGTCAAGGGCACAAAGAGATCTACCAGGGCATAGGCGTAGTCTGCATAAAGGAAAGCCAGGACAAAGCTGGTGATGAAATAGGTGACGTGGCTTACTTGAGGCAGATAGATCTTGGAGGGTGTCGGACGAAGTAGACATTCGTTCATCACACAGGCGACAAGTAAGACAAGACAGTAGAGCCAAAAGATATATGAGCTTGCGACGCCTGTCAAGGTAGAGAGGAAGGTGGAGATAGCGAAACAGAGCATAAGTGAGTTAAAGGTACCGTATTCCATATCAAAGTGAGCAGGTCCAGGTAGTTGATAGAACAGGTACTGGATAGCGTAAGCTCCTACAAGGCCAGTAGGACTGAACATGAGAGCGCCATACCATTCGTGTTTAAACCATGCCATGTGTCGGTTAAAGATATCAGAGGTGATCAGGAGGGCCACGGTAACAGGCAATAAAAGAGCGCTGATCATACTTGCAAAAACAGATGTCGTGGACTTGGCATAAGAAATCAAAATGGAGGATACAGAACGATAGGGAGAAGATCGGTGTGTCTTTAAGGTGATATATCCAAAATAAGCAGTAGCTAGTACAACAGTGAACATTTGAAGCGCATACGCGGTTGCCCAAGTATAGACGAAAAAGAAGAGGCCTTGGAAATCAAAAAAGACAACTTCACTTGAAGGCTTGATATCTTCTAATGAAGCATTCTGTGCTAAATAATTCACAATGGCTAATGTGTTTTCACCAAGATGTTGTATGGCACCAGGTTCGAGGTATCGAGGGATATCAAGGTGGGTATGGTACAAGTATGAGTTTTTATAAATAGCCATGTCAATACCAGTCAAGTTTCCATATTGCACAAATTGTCTAAAATCTGTATCTGATAGAATCAAGCCAGTACGAAACACATCATTTGCCTATTATCTAATTAGTCTTTATCTTTATCTTTTTTCTGATAAATTACCATAACGGTGCCATGTGGATAAGGCACTTGTCTATACGCTTCCACCATTTCCTTTGAATTAGCCTGAAATAAAATCTCTCTACCTGTTGTGCCACAAGCATCGATATTTACAACTGAGCGAATTCTGCATGAAAGCCCATTCGTTAGTGGGATATAAACAAGATGGATGGATCTTACGTGTTTCGAAGCTCGTGCATAGTAATGAAAGCGTGCGATGCATCTTGCAAAGATTCTTCTGCTCCATTAAACACTACACATGACGTGTTAAGGAGATACCGAATGAAGGAAGGGTGTATTGTTACTTACGGAATACAACGGCATTTTTATGAGATGACCAATCCCGCTTGCTCAAGACCCGAATGAGTTCCATCATGACAGCTATACCTGAACCATCATCTGTTGCTCCAGGCGATCCTAGGGTTGTATCAAAATGCGCGTTTAACAAAATTGCATTATTCTCACAGGAACGATCCTCGGGATGTTCAGGACTGATAGGACAGGAGAGACGAACGACGATGTTTGTCACGTTGGTATATGCCTTCAGGACCACTAATACAACAGATATATCAACACACTAGCTAATCGTTATTTTTCTCTTCCTTACTCTTATCCATAATGTCAAATCGATGTGAACTCGAGCCTTGTTGGAACCAAATGTCAAACTTTGGAGACCCGGGAATTCCTTTTGCCTCATGCTGATATTGTTGGATAACATGATTGATATAGTCATAAGACTGCTGTTCTTCTACTGTGCCAACAATGCCTATATACCACACACGTATCAATCAATAGTTCCTTTATACATACGTTATATAGGTTATGGGTAAACTCTCTCTATTTTAAACTTACGGTAACCGATGGTTTCGCTCAAATAGGATATGGTCTCTATTGCGTTCTTTTCAGAAAATTCAGATAGACTCGTCTCTGGACTAAAGCCAAATTGGTTTGTAGGGGAAGGCAGGCGGTAGTGCAGACAGAAAGAAAGGTACATGCCCAAGAAGGTACTTGCACAGATAAGCAGCCAAGCTAATGAGATTCCTTTGAATGACCGATTAACAACAGTTGCAGTGTTCAACGGCTTTTGCCGATGCTTCTGCATTGCAATGGACATTTTTACAAATAAAAATAGAAAAGAAAAAGAAAAAAAGTCCTCCCCCTGAGAAGAGAGACAAAGAGTAAAACTGGCTTTAGTTTTTAATCTCGTTTTGAAGTTGCCGTTTGGTTTATCCGGACGATCAGCCAATAAGAAAAGCCTTTTAAACATTAAAGGAAATACAGGTTTTGTTGCAGACAAATGCCAGCAGTAAAGTTAGGAGAAGCCATACATAATGATTTGTAAGCGATCGGCTGGTTTTTTACTGCTTTACCTGCATCATGAATAGCCTTCAACGTTAACCTTTTGGAGCTTTTGAGACGCTGGCTCTTACTTTGATGTATTGGATAGCTCTTTCGGTGTTTACTGTAGACGTGGGCACTTTACTAAGTTTATTTTCAAATATTGTATATTAAGAGGCTTTAAGAATTGGCGAAGCTTTCGAAAGTGCCTTGATTTTGTTTCAATTGCACGTTTGTTTCTTGCAACATTGCTATTTCACAGTGTTTCGCGTTTGAAAATAAAAGAAACTGGTCAATACAATTTTTAACTGATCAGTAAGGTGTTTTCATCATCAATACACATATCATGAGCCTATACATTGCTTCTCTTAGCAATAGAAATATTATAAATTCAGCATGATACTATTGACTCTGTTGCTGCTATTTCATACTTTCATTATAAAAGTAATAACTCAATTTTACCAGTTGAAAAAAATAGATGTCAATTTAATCAAGAGAATTTCTTTACAAATGATTTCTTAACGAAAGGCACAGAGATTTTTAAATCATTTTTTCCATGGCAAGACATCGAGGAAAAAAGCTATCTGAATGACGAATCCATCCACGACTGACTATTTAGCTTTTCGTTGCCAATTATACCTATATCTTGCTGATCTTCTTTGAACAAGCCTTGTATGTTTTGAATAATCATAATGACCGACGATTTTCTTCTGTTGATACCAATAATGCTCTTCGCTTCTGTTATATTCAATATAGCATCTTTTACATTACCTATTACCTGGTTGGTTGTTTCCCGGAATAACAACGATTCGATCTTGTTGTATAATGACTCCATATGTAGCGCCTCAATTAAGCGCCGGTAGCATTAGCTTATTTTCTGGTGCATGTAGTGTTGACCTAAAAAATATGATAGAATAAATATGGTCTTGAATATAATACGTTTGCTTTTTGATCTTCTTTTTATTGCTTGGTCTTTGTCGCTTAATTTGAATCAGCCTTCATTGTTATTTTTTTTTTATAAACATCCAACTTTACTGACGCTGATATTGCAGCTATGCAACAACAACAACAGCAGCAATCAGGCTCTACCAGCAATGATATGGATGATAAGGAGGTATATTTAGATCAGTTATATTCCTTTGAAACCAGACGGCAATACGATTGGGTCCCTTCTGCAGAAATACAACCGTTTTTAAATTGGACGAACAGAGAAAGCACATACCCACCAATCCAGGGGCTTAACTACCGACCACCATCTACAGTATCAGATGCATATAACCATATGAGTCAAGGCCAGAAAAGAGAAGACAAAATGTTAAAACACCACCAATATGTCCTCTCAGCAGCTTTTAGGCCATTAGACTTGTTAGCACATGAAATCAGTTTGGAAACCAATAATCCCAACATACAAAGATAATTGTACATGATTTCGGTTATCAGAAAATTAATGATGCATGCTACCAACGCTTTAACGTAGTCAAGGAAAAATATCGCGTTTAAGTCAGTTAATTCTGAATTCCGAGCAATTGATGTGGATCCTCAAGACTATATTATGGAGCTGTCAGAGTTTCAAGCGTCCATATCTCAGCAACATACTGCGCAAAAAGCTTTAAATAATGCACAAAGATACAGTACTAAAAAATCTAGCTCTAGCTTCCGCGGCAGGCCTCTGTCGTTTTTTTGACAGGGTCTACTGTCGCAGCATCTACAGCAACACCAAAAGTCAACCCGGTGTTTACCCCAAACAATGGCAACAAAACCACAATGTCAATATCAAAAGCAAAGGTCCGTTTCTTCAGCAAAACAACAGCCAGTAGGTGGATGGCTAAGCCAGTACTCTATAAAATGGACTCAAATTTCAAACAGTTACTGGCTCAACAACATTATCAAAACAGGGTTCAAAACTCCTTTTCAAAAACTTCCACCACTTTCAACCACACCAACTCGTATCATCCCTTGTTCAAAAGAACAAGCAACATTCCTAGAGCAGACGGTACAAGAATCACTACAGAAATCAGCTATATAGAACATCAATCCAACAACGTCAGGATATTACAGCTTGATTTTTGTACATTTGCGAATATAATAGTGATATATTTATCATATTTACAATTATAAAGTGAAATTAAAAGTGCATACTAACTATAATATGTACTTGAAAACACAAATGATATACGACCTTAAAATTATCTCTTGCGTAAATGCAAAACTTCATTATGTATAACAGTCGAATGTATCAAGATAATTTAATTGTTTAAAAGCCTTTATATTAAATTTTATGGTAGTTGAATACTATTAACAGTGAGTTTTCAAAACTTCAGATTTGTGTGCATATGTATATAGTGTAAAAATGTATATATATGAAAAGAGGGAGGCATGTTGAATACAATGGGGGATTATACAATATTGCTTAACGAGCAACGCTTGACTGTAATAATTTACGAGAGATTTCACCATCGATTTCCAAGTCAAACAATCTCCAAATACCGTTTTCATCTTGGAAATCATTGTGAACGATATTAATTAAATAGTAACTATCTGTGATATCTAAAATAAGCTTGGCTGATTCACTATCACGTTCATAAATACGAGCCCATCGATTCCAGAGTTCAAATGCTTCATCCTTCCAAGCCATGAAAGCAACAGATTCAACAATGGTAGGTTGAATGATTTCTTTACCAGGGAAGACGCCCCAGGTGACAGCATTGGGTTCATCACTTGTTGTGTTTGTACGAAGATCGCCTTGTTTGTTGACGGCATAGTAAGTCACTTGAGGATTCTGACTGATCTTGTCGATCAACTCATTCAGCTTCTCTGGTGAAACAAAGAATTCGAGATAAGCCTTTTGATAGACATATCCGTTCTTGGGACCCCAACCATAGATGGGATGACAGCTCTTGACACCATTGACTGCAGGTTGAGAGTTGATGGTAAAGTAACCAAGCAAGTTGATGGCAGCTAAGCGCTGACGAATGATGTCAGTTTCAGGATCGAGTTGCTGAGAACTCCAGGGAATACCAGAAATTTCACCCTTACAGTAACGAGCAAAGGTCAAGGCAACATCATCCACAGACTTGGGAGTACCCCACATGTTGACACACTGTTCAACGGGGTATCGAAGGTTAATACCCCAGCCATCTAATTCACCAAAGGCAGGCGAACGAGAGTCACCCCATCGACCATTAGGAAATTCATCCCATGTTTCTGTACGTTGGATGTAGCTCTTGGTACGATTCTTCCAAAAGATAGGACGCACATTTTCCTTGGCACGTTTGGTATTGAGTGAGGGAGACCAAGGCAAAGGCTTGATACTTTCGAGAGGAGCCACGAGTTCAAGTCGCTCGAGAACAAGACGAGAAGATCGTTCGAGGTTGAAAGTATAGAGGTGGAAACCGTTGATGCCGACCTCACGGAATCGTTTGATGAACTCAACAGCAAGGTTGATACCATATTCCTTGACAGCTGTATCATCATCCTTGATAGGTTCGAGGTCATCCCAGATCTTTTGTGGTACAAAGTTGTCGTTGAATGCAATCACTCGCTTCAATCCACTGTAGTTTTGAATAGGGAACACACCAGGTAAGATGGGAACAGTGATACCAATCGCACGAGCCTTTTTATAGAATTCAATAAACATGTCTACATCGAAAAAGAGCTGTGTGACAACAAGGTCGGCACCAGCATCCACCTTTTCTTTCAATCTCAAAAGATCGTCTTCTTTATCGGGGTTATCGATGTGACCCTCAGGATGGCCTGTGTTGCTGTGTGAATAAAGAGAAAATGAATAGAGTTTTTAAAATTACCTGCAACAGCAATACAGAAATAGTCTCCGTACTTTTTACGAATATAACGTACAAGATCAATTGCATGTTCAAATCCGTCTTCACATGATTCCCAATTGGCCTGACCCTTGGGTGGGTCTCCACGTAAAGCCAAGATGTTTTGACATCCACACTTTTTAGCAGCCTAAAAATAAACATATGAATGAGCTATTCGTAATACAAACATGTCATTCTACCTCTAATGCGTCATCAATTTGTTGAATGGGCATGTTTGTACATGTCAAATGCATCATTGTTTCCAAACCATAGACAGATTGTGCAGTGGCAACAATCTCTGTTGTCAATTCAGCAGATGTTCCACCTGCGCCCCAAGTGACATCAATAAATTCAGGGCCATAACGTTGCATTCTTTCCATACGGTCATAGAGATTTTGAACACCCTAAGTTGTTTATATTAGATGATGAATTATAAGTACATATATATATCTACCTGAGGCGTCTTGGGTGGAAAGTATTCAAAGGACCAAAAGGATCTATTTTCTGCCTCAGCCTTTTTGATTTTATCAATAACCTTCATGATGTTAAATGTAAAAAGAGAGAAAAAAAGAGAAAAAAAGGAGAAAAGAAAAAAAAGAGAGACTAAAAAGCTATCAATCTATATAAGCATTGATGTCAAGTGGCACAGATATAAAGAAGCTTATCTGTTGGCATTCAAGTTATGAACTTATCCTTGTTATTTTAAATTGAATATTCTATATTCATATTAACCGCTACCCTCTCTTATACTTTATATCTTTTCTCCTTTTACCTTTCCATGTAGAATTCTGGAATGAGGGTTACAAACAGTAGTTAGAGATTGGGATAAAGCAGATCGAACAAGATCCTACTATTTCATTGGTCAGTTTATTATTTGCGACATTGTCTGGTAACCAATCTAAATTCATGCTAAATTATTCATCTCCGATCTTATTGTTTGTTTTCGAGAATACATGATGATATCAAATAAAAAGAGGGGAATGGCTATAGGTAGTAAAGGGTCTTTTATTATTATTCATTATTATGGACACATCTTTTAGCTATAAAAATAGATGCTATATTTATTGTGGAACTGTGTGCCTTGGATTGAACTAATTCAAGCAATCCAAGCCAATCAGATCATTTGCTTGAAATTCGTCATGTTATTTCATCTACTTGGAAAGGTATATCTGAGTGTAGCACAATGTGTATATCATACGTGGCAAGCAGTGATGGGCTCATATGAATGTAATACTATAAAGAATTTGATACTCTCTTGTGTATTCCATCTCTTTATTCTTATTTTAAAAAAAAAGTTATGTGTCCAAAGTAAAACGCACGTTAAACATTTCGAGTGTGTGTATCTTTTGACAGCTTATTCGTATTACATAATCTCTGCCATCCCTTTCTTCTACTTTAGTGACTATGTAGTCTTCTGCATCACAATCATAGCTTATCTTCAAGCATGCAGATGTCTCAAAGGTTTCCACCAAGACGCTCTCATCTGTCTTATCAAAATTGATACCTATCAAGCACAGTCTGTTTATGTACAGAACATCAAGATTCAAATCAGCCAGATTGATGTCTAAACAAGTAGGAAAGGGTACTTCAACCTTGGCTTGAGTGTATTCTATATAAAGCTCTCTCAAATTTGGGAAACTAGCTGCCAAAGATTTAAAAAAGGTTGAAGACGCCACTGCTCTGGATATGACTACATATCGAATAGATCTGTTGATGCAGTTCTGAGTGTTCGTCAAGCTGTAAAATTCCAATTGCAGCTTTTCAAGTCGGTAACATCTTTCAATAAAAGACCAAATATCGGATGGAATGAGTTTTTGTCGGTGGTAACTATCAGCCACTAATAGTCTATGTACACAGCTTGCTACACTTTCCAAGTATGAGATCAATCCAAACTCTTGAGCAAAACGGGGATCGTACAGTGTAGCCATTTGGTTTAGTTGTCCATTTGCCTTTTCTTCAAGATAAAAAGATATTTCTGTCTGCTTGTGCTCTGGACGTGCTCCATAGATTGACAAGTCATTATATACATCGGGAGTTGATCTGAAAACAGCATTTAGATAGTTGCAGACAATAGTACCTAATGCAGTATCTGCATTTGTTCCTGAATGGTTACTTATAAATAACCGAATCAAGAAGGATCGTTTAGCTTGCCTAAGGAAAAAGTCCAATAGCTGGTCAAATGCTTTGTCATGAACTATCTGTGTAGGTAAATGCGTGATTTGTAAGTACAAGTTGGAGAGATTGACGAATCGCTGGGTAATATAGTTAATGAATGCCTTTGATATACGCTGTGTGTAATTTTTGATGATGAGTGTCTTCAAATAAGGGTATGTGGTATGAACAATCGGAGCTACTTTTGAACATGTTTCTATGGCAACATTCACCTCCAATTCAACCAATTTAGGACAGGTGTCAAAGATAAATATAAAATCCTGCATTGTATTGATAGAGAAATGCTGTGACATCCACAACCTTTGAAGCGACGGAAACGATGTCAAGAAGGATACGTTTTTAAACGCTGGAGGGGCATAAAGTTGAGTGATAGAATCTTTATATTTGTAAAAGTGATCGACGGTCATGTTGACATGATCGAAATCACAACTACTAATGATCCGCAGTCTCCATTTTACGCTGTCGTCAATATCAAGCAAATAGGCTGAAATACAGTCATCGAAAAGGTGTGGAACCAAGTAAATGGCCTCAATGTTTGGACAGTGTACGACTAGTTTCTCAAAGTCTTTGCGTGATATGCATGAGTTTCCACAGATAAACTGAAGAGACAGTTGAGTAGCAAATTCACCGACTTGTGCTAATCTATTATTATTAGGCTGATGCTGTGTAATCAGTTGCAGATATTGTTGAAGGTCATGATGACTATGGAGGGTAATCTTTTCAAACAGCATCCTTGTAAAAAAAAAGTACCAACTGATACAGACTGACTTGCAGTTCTTTATGTCTTCTGGTACCTTTATTTCCTTGAAAATAAGCTCAAGTACAGGCACAGGTAGATGTTGAATAGTTGACATTATTAAACATTGTGAGCATAAAATAATAACAAGGTCTTCTTTTTTTTAGGGGATGAAAAATTTATAAGCAGGCCTATGTTTGCCTTTTTTGCGAAAAATGAAAATAAAATTCCCCGTTGATCTTGTGTTGATAAAAAGGACTTTTATATTATTATACCATCAGTTCAATATAGACATTGTTCAGCTTAAAGCGAACAAGAGTATTACACATTATGAAATATTTACGCCTAGCATCCAAGGCTTTCCAGATTGTAATCCCCCTTTCCTCTGCTATAGTCATTGGAGTCCTGTCAGAACATACTTTGATATATTGACGTCTTTTTTGTATTTCTATGCATACAAGCTGTATCGGTTGAGTTCTTGAAAAACTAAACACCTTATCGGTAGTCAATGACAACTTTTGCAAGTTCATATCATCCAAGTCTATCAGTATACTTTTAAAGTTGTGGTCAATGCAAAACATTCCGGCTTCGTACAGATGTAACTCTTTCAAGTTTGGAAAAGACATAGCAAATCTCCTGAAAAAATAATCAGCAATCACAGAGTTTTCTATACACAAAGTTTGTACTGTTTCAAAAACACAGCCATGAGTATCCTTTAAGCTGTATCCGCGAAGAGTCAATTCCTGCAAGTTACAAGCCTTTTCTATAAATAAAGCGACAACCCTTGACATGGTGAACCCTCTAAATTCTACTTCTAAGCACAGCTTATGAAAGTTTGGCATTTTGCTACTTGTAAAGCCATCCATTGCGACAAGGTAAATAAACAAATTTAAGGGCATGCTGATTTGGCATTCGATTGTATGGTTCCATGACTTGCATAAATCTATGGTGAGCACTGAGGATCTGGCTACTGTCCATTTCATAGAATTACATGCTTTAAGCTTAGAAAGATGACAGGCGACGTTGAGACATTCATCAATCATTGTATATATTTGTTCATTATCACTCCTGTATCTTGTTTCTGCTCTTAATGTTAAAGAAACTACTTTCTTCTGAGGTGTAAACAAAAAATCTTTTAACTGCTTATAGATTTCACCAAAGTTTGTTTGTAATGATGTTATTTCCATGCAAAAGGTTACATATGAAAGGTTGACCAAGCCTGCAGTAATATAATCAATCAACACTTTCGGTATCAAAGAACGGCATTTAACATTTAGAGTTTTCAGTGAGGGACATATAGCAAAGTTAGCCACCAGTCTTGCATCATCGTTCATGTTGGTATACAGGTCTAATTCGATTAAGTTGGGACATGCATTACAAATGAACATAAAACCTTGTATGTCTGTGATAATCGCTGTCGACGGTAGAGCCAGTTCTTCAAGTAACGGAAAGTCTATTACAAAATCAAAATCTTCAGTGTCCTCGAGCCATCTTATGACCTTGATAGTGTCTTTATACTTGTAGAAATAATCCGATTTAAACCATCGAGGGTTAGCCTTCTCGTCAAGTCTATGAAGTTTCCATTTTATATTACCGTCAAATTCAAATAGGTAACGATACAAGCTGCCTCCACAAGCAGTCGGAGAAATGCTAACCGATGTAACCTCGGGACAATATTTGACAAATTTTTCAAAATTTTCTAATGGTATCCTCGTATCAGCCATCCCTTTGCCCTCACCAGTAGTAACTTGTTTGACATATTTTCCAAATCGAACAAGTTGATTAGATGCCGGATTTTCTTGAAAGTTTATGAATTCTTCAATTTGAGACGTGTTCTTGATTTGAATGCTACGAAAAAGATGCCGTGTAGCCAAAAGATACCACGATACGCAAACAAGCCGACAACTTTTAAGGGTTGTTCTTTCTGCGTGTTGAAAGACAAGGTCGAGTATATGCATGGGTAATTGATGGATCGCTGGCGTTGTCATGAAATGCTGTAACGAGGGAAGAAAGAAAGAAAGAGTGTCTTTAAACAGCAAAAAAGCCCAAAGCCTCATCTACCCTATATTGTGTTACTACTCGAGGGTTGCATAAACTGGATGATTTTTTACCCATTTAAACAGGCACAAATATGGCTTAAGGCTACATTTTCCCACAGCTATTTTCTTTTCACCCTTTTACTTTATCATGTCCATTTCAAGCATTAAGCGATTAGCACCACAGACGACTTCTTTGTTTGTTTGTGATATTCAAGAACGTTTTAAAGGCCTTATTTGGCAGTATCCTTCTGTTATTTCTGTTGCTGGGAAAATGGTAAGCTGATCTTATTCAACACTCTCGAGACTAGCATGGACTATTATAGATAAAAGCAAGCAAACTCTTGGACATACCTGTTGTCGTCACTGAACAGTATCCCAAAGGTAAAAGACGAGAAACACGAAAAGATATTGTATTAAAAGGGTATATGTAGCATTTGGAAAAACGGTGTCCGAATTAGATATATCTGATGCAGCCATTTGTCTCGAAAAGACAAAGTTTAGCATGTATGTACCTAAAGTAGCTGATTTCTTAAAGGAGAACAATACAAAATCGGTTATTTTGTTAGGCATCGAGGTAAGAACTTGATGTGTATTCAGATCACGTCTAAATAATATTATTGCCATAGAGCCATGTCTGTGTACTTCAAACTGCTCTTGAATTGCTTGAGAATAACTATGACGTTCATGTTTTGGCTGATGGTGTCTCATCACAAAACTACCCCGAGATAGACATTGCTATTGCTGTAAGTGATGATTGAAAAATATATATACATGTATATGCTCATTCTTAAAATAGCGCATGAGATCTGCTGGTGCCACAATTACTACATCAGAATCCATTCTCTTCCAATTACTCCAAGATGCCAAACACGATAAATTCAAGGGCATTAGTGCTTTGATTAAGGAATACATGGAAGCTACCAAAGTGAATAAGCTCTTATACAGATCTTCCTCCAACCTTTAAAGACGATAATAAATACTTTTTATTTTATGATTCGAAACTCTTTTCCCAAAAGCCTGTTCCTCTGGCTATTTCTGTCTGCCTTGTTTTTCTCATGGATCGAATAGCTGCTTTCAATCCAGGGTATAATTGAGCTATATTCAGTCTCCACCAATTGCGGTTATATTCCATCTGACGGTCATACGCTTTGTTTAGGAAATCCTTGTAGAACACTGACATGGCCTCTGCTGTTACTTCTTGCCCACTTTTCCTTACTATAGAACTCCATTTAGATTATATAAAAAAAGACTCCTGTGCTTACATTGTTCTTCATATTCGGCCTTTGCTTCTGCAAACATTAAATTGTTTTTATACCAAAAGTTTTGATTAAATTCATCTACTCTTTGACAAGACTCTCTCCATTCTCGTTCCTAAGCAATGTCATTAACCTTTATCTTTATTCTTTTTTTCTTTTTTACTTCTTTTGTTTCGTCAGGTGGTATATAATATTTGACAGGTCGTAAATTAGAAATAGGATCAGGTGTTCCAATCATATCAGCTGCTACTGGTTTTGAAAGATCCTCAGTAGGTCGCTTTTTGATTTCTACAAAGGAATTAGTCAATGGTTGTAGGAATCTACTTTTTTACTTTTTGTGCAAACAGTCGTCAATGTTCGAGTTGAAACTGTAGATCGTAAAGAATGCTACCGAGTAAGTTAGATTTCATTCCTTTCTTTTTTGCTTTCTATTGAAATGATTCATTACTTTCACAACAAGTGACATGCTCATGAGTAATAATAAAGTCTAGGGTGAGCAAAATAAGACGTTTCCTCACTTTACCCTGCAAAAGATGGTTTTTTTTCTGAGCTTAAAATGAACTTTTGTTTAAAGCCAACACTACATGCAATTACAAATTTATCATTAGTCTTTGTTGATAGATAACATAAAAAATCTCTTTTTATCTCTTTGTTCTTGAAAAGAAATACAAACCAAGGCGATGGTTTTATACAGTCATGCTTAACTTGACGCTACGTATTGAAAAGTTTTATTGGATTGCATTATAGGTAATGGGTAGAGGCAGCGCCCGTAGCATGTAGTGTTTTCCATTTGATTTTCGTTCTTTAGGTTATACAGTCTTTCCGGAAAGTAAATTCGTCGTCGTCAAGAATATTTTCGTAGTACCAGCCTTGACATCCATGGATATACTGTATTTCCAAATTGAGTTGTCGTATTGAAACCGCTGTAATGTTATCAGTAATTACAAATACAAAAAGAATATGGCTCATTATTCCATTTGGCGGTAATATTAATAGATGGGATGTCTTGGAGTTGAAATTAACTTAATATTAGAAATGACCCTCTTTAGTCTCCTTGTAAAAGTTTAAATTCTTTATTCGATTTTTCCATGAAATCAGAAGAACATGTAGTCATATTTGGCAATGCATATTCTTCAATGGTCACGAAGCAGATTGCTTCTATTTGACATGATTTCTTTGTCCCAGGCACTCGATCCTGAAACTTGTTTGGAAAAGAGTCCTTTTTTTTTTTTGCTTCTTTACAGCAGTTATCAAATGTCCCTCTGAGTGTTCAAAGATTCGCCAATCAAAACTAGCCTGTCCTCATGGCCCTTGCTCTGACTCGCTTGTCCCGCCCTCTCTGCTCTCTGGCGTGTATCTGGAACGTTCCCCAATAGTCTCTTCTTTCGCCCTGGGTTCTCTCTGTCCTCCGTTCCTTTTTTTTTTTTTTGTTTAAACTTCTCCTGGGTAGTTATCGCTACCCTCCCCAGAATGCACCTTGGTGGTAAGTAAAACTAATATTAGGATATGTGCCCTAATACTAACATACGTTTTCTCTCTTTTTCTACATATACTCATTATCTCTCTCTCTCTCTTTTGACATGATGTCGTTTTATTTAAACGTATTTTCTTTGTCGTCTTTTTACGAAAATATTTTTTTTATTTTACGACAATATTTTATAAAATTAACGTCAATAATTAATAAAAATACAGTAAAACGTATACGCCATATGTCATAAAACCTGTTATTTTCTTGTTGCCATTTATTTTTAAAAGCTTGGAAGACCAGACTGACGCTCCGAAAAATGGAAAGAATGTTTTCAACTTGTCTATTCACACGGACGGCTTTGGTGCTTCGATCATTTTTGCTAGAGGAAGAAATAAAGAAAATAGACGTTTGGCTGAACTAGACTTAGAAGGCTTTCATAAAGATGAACTTGAATCATTATTTTTACCAATCGCTATTGATCCTGGTCGAAAAAAGATATTTACGACCACTGTTATGCATTCTAGTAATGAGCAAGTATTTAGAAGATGTAGCTCAAAGGAAAGACAGTGTCAGGCAGGAACCCTCCGAAGATACCAAAAAGCTGAAAATCTAAAAGATCAAGGAGGCATTTCAACCTTGAAACGTCTCAAAAAAATTTACAAGCGTTTAACCTTAGATTAAAACACTGTATCCTTTCAAAGGTGCTATTATGTTCATTGATTAACAAACAAACAAACAAAAAAAAAAAGACAAGATATATTGAGTATCCTAAAATGGGTTATCTAAAGTTCGATTTTATTTTTATTCTGCATATATACTTCAACAATGATCAGAGTACAACGTCCCTATATCTTCTTTAACTTTTGGCTTTTGGACCTTTGCTGAGCAAGGAGGTCTGTGTTCTTTTGGATGTACAAGTACGCTTTATACACAAGGTACCCTGCACTGGATACGGATGCCACCAAGAAAGCAGCCACAAAGGCGTAGATGTCCAGATTGTATGCTTTAATGAATGAGAGTTCTCTTCGGACATCTCTTCTATGAGTTATCTTTCCATCTTCATGTGTAAACAGAGCTTCTTCAACAACATCAGCTCCACGAGTGACTCCACTTCTTGATCTGATTTGAGCTATAGCCTTGAAGCGGTTGATATTTCGCTTGTATTTTCCAGTCTTGTCCTCAAGGATTTCTTCAATAAGAGCAGTTGCCGTTGACTGATCATAGTCTCTCTTCAACCAGCGGCCAATGCCAATTTCTTCCATCGTTTTAGCATTACCAGGCTGATCACCAAAGAAAGGAAAGATGGCTACAGGAACGCCCTCGTACATCGATTCAAAAAGAGAGCCTGCGCCACCGTGTGTTATGAACATTGCAGTCGAAGGATGATGAAGGATAGCTACTTGTGGCGCCCAATTGACAAAGGCAATGTTGCTACCATTCGCTGGCTTATCAAAGAAGCTTTTTACGTCATATGTGGTATTGGAGCGTGTTGTCAAGTACTCGGGAAAGAGGTCTTGGATGCCGCGGGTACCCCAGATGACCCCATCAAGCTTGCCTGCTTCCATATTTTCCAAAAGTGATGTCAAGATCAGTTGAATGTCTTTGGGGCTAGGGATAGCCACTTGACCAAAAGCGACATAGACAACTCTGCGATGATTATCCAGGAACTGCTGAAGATCAGTGTTGAGAACAGGGTGAGTTTTGGGGATAATGGGACCTATGACCTCTACAAGTGGACCAACGGGGCGAGAAGGCTCAAAGCCAAAGAAGGAGTTGACAAGCTTGAAAGAGTCTTTTGGTAGCTCTGAAGGATGCACAATCGGGTCCACTCCGATTGCTCGCTTTTTTTTATTGATGCTTTGTATTGTAGGCCATGCCTTGAGGATGAACCGTATAGGACTGATGACCTTATCTTGCAGTCTTTCCGAAAATGAGAGGCCTTTGACAGTAGGATGATGCAAGGTAAGCATATCTCTGTTAACATAGGGCGTAAGAGAGTCTATTAAGATATTTAATATTTGTTATAGAATGTGATTAATTATCCCACGTGTGCGTGTACCTGGACTAAATGCATATGTAGATGTTACTATAAAAGGAATTTTGGCTTTGGTTGCGGCTTCAGCACAGGTTCCATCAAAATGATCACATATAGCGAGATCCACTTTTTTCTTTGAGAAAACATCCAAATGTCCGGTATAAGCTATGGTAGAAGTGAGTGAGTATTGTCACTTAGAAAAAAGTATGCATCCATGTATATATATATTTACAGTCTATACCCCTGTTCCCAAATAAACCAACAAGATATGCGAATTGATCTACTGGAGACATGGACAATATTCCTTTTTGTATTGTCTGCATTTCTTCTTTTGACACCAAGGACGGTGCTCCTACGATTAGTTCAACTGAAGGAGCATTTTTAATGAATTTGGCATGATCTTCCTATCGTCATCATTGTAAGTAGTTTGTTACATAGTACACTTGTTAGCTTACTCTAGTATAATATATCGTGTGATGACCTCTGGCTTGAAGTTCTTCAAGAATAGAAAGGACCCAAACAACATGTGAGGATCCACCAAAGCCGGCAGAGAATAAGATGTTCTTTTGGGTACGGAAGTCCGGTTCCAGATCAAAGGTTGTCTGTTCTGCAGATCCAAAGACAAAATTACTTGCAGTTAGGAGCAAGGCAAGAGAAATGGTGGCTAGCTTCATTTATGGAAGTAATATGAAATCAATTCAATAAAGATAAACAGAAATGAATGTGTATATTTATATGTATCTACATCGTGAACCTTTTCATTGTAGATCAAACGGACGGGGAGGAAATTAGCCGTTTACGGCGGCTCAACGGGCGGGGTGTATCGGGGACGGCCCTTTTAGTGCATGCGGTAACTCAATGAGTGCTTTTGGTTGCTAGGAAACGTTCATGTTAAAAAGCAGTAACAATTAAACTGTTTATCCGTAAGGTTTCTCTTTTTAACTTACAGATTAATCTCACGTGAAGTCCTAACAAAGTTTAAAAAAAGAACAATAACCATGGAATCGTACCTTTTACTTTGACGAAAGAGGAGATTGTACTACATGTCCTTAGTTAGATGAAATCTATTAACATCAGTTACAAAAGGAGATTCCTTTTTATACCTATATACTCTGAATAATTTACTTTAGAGTATGGTTTCTTATTGTTGAAAATAGTATCAATTTAGTAAACACTTCAATTGTAAAAGAGACTAACTTTAAAACGTTTGATTTTGATATTGAGCGGTTTTCGGAGATAGTATGCTGCAAGGCTTTGAAGAGTGGCAAAGTGTATAAGAATGCTTAGAATTCATCTGCCACTCCATCCATTCCAATATACATGGCAAATGCTTAAAGTATATCAAGGTCTGTTAATAATCCATTACGGAATTAGTGCTAAGACAGTTATCAAAGGGGATGATTTATTGAACTAAACGATGTTAAAGCCCTGTATCAAAATTTACCCATTTCGGATAATTATAGTGTGACCCGTTATCTTTCCATTTGAAAACGTAAATCAATACATACAGGAAGTCATATTACACAAACAATACTGTGCAATTGAATAGGAGGGGAAAAAAAAGTTGTTGTTTACAGTATTATCTCATTCTACATTCAATAAGTATAAAGTAATACTAAGGGCTAGAAAGGAACAGATTGAGGAAGCGTAAGTGGCTTTGAGAGTGCACTACTCGGTAGGAAAAGTAGAAGACATTGAGTTGAAATTAACCACAGACTTGGTATTGAAAACGCCGGCCTAGACACATATGGTCTCAAGATCAAACATTTTAGGACCAAAAGCATTGCAAACACCCGGAGATGAGCAGAAAACAGAATGGGTATTGTAAGCTGTAAAGATAGAGTATCATTTATGGGACGTAGAACCAATATTAAACTAACGTAAAGAACAAATTGATTCAAAGAAAAAATAATAATAACACATCTATGACATCAGCGAAACAATTGAAACTTGAGGCAATCAAAAGAAATTCATGTATTGTTATCCGTATTCCTCCCCCCTTGAATTAAGTTGACACAGATGAGTAACACACACCACACATGTGTAACTAAAGTTGGGGCTGTAACCATTGTAAGACTATTATGGGTGCTGAAAAAACTTCATTCTTTTCGGTCCGTTGTTTTCATACTTTTTGTTTGTACTGACGGATATATTCCCGTATCTGTTTTGGGCATTTCAAATTCTGTTGGCTGATATTTACAGTAGCCAATTAAGTCGATGATCAGCAAAATAAATTTTTGCTGAAAAGAAGAGAGGAATGTTATTAAGAGAAGACACACGAGTGCTTTATAGGTAGAATTAATTCTGTCATCAGATGCGATAGAATAATGTAAAGCAGAGTGTATGTTCTACTGTAAGATTATAAAGTACTATGATGCATCTTGTTAAACGTGTCAAAAAAGCTTGGTCGTCAACCTGTAGCTCGAAATGATGCAACACGTATTAATAATAGATACAAGTGGATTCTAAAATGGACAGCCACAGATATGGACTAACATTCGAAATTATATTTTTATTGATGAGTTCGTATTTGATATTAACACGATACCCTCTTACGGTAGGTCCATCTGTGGTATGCCTATTACTACTACGATTTCTCTTAACAAAGCATAGTCTCATTCTATTCTAGGAGAAATTTCAACAGCAGGAGTTGCTCAAGCGAGAAAAAAGTCAAATGTAAAACCGGCTCAAGAACTAATCATTTCCTTTGATCTTTTGAAGGAGACATTAAACCATTTAGATGTATTCTCAGAGCTGAAAGGATTCTACCACGTTATGGTCAATGCGCCTATCCATAGCCACGAAGAGATTTGATAATTCGATTACCAGCAGCATCTCCTAATTTACGCCAATTTTACCACTGTTTTTTAAATTCGCTGTTTGAAATTTGTATATTCATCATGCGAAACTACAGAAACTAATACATTTTCCTACAAGAAAAAATATACTACTTCTAAATATGGAAAAAGCGTATTTTGCAGAATCGATCACTGGATATGATGCAGCAATGTCAAGACTTGGTCAATCAAAGCTTCACTGAAATAAACACTGTACAATCTGCATAAACTTTATAAAACGTCATCGTATTTTCCTATTCATTTGCTACTAAAGCAGACGTTTTATCTTGTGAAATATACAATTTCAAACGACTGATAACGGGATCGGAGATAGTTTTTCCGGTTCGTGTGTACTAAAATGAAGATGGGGGACGTAATCTTACTGCAGATCTGGTATCAACAGAGAATGAATAATATAATTAGAAATTTTTCTCTTTTCTAAGGAAAAAGAAACTTTGATTGGCAAGCGAAACGAGCTCAGCTTGGTTTGTATAAAAATCAAAGATTTTGATCCCACTTGTTTTCTTTATTCTTCTTTTTTTTTTCTTTAATGGAAGAGAAAAGTGAAGTAAACACTCCTACGGATTCGCTGCATCCTCGGAACAATAATGACAACTCCTCATCAAGTACAGCCAATGGTTATACAATAGGTCAACAAGGCACATACGGTGAAACAGATGTCAATCAAGTCAATGTTGAAGGTATCGTCTATTATCTTTTTTTATATATAACTTATTCATGAGCTTTAGATGCCAAGAATCAATATAGTGAACTTCGACGCGAATTAACAGCACTCAGTCAGAGAACAACACCATCCAAGATAGAGGAAGGTCAGGCCAGTAAGGATGAATTTAATCTCGATGAATTTCTACATGGCATATCCAAAGAGTTGGACGAAAATGGCCGAAAACGTAAACATTTGGGTGTCCTTTGGGAGAATCTCCATGTAGAGGTAACAATCGCCCCCACTTCATCATTACTGCTTTTCTAAATACATTTTATGCATAGGGTCTTGGCGCCGATGCATTTACTATTCCGACCGTCTTTAGTAATATTATGTCCGTTTTCAGCATTTGGAAATTGTTTAAAAAGAATAAAAATACAAGTACAAAAATCATCCTTCATGATCTCACCGGATGTTGTCGAGACGGTGAAATGCTTCTGGTGCTCGGACGTCCTGGCGCTGGATGCAGTTCTTTTCTTAAAGTGATTGCCAACATGCGTGGATCATATACAAAAATCACAGGTGATATCAGCTATGGGGGTATCGATCCCCACGTATTCGCAAAGCGGTATCAAGGTCAAGTATGTTACAATGAAGAAGAAGATCAACATTATCCTACACTTACAACCAAGCAAACACTTCAATTTGCATTAAGAACAAAAACACCCGGTCAGCGACTTCCCGAGCAATCAAAATCTGATTTCGTGAATCGCGTCCTTTATTTGCTTGGCAATATGCTTGGTTTAACAAAACAGATGAACACAATGGTTGGCAACGCATTTGTCCGTGGTTTATCCGGAGGAGAGCGTAAGCGACTGTCAATTGCTGAGCAAATGACAACCCGGAGCACAATCAACTGCTGGGACTGTTCTACACGTGGTCTAGATGCTGCCTCTGCTTTGGACTACGTACGTTCACTTCGTATCATGACCGATATCTTTGACATCACGACTATTGCTACGCTTTACCAAGCATCCAATAACATTTACAACATTTTTGATAAGATCCTGGTTTTGGATGAAGGTTATTGCATCTTTTTTGGCCCTACAGAGGCAGCCAAACCTTATTTTGAATCCCTTGGCTTCTACTGTCCTCCTCGTAAATCAACCCCAGACTTTTTGACTGGCCTCTGTAATCCACTAGAACGTGAATTCAGGCCAGGTTTCGAAGACACCGCACCAAAACATGCTTCTGAATTTCAGGATCGCTACTATCAATCCGGTATCTATCAGCAAATGATGCAAGACTTTAACAATTACAAAGAAACCGTTCAAAAGGAAAACAAAGCAGCTGCTTTTGAGGACGCAATTCGAGAAGAACATCAAAAACGCGCATCAAAGAGATCACCCTATATCGCATCATTCTACCAACAAGTCAAGGCATTAACCATTCGTCAGTATCATCTACTTATCAAAGACCAGCAAGCACTTATCTCTCGGTATGGAACCATTCTGATTCAATCACTGATCACTGCCTCCTGCTTCTTTAAACTCCCATTGACAGCCACAGGCGCCTTCTCTCGTAGTGGCGCGCTCTTCTTTGCGGTCTTGTTCAACTCATTTATCTCTCAATCCGAACTCGTGCGGTTCTTGACTGGTCGACCCATTCTTGAAAAGCACAAGCAGTACGCACTATACAGACCGTCTGCATTTTATATTGCACAAGTGATTATGGACATTCCGTACGCTATCGTCCAAGGTAAGCTTTTTTTCTCATTGACTACTTTTTGTTCAAAGCCTAATTTCACCAAATATATAGTTCTCTTGTTTGAAATTTGTTCTTACTTTATGATGGGTCTCAATTTGACGGCCGGAAGATTCTTTACTTTTTTCATTGTACTCTTCTTTATCAACATGTGTATGAACGGTTTCTTCCGTTTCTTTGGCGCCATCACATCTAGCTTCTTCCTTGCCACGCAAATCACTGGTGTCTTATTGATCGCTATTACCTCGTACACAGGCTACACGATTCCTTATAATAAAATGCATCCCTGGCTATTTTGGATTTATTACATCAACCCAATCTCGTACGCTTACAAAGCCTTGATATCCAACGAGATGCACGGCCAAATATACTCATGTGAAGGCTTTGGTAATTCTGTCCCCTCTGGCCCTGGATATGATGACTGGAACTATAAAGTTTGTACAATGCAAGGTGGTAAGCCAGGTGAACCGTACGTCCGTGGAGACGACTATCTTCTTGACGCACTCAGTTACAAGCCTTGGCAGCTTTGGGCACCTGATTTTGTTGTAGTTGTTGCCTTCTTTTTGTTTTTCACTCTACTTACAGCATTGGCTATGGAATGGGGTGGTATAAGCAAAGCTGCTTCATTGACAAAGTTATATCTTCCTGGAAAGGCACCCAAGCCGCGTACTGAAGCAGAGGAGGATGAACGCCGACGCCGACAGAACAATGTGACTGAAAACATGGACAAGATTTCGACAGGAACCACTTTTTCCTGGCAGCATGTCAACTATACTGTGCCTATCAAAGGCGGTTCACTTCAGTTGTTGAATGATATTGGTGGTATTGTTAAGCCAGGACATTTGACTGCTCTTATGGGTTCTTCTGGTGCCGGTAAGACCACGTTGCTGGACGTTCTGGCCCGCAGAAAGACGATTGGTAAAGTGGAAGGTAATCTTTATTTAAACGGTGAAGTCCTGATGAATGATTTTGAACGTATCACTGGGTACTGTGAGCAAATGGACATTCATCAGCCCAAGGTCACAGTACGTGAAGCACTTCAGTTTTCTGCATCTTTGCGACAGCCTTACGAAGTACCTCAAGAGGAAAAATTTCAATATGTCGAACAGATCATTCAGTTGTTAGAAATGGAAGATATAGCAGATGCACAAATTGGTGACGTGGGTTCAGGCTTTGGTATCTCCGTCGAAGAAAGAAAACGACTGACGATCGGTATGGAACTCGTTGGTAAACCTCAGCTCCTCTTCTTGGATGAGCCCACATCTGGCCTTGATGCTCAAAGCTCATACAACATTATTCGATTCATTCGTAAGCTGGCCGATGCAGGATGGCCCGTACTCTGCACAATCCATCAGCCCTCTGCTATCCTCTTTGAGCACTTTGATCATCTACTGCTTCTGGTTCGCGGTGGCCGTACAGCTTATCATGGTGAAATTGGCAAAGATTCACGCACGATGATCGATTATTTTGAACGAAACGGGGGCCCTCGCTGCTCGCCTGACGCTAATCCTGCTGAATACATTCTGGAAGTCGTTGGTGCTGGTACAGCAGGAAAAGTCACTCAGAACTGGGCAGACGTTTGGGAAAAATCAGACGAGGCCAAAGCACTTGCAGCCGAGCTTGAGGAAATCCATCAGAACGCCAACAAGAACCCTAGTCGTGAGGCGCGTACGTATGCAACTCCCCTCTGGACTCAGTTCCGTCTGGTCTATGCTCGTATGGCGCTCGCATACTGGCGTACGCCTGAATACAATATTGGTCGATTCATGAACTTGATGTTTACCTCTCTTGTTACCGGTTTTACATTTTGGAAACTTGGTAATACGTCTTCTGATATGCTCTATAAGGTGTTTGCCCTCTTTAGTACATTTATTATGGCTATGACAATGATTATTTTGGCTCAGCCAAAGTTTATGATGGAACGTATTTACTTTAGACGCGAGTATGCCTCCAGATACTATGGATGGCTTCCATTTGGTATCTCTGCTATTCTGGTTGAACTGCCTTATATCATATTCTTTGCTGCTGCTTACATGTGTGGATTTTATTGGACAGCAGGCATGAAGAACACGTCAGAGGCATGTGGATACTTTTATATTATCTTTGTCGTTCTCGTCTGTTGGGCTGTCACCCTTGGTTTCGTCATCGCAGCGATTGCCGAAATACCTACAATGGCTGCCGTGATCAATCCGCTTGTGATCTCGTTGCTCATCCTTTTCTGTGGTCTCATGCAATCGCCCTTTGCTATGCCTCGTTTTTGGAGTTCGTGGATGTACTGGCTTGACCCGTTCCACTATTATATCGAAGGGCTTGCCGTGAATGAACTGTCAGATCTTCAAGTTGTATGCACAGACGCTGACCTCCTCAAGTTTACACCTCCTCCCGGTCAAACTTGTGGTCAGTATATGCAAAACTTCTTGTCACAGGCGACAGGATATATTGCCAATCCTGATGCGATGCAACCAGATCAATGTGGATACTGTACCTACAAATCTGGTGCTCAGTTTTATGAAACTAATATGGGATGGAGTGCAGCTCACAAATGGAGAAACTTTGGTATCCTTGTGGCCTTTTTCTTCTTTAACATTTTTGTGTTTTTGGCCATGGTTTATTTCAAGAGAAAGGGAAGACGTTAGATCTAGAGAAGATATTAAATCCATAATAATGGATTTTATGTACAATATTAAAATAAAGACTCATGTGTACAAAGTAATAGCCGTATTATATTCTTAAAGATACATCTTAAATGGAAGCTTCCTTAAGAGTTCTATGGAACCCTTGAGGCAAGTTTTGCCTTGTATGCTAAATTTAACTCATTAAAACCTTATAGTGCTCACGATAAAGGAAAACAGCAACAGTCAAAGTGTTACACATATTAGATAAGAGGCTCATGTCAAGTTAGTAACACTTGAAATGCTTTGAGGTCACTGGCTCATAGTTTGAAGCCTAAATTCGATCGTGCACCTGCCGAGGCAGCCGTGTATTGCAAAACTGAAGCTGATATAAATTTTGCCAGTCCAAGGAGATAGTCTTTTTTAATAACATTTTTAGATAGAGAGCCAAAGATGATGATGATGACGATGACGATGACGATGACGATGAATAAAGCGAAGAAGACATGATGAGTGTGGTAGAAGACATTATTGAAAATAAAAAGGGTTTCCGCACCTCTTCTGCTGCCACATCAAAAGCCCTATTTACCGAGAAGCATATAATGCCATCAATTAGAAGGCTCTTGTTGAAAGATGCAAGTCAAGGCTATCATTATGCCATGTGATTATGCTCAATTATCTTTGTCTACTTCTATATTAACTACTGTATATCGTACTCTTGGATAGGATTGACAAACCGGGCAAAATGGCAAGAAGCCTGACTTTATGATTGGCATAAAGATCAAAGCCAAAGAGGTCTACTTCTTTTTTGTTGAGGTGAAAAGACCAGAGACCACAAGCAAGTATCAAGCAGAAAATGATTACACAAATCTCATGAAGCAGATGAAAGATTCTGTTAACGATCAGTTACGCCTGGGGATCCAAAACCTTTCCTCTCTTAGTCTTTGGGTTGAAGGTATGCTCTCATTTTGCGAGTCGTTTACTTAGAAGAACATAATATCTAATACAGATATTTTAATAGGCTTTTGATGCACGCTCTTCTGAATGAAGCTTGTTGAAGATGGAGTATACATGCCTGTAGCAATCGATCGATTTTTTCTGGTTGAAGAATTTCGTCGGTTGATTCACTTGTCTTCGATTGTCGAGTTTTTTTATTTTGCTAAGGCACTAATTATAAACTAGAATTTCTGAGGCATGCAATCAAGTTCCCAGAAAGCATTCCTATCATTTCGCACGGCATTCTATGAACGTATTTGAAGATTGCTTAAATGAACTCCTTGTATAAGCTTTTGTACCGTTAAGAAGGATGCTAATTAAAGTATCTAGAAATGTTTAAAAAGGAAATGGTCATATTTGGTTGTATGTTGTGTAATTGTAACACTACAAGTGTTAATAAGCGATTGTTTAATCATTGGGAAATCTCTTTATTTTATGCATCAACAAGAAAAAAAAGGGAGCGGATAGGGTCCTTACGGCTGCGTTTTATTCAGCCACAATGACAGAAAATCGTCTTGTTTTGGTGTATTGGAATTTCTACATCGGAACCTCGTGTAACATATATTCTTCAACTTCATTCTAAATATGACTCATGGGCAGCAGCCGGAAAGCTATTGTATCTTGTGAAGTACGGGAAGCAAAGCTGACCAGATGAAAATTACCTCAAATGAGGACTGAGTCCCTCTTTTCACGAACACACTATCTTCACTACTCACCAGTTCAATAGAACACGCGGTCCACACAGGCGAAATATGAAAAGAGAGTTGATAGGCATACGCTATAAAGTTTGTGAGAATTATTCCTAAAAGTCCCATCCGAACCCCATCTCACTAAACAAAAGACCTAAAAACGGGATATCATACGATGTTGTGACTTTGTACTGTTTAAATACATATATAAAAAGAACAATAGATGGAGACGGTGAAATAGAAACTGTGTTTTATTTATTTATTTTACAATCATGACAAACGAAATCCCATCCCATGTACTGAATCCTGCCCATATACAATACATGGCAGCAGTTCCTGACGTTGACCCGTCTCTGTTAACCATTGACATGATCCGAAAAGTTGTTTCTGGTCAACCCTGTCCTCATGAGCCAAAACCAGAGGCATCCGTTCAATCGATCCAAGTTCCAACTGACGATGGACGCTCGGTCAAGGTTGATATCTACAGACCAAAAGATGTGCTGCCTGAAACCGTACTCCCTACATTGATTTATTTGTAAGTTTATATATCCGATATATGCTATGGTTAATACTCATAATATAGACCTGGTGGAGGATGGTGTTTACCACCTCAGGGTTGTCATTATCATATTGCTCCAAAGGTAAGAACTTAGTAATTGGCTTGTGATCAGAGCCGCTAATAGAATGCGAGGGAAAAATAGCTCGCGGTTGATGGTCGTTGTGCTGTGCTCTTCGTCAATTATTCTATTAGTCCCGAAGTAAAGTTTCCTGTGGCAGCTAATGAGTGTTTTTCTGTTTTCAATTGGGTACTGAATACTGAGAATGCGAAAAAGATTGCAGTCGATCCTAGCCGTGTCGTACTCGCTGGCGACTCTGCTGGAGGAAACTTGACGGTTGCCCTCACACGTAATTACACATACTATTGCTTCATCTATTTACTAACTCTTTTTTTCTAGTCCTTGCTAAAAGACACGGTGTACATCAAGCTATTAAACGCCAAATGCTTTTCTATCCTATTCTCGATGCAACATGGAGCAGTGAATCATACAACATTTATGGTGATAAAAACTATTTCTCATCTCGCTTCCTTAACCAGCTGCTTTGGGACAACTACAAATCATCTGATGCCGATGTACAGAATGTCCTTGCTTGTCCTGCTCGTGCCACTGTTGATGAACTAAAAGAGTTCCCTTCCGCTTTCATCGTCACGTCAGAGGTTGATCCTCTTCGTGATGAAGCTGAAGAGTATTCTAAAAAGCTGTTGCTTGCAGGTGTCCAGGTTTCGTCTATGAGAGTGTTACATGCTATGCACGGATTCTTATCAGTTCCGGGACTATTTTGTGAGGAATCTCTGAATGTTATTGATGCAGCATCCGGTATTCTCAGAAGAACATTCGCAAAATAATGGATTCATTGATCAATAAAATATTTGATTGTTTAAAGATTTTTGTTTAAAAAAGACCATAAAAGGAATACATGTATCAATGTCTTTTCTGATGGTACATATGTCTTAATACAGAAGAGATAGAATTGCTTTATTTATAATAAAACGTATCAGAAGCAACGGAAGAGCCATGATATGTAAACATTAATGCCTCTTTTCTATCTCTCGCTCTCTTGAGGCTTATCGGAAAGTAAAAATGATGTAGACCGCTTTACAAAAAACAAAAAGGCTTATCTGCGAACTATTTTAAGAGGAAGGTTAAATTAATTAACTAGAGACGGGTTATGAATAAATGGAGTTACACAAAAGCATTCAGAAAACCTAATTTGGCAGAAAAGAAGAGTAACATTTAATGCATTACTGCAGAGGACCATAACATAAAACGGTTTCCCGTCTTATTAGCAAGCTATTCTCCTTTGAATGATTGGACTATATCTACCATGACACATAAACTAAGCTAATGGACATAGCTAAGTTCTAAATACTAGATTAAGGCAAGTCATCATCCACGTTACACATTCTATGCTTGATTAAATCAAAGTACTGATTTTATATGAGCCAATCTGGAGAAAAGGAAAGATAATTCCGGGTTCCAAGACTGAGTTTAATAGATATACAAGTGTTTCAAACAGTACATAAATAGGGACCATCGTTTCTGTTTGTCTCGATAGAATTGATTGTATATCACTGCTATAGATGAAGCTAGCCACCATTTCTCTTGCCTTGCTCCTAACTGCAAGTAATTTTGTCTTTGGATCTGCAGAACAGACAACCTTTGATCTGGAACCGGACTTCCGTACCCAAAAGAACATCTTATTCTCCTGTAGTGCAGGTGGATCCTCGCATATTGTTTGGGTCCTTTCTATTCTTGAAGAACTTCAAGTCAGAGGTCATCACACGATATATTATACTAGAGTAAGCTAACAAGTGTACTATGTAACAAACTACTTACAATGATGACGATAGGAAGATCATGCCAAATTCATTAAAAATGCTCCTTCAGTTGAACTAATCGTAGGAGCACCGTCCTTGGTGTCAAAAGAAGAAATGCAGACAATACAAAAAGGAATATTGTCCATGTCTCCAGTAGATCAATTCGCATATCTTGTTGGTTTATTTGGGAACAGGGGTATAGACTGTAAATATATATATACATGGATGCATACTTTTTTCTAAGTGACAATACTCACTCACTTCTACCATAGCTTATACCGGACATTTGGATGTTTTCTCAAAGAAAAAAGTGGATCTCGCTATATGTGATCATTTTGATGGAACCTGTGCTGAAGCCGCAACCAAAGCCAAAATTCCTTTTATAGTAACATCTACATATGCATTTAGTCCAGGTACACGCACACGTGGGATAATTAATCACATTCTATAACAAATATTAAATATCTTAATAGACTCTCTTACGCCCTATGTTAACAGAGATATGCTTACCTTGCATCATCCTACTGTCAAAGGCCTCTCATTTTCGGAAAGACTGCAAGATAAGGTCATCAGTCCTATACGGTTCATCCTCAAGGCATGGCCTACAATACAAAGCATCAATAAAAAAAAGCGAGCAATCGGAGTGGACCCGATTGTGCATCCTTCAGAGCTACCAAAAGACTCTTTCAAGCTTGTCAACTCCTTCTTTGGCTTTGAGCCTTCTCGCCCCGTTGGTCCACTTGTAGAGGTCATAGGTCCCATTATCCCCAAAACTCACCCTGTTCTCAACACTGATCTTCAGCAGTTCCTGGATAATCATCGCAGAGTTGTCTATGTCGCTTTTGGCCAAATGGCTATCCCCAGCCCCAAAGACATTCAACTGATCTTGACATCACTTTTGGAAAATATGGAAGCAGGCAAGCTTGATGGGGTCATCTGGGGTACCCGCGGCATCCAAGACCTCTTTCCCGAGTACTTGGCAACACGCTCCAATACCACATATGACGTAAAAAGCTTCTTTGATAAGCCAGCGAATGGTAGCAACATTGCCTTTGTCAATTGGGCGCCACAAGTAGCTATCCTTCATCATCCTTCGACTGCAATGTTCATAACACACGGTGGAGCAGGCTCTCTTTTTGAATCGATGTACGAGGGCGTTCCTGTAGCCGTTTTTCCTTTCTTTGGCGACCAGCCTGGTAACGCAATCAAGGTTGAAGAAATTGGCATTGGCCGCTGGTTGAAGAGAGACTATGATCAGTCAACGGCAACTGCTCTTATTGAAGAAATCCTTGAGGACAAGACTGGAAAATACAAGCGAAATATCAACCGCTTCAAGGCTATAGCTCAAATCAGATCAAGAAGTGGAGTCACTCGTGGAGCTGATGTTGTTGAAGAAGCTCTGTTTACACATGAAGATGGAAAGATAACTCATAGAAGAGATGTCCGAAGAGAACTCTCATTCATTAAAGCATACAATCTGGACATCTACGCCTTTGTGGCTGCTTTCTTGGTGGCATCCGTATCCAGTGCAGGATACCTTGTGTATAAAGCGTACTTGTACATCCAAAAGAACACAGACCTCCTTGCTCAGCAAAGGTCCAAAAGCCAAAAGTTAAAGAAGATATAGGGACGTTGTACTCTGATCATTGTTGAAGTATATATACAGTATAAGAATAAAATCGAACTTTAGATAACCCATTTTAGGATACTCAATATGTGTTGTCTTTTTTTTTTGTTAATCAATGAGCACAATAGCGCCTTTGAGAATTACAGAGAAGCAGAAGTGCGTTTTATTGTACAAGCTGAACTTCAATGTCATTTATCTCAAAACGAGCAACATCATGGCAACGAATATTATATTGAACTAGAGGCTTCATACATCGTTTGACTTCAACGGCTTTTTCTGTTGTCAATATCGTAAGCTTACTGATATTCTCTATTAAAATATTTGTGCGTCCTTTATGTGTTGTAACATATACAAGTTCTTGTTTCCAATTCCTTTCATAAGGATTAATGACTCGCGTATCAAGAGATAGCTTTTGCAGTGACATATCCACCAAGTTTACTTCAGCACCGTCATCATTAGCTGCGTCAAAAATGTCATCACTATCTCCTTCAATAAGAATGTCAATGGATTGCAAGTAGAGCTCTTCCAAGTTGGGGCAGCTGATTGACAATTTTCGAAGGAAATTAGGATCAAATTCAGATCCATGCACTTGTAAGACCTTGATTGATTCATAAACCAAGTCATGAAATGTATACAAGCAGCCGCTCCAAATAGTCAAGCCCCAAAGTTCTTGACATTTCTGTATAAATAAACAGATATCCTGCGATAAATGTGTGCTTTGATTCTTTAGGTTTATGTAGAGTTTATGTATATTTGGTGGCGTTCTGTCTATATTTTGTTGTGAAAAAAGTCTTCCTCCACGATCTGCTATCTGCAAAGCGAGCTCACGAACGACTGTATCGTTGGGTAACTTTTTCAAGCTTGCTGTGATTGCCATTCGTTTTGTAGTATTTGATCTTTTGAAAATCTTTATAGAGTTATATACATTTGATTCCATGAGCTGTAGTCCAAAAGTGTTGCTTATACATTCAGAAATCATATTGTCAACTTGCTGCATTCTTCTGTTCAACGTTAACTGAAAAAAAGAATTTTCAGGGCGAGTGACCAAAAAGTTCAGTAACCCATTGTAAACTTCAGGAAAGTTTGTGAGCTCTTCATTTTGATTTATGTATATGTGTATATGAGAGAGGCGATCAAATCTTTCAGTGAAATAATCGAGCAATTGCTTTGGTATCAATGATGTGAGAACTGTGATGTCTAAAGTCTTCAAAGAAGGGTGCTTCTTTTCATTGACAACAAATTGTGCCAGGTCTTTTGTTTCAATGACTACATCCAGTTTAGATAAATTGGGGGATACATCAAATATACGCACAAAATCTTGCATAGCTTTGATGTGTAGAGGAGAAGATAATTTGACATCTTGAAGTGCTGGATATTTTCTAAAGAACTGTACTGTGTCTACATCATGACGCTTAGAGATCAGTTCAACAGAGTCTTTAGAGTTGGCATGCAATTTTAAGACTGTGTTATCATCACATACAGTGTTTAAATTTCGTAGTTTCCACTTTATATCATCATCCATTTTGAACAAATGAGCTACCATACAGTTTAAAAAAAGGAACGAAGAAAGGTGGAGGGTTTCGATATTCGGGCAGCATTTGACCAGTTTTTCGAAATCGTGATACGACAACACTTCACCTTTTTCATCGGGAATGCATAAACAGTACATCATTCTTACTTTTCTAATAAACATTCCAGGCTGAATTAGCCTGTTTGAGATTTGCTTTCGGTTGAGCTTCAAGAAAGCCTTCAAACTATGGCGATGGTCTATTTTAGCTTCATAGAACAAATGTTTTGAAGCAACTGGATGCCATTGCAAACAAGTAAGTCGGCACTCTAATAAACTTAGTCTCGAGATCTGTCTAAAGATATATTCAAGTATGTCTGTTGGTAGTTGTTGTATGCTGCTCATTAATAGATCTGTCAAGTAAAAGAACAACTAAATTGTAACCCCATGTTATTAAACATGGTGCATGTCACCTATAACCTGTTCAAAAACTCCGAAAACCTTAAAATCTTAAAGCGGCAGTCGGGATCAGTGTTCTTATGAGCTAACGACTATATTTGATAAAGAAGTCATTAATAATCAAAACTTAGTGCTACTTTATTCAATACCTTTACTATAATTTGAGTTATCATGATTTCTATTTTGCAGAGCACAACCTCCATTTATACGCGATAATTCAATCTTCATTGCTAATCTTCTCTCTTTATTATTTACAAAAAGTTAATACGACGTTTGCCAAGAAAGATGTTAGTAAAACGCGTCTACTGACATCTGTTTTCATTAACGATTAAGCTGCTAAAGAGATTTCTTAAAAAAAAAAAAAAAAAAAAAAAAAAAACACACCTAAGTTTTATCTTAAATGGTATGAAAACTAACAACTCTTTTGTTTATAGCACTTGTTGTAATATTCTTTTGAAGTTTGAATCTAAGAAGACTGTTCGTTCCAGTTGGGATCAAAGTGTATATAAAATATAATATAAAACAAGAGTAAACAAGATGGGCCAAAAGGAAGGTATTGCAGTACATTAACCTCCTCTATCAATTGGGCGTCAGTGTGATATTATGTAGAATCTAGAACAGTAAAGCACAGTCAAATCCAACACAAGGCTTTGTTGATTAAGACTAAAAGTGCTTTAATGTGTTGACCACTTTGAAGGTAAACAAGTTCTCTAAGCGATACTTGGATCTTTTAGTGAAGGCTACAACTCATGGAACGCCTTCAGCACGAAGGCAACTTTATATCAAGTTGTTTAGAAGCTCTCAAAAGAAGTCCGAATAAAACACTTCTTTTTATGAAGCCATCTTTATGACTCTACTTCTTTTGCGTCATTTATTCAAGTATTAAATACATATAGCATTTGTTATATAAAATACAGTGTTTATTTACAAGTGTTTGTCAAATAACTAGAATTGAACATTTTATAGGCAACCTGCATCATATTTATCTTTCCTGGTTGATTTTTGTGAGATTGGTCCATTACTATACCTATTACTCTTAATCTGTTTGTTTGTCTGTGACCTGTCAGATTGCACGTTACCGATATTGACGTCATCTCTTTCTTCTTTACATAACACAAGTATAGCAAGCAAAGAATTCTGATCGAAAACATTGATAGTTTGAAGATTATTCTTGTTGACTACAAAGTGGCATTACTCTCGAAATAAATAAAATGCCCATCTGTGAAACCTGCACTTTTACTCATTCACTTTAATCGTACCACAGCTATTTGTTTCATTGTCAGTTAAAACCAAATATTGTTCAACAACAGGAAATAGTACCCGTCAGACTGTCGTATAACAAATAGCAAACTGTGGGCCGTACTGAGCCAAAAAAGTAGTTTGTCAAAGAATAAGAATGTTGGGAGGAGGAAGATATCATTAATGAGTTTAACAACTGTATCGTTCGACTATCCTGAATATATTAGCTTCTGTAAAATCATGAATAATGTAAATAGGGCTTTTGCATCCGTTTCCCTCAAATTGAAGTAGAAGCATTGTTGGTGACATGAATTCCCCAAGGAAAACTTATCATATAAATTGCTAATCTAATAGAGACAATTGCTTAACAAAGGTTCAGTTTCAACGGATTTAGCGTTTACTTCAAACTTACTACAGGCCCTATCCCACAAAAAGAAAACCGTTCATCACGGAATACAATAAAGTAGTTATTAAGTATGATTATTAAAAAAAAAAGAGGTGTATTACAACAGAATAAAAATGGAACAAGAATAAATGGTTTGTATGAAGGAAGAGAGAATAATGCTTGGAGTTGTCTACAATGAAGTTCTATGTCTATAAACCGTATAGGTAGGTTGCATAGATAACCATTGCTGCGCCCACTAAAAAGGTACCAGAAAAGGCAAAATTGAACAGCCACACGCTAATGATACTTGATAATATAATACTGATACTTGTCGCAAAGCCTTTCAAGATATTATCTGCATATTTGACTACCAAGGCAACAATTAGCCCACCAAATGCTTGAATTGCAATAACAATCCAGGTCAGTGCTGTGTAATTTACAAAGAATCCTTTTTCAGCAATAGTAGCACCATCTTGAAGCGTTACCACAAAGATTAAGCCTAACACCACAGAGAAAAGCGACATTTGTATATTTCTTATCCATAGCTGATTTCTGCTAGCATTCTCTTCTTCATCATCATCTTCTTGATATAGTGTCTTCTTGTTTTCTTCTTCATCTTCAGTTGCAAGTGGCTGTGGTTGTTTTGTAGGGGCCTTGAGTATCTTTTCAAAGTACACTCCGGCTAATCCTGATAATAGACATGCTGCTAATACTGCCAAAATGCCCTGTAAGTTTGATTGGTTCCCTATTGTCACTCCTGATGTCTCAACTAGTTCTGAATCTGATACGATACTACTGTTTCCTGTGATGTATGAAATAAATGCGGTGGAAGCGTTCTTTGGTAAATTGACCAGAGCAATACCAACAGTCAAAATAGCCAATGCAATCCATTTTAATTTTGAAAGGTTTCGTTTCAGAATCATGACAGTAAAAAAAGCAGTAGTCAGGATTTTTAGCTGATAAGTTACTTGAAATGTTGCAGCATCTAAATTGGAAGCAGCGACGTATTGTAGATTGTTCTAATATAAAAAAGCATAAGCATATAATGTCATACTATTCTTTGTTTCCCTCTTTCTTACTTGGATCAAATATAGCCCTGCTGGGAAGGCAAGCTTTAATGTTTCTCTCCAGTTTAATATCAATTCACGATTTAATAACGACACCAGCCTTGGTAAAGACCTCTTTCTGGCATCAAAGTTTAAATAGAGTACGAGGAGACATACAATTGACTTGAGTACTTCGCTCATTACTACAGCAGTTGATGCCAAATATAGTTTATCTTCAGGAACACTGGCTCTAGTATAGCGCATTACCAAGATGAGTGCACTGTTTTGAACCACAAGAATGATGAGTGATAAGTATTTAATCGGTATTCCATTAAAGACACTAAGCGGGGCTACTTTAAGTGTTATTTTACAAGAATACTCTAATAATGCTTTTGTTTGTATATTTTTACCCATTTTGAACAATAAAGAAAATGAAAACAAGAGAAACAAACTGTGTGAGTGTGAGTGTATTTAAATAGCGGTCACTTAAATCATTGTACGACTGGTCCTATTGTGGCGCATTATCCGTTTACCCCCAGCCCAAATAGTTTATTCACTTGAATTAAAGTCTATCCAATATGAAGAAAGTAGAATGAATCATAACCTGCGATATTATCTAATCATTTAATAAATCGTTTATTTCATTTTATTACAGATCAGAGTTTCCTTTGTTAATCTCAATTTAGAACAGAACAAGAAAAGTACGACAAGACGCAGGCTCAAAATGTAACTTCATTTTTCTATAAATATACTTTTTTTTTTGTTGGCAGTACAATGATCTTTTGATTCAATGATCTCTCTTAGTGGCGCCAGCACTTTAGTGAACGTAATACATGTTTCTTGGCTCTGATCTACTATCGTTATCAAAACATCTCCTTGTCCCCGAACGCCTTTATAGAAAAGCACTCATTCTTGGCTTTAAATAAAGAAAAATCATAAGCTGGTGTCGCGTATTTTTGCAAATTGTAAACAATTAGTCAACGCCACATGTATTCATAAACAAACTCATCATTATAGAAAAAGAACATTCATCTTTAAAAATAGTGCAAAGTTAATCACGTTTTTGTACAAATGTAGCAAAGCAGTTCCTTTTCAATTAGAGCAATTTTATGCCAACAGGGTCGATAGTTGATGTCAATAGGTCTTTATTACAATCACATACTGAACGATACTGATTCATGCTCTACTCAAGTTTAGCATTGATAACAATCATCACAAGATAATCTTTAGCGTGTTGTGAATTCATGCTTGTATAATAAATAAAAAGAGGAAAAGAAAAGGTTTGTTAGTGAACCAATAAAAGGGGTATTTAGGCTTTTCTTTGCCTACCCTTTGAATTGCTGTGATTTATTATTTATTTACAAGAATTTATAGTTTGCTTATGAGGTCCTTCACCATCTGTCGACACTCTTCTTCACTTAGGTATTCTGAATGTTGGATAGCGTTTGCAATCAAGATAGTCACCTTGGGTTCCTCAGAGTTGATCCAGACACGACCATTCATTCCAACTGCTATTTCAAAAGGAAAATGTTCTCCCAGTAAGGTCAGCATGGGTGTGTTTGGATTCAGTAGTCTTCTACACAATCCCAAGGAACAATTGAATACATATCCTCCTACTAATTCACCAAAGCCGTCTGCTTTTCCAGTTGTAGGGTTAACACATTCAAGTTCTGATTCCATATCACGGTTAGCCATGGATACTCTGCAGTAAACTAAGGAGCGAACTTGTATATTAGGTTTGTAACGTTTGGTTGCATTTTCAAACGCCAACATGGGCAGCACGGCAGCATGGGCTGTACCAATATCAACACGAAAGTACTCTCCCAATTTGGCTGTCACTGTACCAATGACAGATTCACCTGTTGATGCAATGTACTATAATAAAACTAAGTATGGACAATCACTTTTTGATGTTAATCTTACTCTCTTTTGGTTGCTTTCAATCCACCATCGATTGCCTGATTCTATGTGTCGCAAAATGCCAGCCTTTGTCGCAACCACGTCTTCTCCTTCTTGTCTTAATCCAGGTCCTAGCACAACTTTAGATTCAGTATCAACTGAAATCAGATCCCCTGGCAGAACGATGTGCAAATCGACATCCATCATTCAATCAAACGAAAAAGAAAGAAAGGAAAAAAAAAGAAGAGAAATATTTTCTTTTCTTTCCTTTCTTTCTCTTTCTTCATTCTTTTTACGTGGACTGTTTATCTTTTTTTTTTTTCTGGGATGGATCTTCAAGACAAATATCCTAAATGTCAAGCTTATCCACCAGTACCTAATTGGTACACTTCCAATGTCACTGCTATTATAGAACCACACTTTTTTGTGTATGCAACGCGTAACATCCTTGTCATACTTGGCTTAAAAGACTTTCGATACTTCAATTCTATTACAGCAGCGAAGGAAAAAATAAATGCCATTGATGCCCATGACGTCTTTTGTTATGTGGGAGGCGCGGATAAAACAGTACGTGTTTGGAACATAGTAGCCAATTCTTTGACCACTTCACATGCAGTACATAAAGTAATACAAACACATATACACGCACATACACGCATACAGACATACACTTTACACAAAATAGTTTAAGTTGTACTAAATACACACTGTATTAGGCAGAAATAACAGCACTCAAAGTCATCAGGAAGGGAACAGTTATCATTTCTGGAGACAAGACAGGCAGAGTTGTTGTCGCTGAGGCATTTAGAAAAGATCAAACGATATCAGCCAAGGTGAATTCAGAAGTGACTTGCATTTCTACCGTTCATTGTGATCACACAGATTATGCAGCCATTGGATACGGAAATGGCATTGTTCTGATTGAGGAAATAGCAGAGAATTTAGAATTAAAGACAGTGTATCAGCTCAGTAGTGAGAATGATCCAATCATGTCTATTGATTGGCAAAAGAAGTTTTCTGAGGGTCGGTGGCCGTGGTTAGCCTACAGTACAAAACGATTGAAGCGCATCGTCATTTATGATATCCCCTCACAGGCAGAGGTTGCACCGATTCATTTACCAAAACCGCCTGCAAAGGCCACGGGTCAACAAATATCGTCAGCTTGGATCGAAGTGTCGTGGTCTCCTTGTGCTGAGAATAGGCTGTATGTAACAAGTTATGTTGGAACGATTCTCGTGTTTGATGTTGCTCCAAAGGCAGCCAGAATACGTAATCAAGAAAGAATGGAAAATCATAGTCGTAATGTGTTTTCTATCAACTGGTACAATGGAGGAACGAATTGCATCACCACTTCATTAGATAGTCAAGTCATAAAGTGGAATGTCAACAATCAAAAGTGCCTGCAGGTGATGAAAACTCACGCGGCATTTCCATATGCATTAGATATATCCCCTACCGCACCTTATCGATTGTCCATTGCCATGGGCGATAATGCCATAAAGCTATGGGATTTTCAAAAAAATGAATCTGTCATGGGATCAAAGGGAGAAAATCATAACTATTACACTAGCTCTATTGTTTGGAAGGGCTTACAAGGAAAGACGTTAAGGGTTTATGTCGCATTACTTCTTGTTACATCCTCAAGCTAACCCTTTTTTATTATATAGATTTTATGTCATCCTTCAAAGGAAGGCCTAGTTGTCTTTGGAAATGAGTATGGACGTCTTGGTCTTTATGACACTTTGAATCAACGATATACATATTTCAAACAACTCTACAAATCAATGGAGTGTCCAATGATCGCTTGGGGGTTTGATCTATCAACTTGTCTGTACGATATGGAAATGACAGACACACTGATAGTTTGTAGCAGCAACGATGTCAGCATTTATGTCTATAATATCAATCAGCTGAATCAACCAGCTATCATGTTGAACGATATTTTAGAGCAGCGTAATCCTTTGTGGTATGGTACTCTCAAATCCAAGAATCATGTCCATCGAACTTGTATGGCAGTTGATAAAAAGTGTATAGCATTCGGTCATGTGGATGGGGTTGTTGAAGTATATTATCGCAGTACATTACAACTGGTGTATGTGTCTAACTTTCATCGTCAAAAAATAACGGCAATGGATTGGAAAGATGATTATCTTGCAACTGCTTCTGAGCAAGGCATTGTAGCTATTCATGATTTAACAAGCCGAGTGGCAGACAGTGCAGGTAATGTTCAAAAGACAGATCATAGATGAAGACTAACATAATATATAGGTACGGTCTTACCTACCTCCGTAATTTACAAGTCTATGCAGTGCAGTCAAAAGGCCATCACTGTTTTGAAATGGACGCATGAGCCAAACAAGCATGTCTTGGCTGCTGGTCTTCAAGACGGCCATATTGTTGTATGGGAAATGGATAAAATAATCGCTGTGTTTGATCAGCATCGAGCATCCATTTTATCCATCTGCTGGAGTCACTGTGACCAACATGTCTTATTCAGTAGCAGTGAAGATAGGTTTATATACCAATGGAGCTATATGGATTATAAAGTGTCGACACCCATAAAGTGTAAGCGTGATCTAGTATGGTTTTTTGTCATAAACTGATTTATTATGTATAAAAAGTCGGCAGCTCTTTGTACGATAGAGAAATGACCAGAATAAATCAACATGGCAGTAAGAACAACAAGCGAAAGAAAGATGGGCAAATGGATTCAAGACCGTCCGATTTGAAAAAGCAAAAAGTAATGGAAGTCAACAAAGACATGATGATCTCAACATTGCAATCGGAAAAATCGGCCAGCAGGTTGAATAAAGAAAGAAAATGCATGTATCTGGCCAATGTGATGTTTGATGGTCGAATTGAAGCAGTGATAAAGGAGCTGATAATGGTTGAACTTAATGAACAAGAGCGATCCGATCCATTAGTTAATCAGTATGCGGGCATATTTACAGCAAGTGATAACCATGAACCTGATATATATGAATTCTTATTCGGAGACAAGGAGGATGCCTTTCAACTTGCTCGAATTGAAGGTAACATCATAGATAAGTCAACCAAGAGGCTAACCGTTGTTTTTATAGAAAAATCAATCCAGACAAAAACAAATACTCAATCGATCAATGATATGAATATTGGCTTTGACAAACAATTGGCAATGAACTTGATGCTTTCCCAAGTAGATACACTCTTTAATGAATCCAAGAGTAGCATACTTGATTGGATAGTGTTAGCAATGAGCCCACAAGGTAAGGAATTGAAATGGAAAATGAAAAGATATCATGTGCTCATATAGTATATATATTAGCTGGTAAGGATGTCTGGATAGACCTTATGAAAAAGCAAGCAAAAAAGATGGAAAGAGAGAATCAGTATCACTTGGCAGCAAGTTGTTACATTGCATGTTCACATATTTATGATGCCATTGAAATATACCAACGATATAGTTTATATAGAGAAGCTATTATTCTAGCCAAGTTAAGATTACCCAAGGATGAGCAGTTGTTGAGCGAACTGTACTTGAAATTAGCAAGTCAGTTTCAAACAGGTGAAGAAGATCAGCTGGCTGCTATTTGGTAAATATTCCATGTAGTAAAGGCATGTACAACCTTACTGACGTTGCTATAGTTACTTACTATCCAAGGTGCCTGGGTCGATTAATAATACAATTGATCTTCTATCGAGGACAAATCAGGAATCGGGTTTATTTTATTCGCTTTGTTTATCAGTTGTAACAGAGAACAGTGATATATCTGAACAACGAAAGTCAAAGTGGATAAAAGTATTAAGGGAGCGTATTGCTTGAAAGTAAGGCTTTGTCATATGCAATATTAAAAAAGATATTCATTCTATCCTTGATTTTATTTTAATGTTCTTTTTTTTTTTTTTGCTGAAACCACAAGTTGTCAGTAATATAAAAATGAGAACACACCTTTGTAAATATGAATTGGGAGGATGACTGCAACCTAAGAGACATAACTGACTTTGAATGCTATGCATACAGAAATACAATGGCATTGCTGTTGTACAAGTTTCGGTTAAATGAATGATCCTCGGTTATGTTTAAATCAACGGATAAAAAAAAAAAATACCAAATATGGGCATAACATTTTTTTTAATATTAAGCATTCTCGGTAATAAATGAAACAGCGGGTTAAGAATTGTCATTAGCTGTAATAGTAATGAGGTATAAATATAAATAACAGTAAATGATGATAATAAGATTATAATTGTGCATATAGTAGTAATAGAATGCGTAGACGCCCAGAGATTATCCTAATGGAGAACAATATGCCGCTATACTATAACATCAGCTGCTCTATGCGTGAATTGAAAGAGGGTCTTGAAAGAAAGGCCAACGACTAAAAGCAAGATTGTGTCTATACAACAGCTTAGCTAGCATAATTACAATTCAATAATGTATACTTTACTAAATGTAATTTTCTCCCATGGCTCCATTACATAAGCGCCACTAATTATCTCATACTGGAAGAGCTTCTTCTTCATGTAGCCCTGTAATTCGAGTGTATTAATCATCATTAGAATGAAATAGAAAAAATCCGTGCATGCAAGCAAACCCTTTTATGTGATCATTTAAATGTCCGATATGTTACACGCTTGCCTTTCATCCCTGTTATTTTTATCCGAATCCGATATCACCCAGGAGTAAGATATGAGACAGATTGAAGGAGGGGGCAATTGTTCATAAGCTGTATGCTTTGTTATCGATAAGTGAGCATGATACACTTTAATCTAGCGTAGATAATGGGTAATAAGAGCAATTCTGCTGTTGGTTTGGCAAAATAGGCGTCTTCTTAAACGGAGTGCTCATAGATATAAAATCGTGATAGAACCGTCAAGCCCCATTTTTAACAACATTGATAGACCCCCCAGATGCGGCAAGTACCGTGGAACTCTACCTAGGGTCAACTTAATAAGAGGGAATGTCTCAATGAAAGCCTCTTATCCAGGCATTTCTGTCATGAAATAGAATCACATGTATTAAAAAAAACTATACAACAAAAAATACTCTTATTATGCAATTTTATAAAATGAGAATGATGTTTATTTAATACAGATATGAAAAAAAAGTTCTAATTGGATGGGTTATAAAAGCCGACAGATTGCCAATGCTTCAAATACTTGTTGAACAACTCGGCATCAATGACTGGTGATTTACCAAGGACAGGAGTAGCTTTGCATGTCTTGGTTGTTTCCCAAAGTGGCATTACTAAACCGGACTTGAACATATCCTCATAAAAGGACATAAGACGGTAAGCAGGGTTGGTATCATCTTTAGAGAGAGTTTCAGTCCATTCAGCTGGCTCTACGATTTCAAACTTCATTCCACAAGAACTCATGGCCTCAAGGATATCTGTCCATTTGATGTTGCGTGGGTTAACAATATGGTATATAGAGTCATCTAAACTAGAAGGAAGACATGAGGTACGAAGCATGATGCCAACCATGGCAGCAGCAGCATAGTCAACAGGAATCCAATCAATGTTGGTATTAAAGCGAGGCATCTTGTGCATCAAGGAACCACCAGCGACAAACATCAAAGGGAACTGTTCAGAAGTATTCCATACACCATTTTCAGCATCACCACATGCTTGTCCAAGACGCTCAACGTAACAGGGGAAATTCTTCTCCTTTGTGAGGTAATTTAAAAGCATCTCACAAACAAACTTGGAGTGAGCATAACCCATAGGCATGGCAACATGAGAATCAAATCGAAGAGGCTTTTCTTCAACAACAGCGCCAGAAGCAGCACTAGCACTAATGCTGGAGACAAAGTAAACGTGCATAGGATTAACTTCTCGGTAGGCAAACTTGAGCAGGTTGTAAAAGGGGCTAATACATTCTTTGTCGTAATGACCAATAGTCATATTAAAGTCCAAGAGCCAAGCACAGTGCTGAACAATAGTCACTTCATTACGAAGCTGCTCGTACTTTTCCTTTGTCAATCCAAGATATGGCTCGTTCATACGCATAGGTAGTGCTTCTACACGATCAGAGTTTAGCAAGGAGACATCAAGACGGCGAGACTTGAACGAGCTAACCAAACGTTGACACAGGTCTTCTTGTTTACCACGAACCAGACAATAGATCTTCTTCACAGAAGAGTCCTTCAACAAGTCCCGCAGCATGAATGAACCAAGGGACCCAGTAGCGCCCGTAAGTAATACAACCTTATCTTGTAATTCGTCGTAATGCTCCTCAGCCACAGGGAAATCAGTCTTGGCTCGTTCGATATAGCGCTTGGCTAATTCTTGAGCTTCTTGGTACCTTAATTCCACAAGTTCAGCAGCATTCATTTGCTTGTTGGACGACAGGACATCACGTATAGCAGAGATAGAAGGGTTTTGGAACAAAAAGTTCTGAGGAACATTGCCAAACTGCTTAGAGATCAGGTTACGAAGCTGGATAGCTGTCAAGGAATTGAGCCCTATGTCAAAAAGAGATCTCGAGTAATCATTGAATGTAGATTCAGGCAAACGAAGAACCTCAGAGGATGCTTTGACCAAAAAAGATTCGATTTGTTCAGGTGTAGCGTTGTCACCATCGAGTATCCCATTGGAACGAGGGCCTTCAAGAAATTCTTGGTACATTTGGTCAACCAAGTCCTTGTAAATTGCTTCTGCTTTCTTTCTCATCACAGTACCCTTGTCCGTTGATGGCAAATGCTTGCTGAAGGGAAGGATCTTAACCATCTGAGGTAGAATAGTGCTATGGCTGGGACATTCTTTGTTGGCGTCCTCTACAGCTTCATGTACAGAGCTGATGATCTCTCTAGGCTCGTAGTTCATGGCATATTCAAGGTCAACTTCAACAAGGGCAGCAGTACATTGACGACCATGACCAATGACAGCAACTTGTTTGACCATAGGATTTGAGCGAATAGTGGACTCCATGGGTACAGGGTTCGTCTTTTCACCATTTTCCATAATGAGGGTATCATCTCGTCTTCCGACATAGATGTAGAACTCAGGGTGATCGGGGTCTTCTTTGAATAAGTCATTGCTGTCAAATCCTCCATCAGGACGATTTGCTACACCAAGAGCCATGGTAGGAGAATCGTGGCGAAGGTACAAGTGTTTTAGACCATCACCAGCGTCTTCAAAAACAAAGTAAGGGTTACCATCGGAATCATTCAAGTAGGGGCCAAGTGAATACCAGTTATCACTTCTGGGGTTCAGATTAGAGATCAAGGCCACGCCCATTTCGGTAGAGCCGTAGAGATTGCGAATATTGATGCCGTGGGAGTAAAGCCAGTCGCCTGCCTCACGCTTGAGAGGAGCACCGCCAAAGAAAACGTACTTGAGTCGACGGACAGCAGAAAGGTCATTAGACTCCTTTAAGAAGGGGATCATTTGCTCAAGGATAACAGGGGGTGCAGCCAAGACAGTAACCTTGTTTTCTCGAAGGGCAAAGTCTATTTCCTTTTGTGAAGGAGGAAGTCTTTCTAAAAGCACTGTACTTGCTCCAGTCACTACAGTATGTGTCAGACCGAATACACCAAACAAGTGGAATCTACAGAAGATGTCAGCAGATGCTTTGTAAAAGTAACTTTTACACTTACAAAGGAAGACAGTAAAGGTGAACGTCATTTGCATCACCCAATTGTATATTATATTTCTCTTTATAAATATCGGGAAAGCAGGTAATGTAATGTAAGCTTCTGTTACTGAGGTATATAGGCTTTGGGAAGTTGGTTGTTCCAGAGCTATTTATGGTGTTGTTAGCATAATGACGTCGATATCCCTTTTTTGAAATGTTACCTGTGTATGATCAATGCAGCCTTCTCCAGATCTGCATCAGTAAACTCAGAGTCTAACAATTTGTCATGTTCAGGGTTAAGGGGTTCCAAAAGTAGCTCTTCAATATTGAGCGGTTCAATAGCGATGACTTCTACACCACCCACCTTGGCAGCAGCACTCTGAGCGGTCGACTCGTGTTTGACCGTAGTCAGGAACAACTTGGAGTTGGTCTTTTCTAAAAGGTTGACAATAGCAGGTTCAGAGTTACGGGGAGAAACAGCAAGTAGAGTTGCACGTAGCTTCAAAAGAGCGAGCATAATGATAAGATAATCAACGGAATGATCACCTATAAGAGAGATACATTCAAGACCCTTTCCTTTAGCAGCCCATTTGCAAGCAAGGTTTGTAGTGATTCGATCACATTCAGCATATGTTAAGGTCTTGTATGTATTGTTGAAATAGTAACGAGCAAAGATTCTATCAGAATGAAGTTTGCACTTGGTACGAAAGAGATCGATGAATGCTTTGTAATGGTTATTGGCAGACTGTTCTGATGAGAATTCAACAGCAGAAGACATTGTATATTAATGAAATAAAGAATTAAAATGAAATGACATAAAGATGGCAAGGGTTTATATATACTTTGGTGTATGCTTAAATGTTTTTGAGATTTACTGTTTCGGTAAAATATTCTAAAGGACTTGAGCCTAAGCCTGGAAAAATTATTAAGATCCATAATCCGCATGAAAAGTTTGTGGCACAGGGGCAATCACGATTTCAGACATGTCTACTACGGCATTACATTAATTATGGTAGTTGGGAATGAAATAGTAAAATGAATAAAAATTGTATATACCGAGATACAGCTTTTTTGATAATTACGCCTGACATAAACTCCCTTTATCATACACTGTCTTTTCCTTTATGGCATATGCAACCTGAACATGACATAGCATAAGACGTATTCTTGTCACTCAATATCCTTTTTAAACAAAGCTGCTTCAGCCAATGAAATTCGTCATATTACTCCAAAAATGAACATATTATCTATATTTGGATATATTAAGTTGTTTTTTTCCATGGTTTTCTACACTAAAGAAAATTAAAGATATTTGGATATATGGCGTTTAAATCATGTCAATCCTTCCATTAATCTACTGATGCATATCTATCTGATTCCTTTTTGATTACAAGGGTAAATTATTACGGATAAATACCTACTTCAGACAAGCCTCTGCATTATTAATTTCGGGTGAATATTTAATACTTGTTCATTGTTACTCTGCAGAAAAAAAGTATTGGAGACTTAAAACAGTAAGTGCTATGTGGTACACTCCATTAATGTATGCCTTGAATAGGTGAAAATGATCATTCAAGCGAGTGCATGAGTCATAAAGCTTATATTTCCCAGAGTTTCTGCTTGTCCTTATCGGGTATTGTTTCATCTTTCATTTAATCAACACAGCGTCAAGATTCCTATAATTTACCCAGACGCTGAAAATCAAATGGAAACGGTAGGAAATGAGCCTTTATTAATACAATCACTTTAAGTTTTGCTTACTGACGTCAGCGGATCCACGTGCATGGAGCTTTTAGACCTTTGAGTCACATTAGATAAACCAAGTTCTAATTTAACATACTTTTTCATTCAATGAAAGATTAGACTGTAAAAATCAGTAGCATCTATAGATTGCATTGTCATAGCTAACACGCATTTGTCCTGCATTGATTCTATTCCTTTTCCATCGTATCCCAATATGACAATACTTTATCCCTTAAAACTAAATGTCCCAGCGGCCTGAGATCTTCTGCAGGATCATTTTTTGTCATTTCGACATACTTTAAGCCCTCACTCTCTCATAATTAACAATATGTTGACAAATTTTTCTATTATGATGTGTTGATTGTACGTTTTGACCCAGTGATAATTCGTCGTCTACATTAAGCATCCACTTACAGGCTACAGTAACAGAAATTTTTAGTTTGGTTCATTTACGGGTTCATTCAACTATATTATACTTTGTGCACACAATTGAGGCATTAAGAACACTTAAAAGACTTATAGTCAAATACATTGAATATATATTGCTGTGAGAGCTAAATACAAACGGTTACAGTATGCTTCTTAGCTTATGACTTGCTATGGCTTGGATGACAGTAACAAAGACAGAAGAGCTTGTAAAACTTGTAAGCTCAGGACTTAGTGTAGTAATTAATGCTCAGTTTTTGTGGAAGAGAAGAAAAATTAATCAAATCGCTGTCTCATCCAGCATCAGAGGAAGCAGGCTACTCGGCTTTCAGGCAGCTGATCAAACATTTTTCCAAAAGAATAGGAATCAGCTCCCCTCAACTTGGGGATGTTGTCAAGCTAGAAGGTTCGCGTGAGGAAAAAAGAAAAAAAAGGCCTTTTTATACTTTTTTTTTGTTGCATGGTGGCTATTGTTATGTTACTGCTTTTACCGTGAGAAGGATCATCTTTTAAAGAAGTATATCCTTTTATATAAAGAAGTAATGATTCATATTCAAAAGAGAGATTCTATTTAATTTGACTTATCACTAAAAGTGTGTACATGTAATCTTATAATGTATGAATTCACTCTATTCATACTGATTACAATCGTTTATCTCAATGTCAGTCCTTAAGCAGACATTGTTCTACGACAGCTATGAACAAAGCAAATCCTTCTGAGTTTCAATTTTTTATCTGCATGAATTTTAAGGAGTGCGGCCCTTATGATGCCTTCTTTTTGAATGATTTGAAATGTGCAACCATTTACTTACATTATCATAGAGAACTCATAAATACCAATAAAAAGCTATTAGGAAAAAGATATTTCATAAATACACTGAGCAAAATAAACCATAATCTTCTAGTGTGCTTACAATTTCTTATTTCTAAACAAGATAAAATCATGAATGTAACAATGTTTCTTTATTAAATAAGTCATTTTAGAAATATATGACATTAATGATTGAATAAAAAAAGAGTCTTAATGACATAATTTATCATGTATGAGCAAATTGTTTTGTTGGTAAAAAAAAAAAGGATAAAAAGGGACAGATCACAGAAATAATAAATATCAACATATATATCTCAAATCTTATATTTAGGTCTTTGAATCGATTTTTATGCATTTAATACCGTTTGAGCCATACTTGCTATAGCTATGTGGATATTTTTAAAAGGAAAGCAAGCCGCTTTATTTCTAACTGTACATTCAGACAAGCAATTCAGTATAATTTAATGATCATTCTTGATGAGATTAGACTTTCTAGCTTGCTTAGGTCTTCTTGAATACGATTGAGAATATATTCAGTAGAAAAGTTTATTCATTATATATATATATATTGAATTCTCTTTGCTAAAATTTCCTAGATATACTCCAATTCTTTACCTTGCACATATATTTTTCTTGAGATAGTAAACATTTTGCTTTAGCTTTCATTCAAGTAAAAGACATATGACTTGTATAAAATGAACTTTGTATTGTTTTAGATTGAATGAATGCATAGATTGTATACAGAGCACAGATTTGCCTATATGTGTTATATGAAAGTACCTGGCATATCCCCTTTTCACTTAAATATTCGATCAGAGTATGTTTTACCAAATAAAAAAGTATTTAAAAATCATAAGAAGCATTCGTTTAGTTTATTGATTCAAGCAATAAAGACTTGTAAAGTATGGATATAAATATCCTTACTTCATCTGAACTCCGTGACATTAGTTACGAGCGGGCTTCTTGGGATGAGGAGCAGGCTTAGTAGTGTGCTTCTTGGGATGAGCAGGCTTTTTTTTATGGTCAGCAGGCTCCTTTACTTCACGCTTGTTCATTTCATGAGCAGCCTTCTTAGATGTAACGTGCTTCTTTGGGTGAGCAGGCTTCTTAGTAGTGGTATGCTTCTTAGGATGAGTAGGTTTCTTAGCGTGGGCCTTCTTGAGAGATCTCTTTTCAATAGAACTCTCATACTAAATCAAAAGCAGCATTGTCAGCGTTATATGTCTAATTTTAAATAAAAACCAACTTACATCCAAGCAGATTACTTCACCTGGCTTGATCTTGTCACAGTCAAAGTTTGTATTGATCTTCTTGGTCCACTCAGACAGATTATCCTTGGTAATGCTATGCTTACTAGCGATTGATTGGCAACTATCCCCGTTAACAACTATAATAATGGTGCTTAGAGTTCATATATAAGATGGTATACAGATACTATATACCTTCATAAGTCTTTCGACAGTGAGGTTGATCCAAGGCTTGAACAAGACCAAGGACAGAGAAAGCAGCGGAAGAGATAATAAAGAGCTTCATGATGAAAATGTTTGCAGAAGAAAGGTTGATGAGGAAAGCTGTCAGTGTCTACGATTCTATTCTTTTATATGCATGAAGGAATATCTATTTTTATCTACGTGTAACACGATCAATCCTAGGTGCTGGAACCTCTTGGCGTATGGGCTTCATTTTAATTAAACAAGTCTGTCAAAGAAAGCTGCCAAGATCAAATATCAGATCTGTAACTATGACATGAACGAAATAGGAGATTTAGTATTACTTTACTATAAATGTACTTTACGAAAAACGGGTGTCCTGTCTTGTGAAACAAATGAAAAAAGAGAGAAAATGATCTAACAGATAATTAGGAGATTTTTCGTAACTTGGCCTACGCTTATGAATAGTCATGTTGAGATTTGTATGCAATTCTTTTGCAGTGTGTCGTGCATCTGCTTCATTCTCTCAAACATAATCGGACAAGATGTGCTGAGTTTGAGCAACTAGAGTTGACACAACTTGGCGTAAAGTTATGACATTAAATGACATCTATTCTGTCTTGGCATAATAAGTAACATTAATTAAATTCCTCTAAAAACTCCCTCACTTGATTATATGGTTGCATATTCTAATTTATCTTGGATTCATTCATAGTAAAGAAATTTAGGTGGAGATTATACTACTGCCTTAGGACATTTTATTTACATGTCTTATGTGCAGAGATTCATAGTGGTTGTATCACATAAGCATATACAAGAAGTACCCCTATATACTTATGACATCTGTGTAGTGTGCTATGTATAGCTCTAGGATATCTGGTTGCACGTTTAAAGTAACGCTCAAACTGAATTATTTTCGGTAATGTCGATACTGTCATATGTACACATGCTCTAAAATTAAAATAAAGCAATCTGACGATTTTATTGTAAAAGTATACATCAATTAGAACTCTATGTTTGACCTTACGCACTTTGACTGCAAACATGGCAACAATAATCTTAGTTAGATAGTCCTGATGCAGGTAATTCACCAGCTAACGATGCCGAACAGATATCTGCCGACTATTATTATTATTTTTATTTTTTGTGCTCCTTTGACTATCTGATATGTTCACTGGATGCTGATATATAATGGTGCATCTTTTCTTATCAGTATTTGTGCCTTAACAAACACATTCTCTTTTGTTCTTCTTACATATAAAAAACTCACTGCTTACTGTTTAATAAACTGTTAACCTGTCGGCTCCTACAAAAATACGACATGTACAACTTTTGATTCATGCACAGCTACAACCTACTACAGATCGTCCTAAAACGCACATATTCCCCTGAAACTTCGCATCTTTTTTTTTTTTTCTGGACGAATTTCGAGCATTTTTTGTGCCTCATATTTTTCTCAAGCCATACATATATATATAATGTAATTTACTGCAACATTGTCTTATTTACACTTTTTTTAATTCATTTTATTAGTATTGTCTATATGTATTTTTCGACTGTATACAAATCGGCAGGTATTTATGCAGACTGACTGAAACCCTTGGTGCTTCTGATGATTTCAGCTACTGAAAAATGCTTGCGTTTACTGAGTGGTCTACAAGCTTCGATACGCACTATATCTCCTAACTGACAAACTTCTTTTTCATCGTGTGCAAGATAATTTTTATGTGATTTAATTGTCTAAAGAACTGATGTTTAGTTTTTGATTCTAATGAACGATTCATACAAGTTTACCTTTCGAACAATAGGATGAAGTTTTTGTGTGGTTACTTTAACTTTGATTGTCTTTTGCATAGCATTGCTAACGACCATTCCAACAAAATTTTGTCTCATTTTATTCTGCTGTTCTTTGAGAGGAAAAAAAGGGAAGGGGAGCACTTCCTTTTGAAAGGGTGCTGAGTGTGTGTGTAGGGGGACGGATTGACATTATAAGCCACCTGGTGCAGCCTGTTTAAACCCTGTTTGTCCCAATTTTATATTTAAAATTCCGGTCACGATATCTTAGGGTAGCTTTAAAGTTGCTAAGATTTTAGCAGCCATACCAGATATTGAAAAGTACTTTGATATATTACTTTTCTGGATCATCTTAAAAGCAAAGATAAGGTACAATCAACTTATTTAAAAGCTATTCGAATCAAATAGCAATGTACTAACACATGATTTTTAACTGACGCCAACAATGGATAATCACGAAAGTAATAGGCACATAGCGTTTGCAATAAATAAATAAAAGTCTTGTTTATGAAATTGTTGTCAGTTTAATGCTTACTTGATACTTTTACCGTTAATCAATAAAGTCATGGTATTTTCAAATCCACTGTAGATGCCGAATGTTTTCGGCAAAACACTCTGTTGAGAGTGCCACGTTCAATGAATTAAATATTACAATAGGTTTATATCATCAAAAAGAACTCCATAAAGAAATTTCGATAGCTTTGATCTCTATAACTACAGACATCAAGAATATGTGGAGCGGCAATACCATATTTAAAAAACTTCTAGATCATCTTTTGAATGTTTTATTAAAATTACACTTGGCTGAAAGCAGGGCTGCAGAATACAGCGAATATATCAAAAACATCAAAGAGAAATCAAAATTGACAACTGTGGCAACATCATCAGTAAGCAGTTCTTTTTCTACAATTGACCACAAATGACATGTTCTTCGCTCAGAATGCAAAAAACTCAATATATTAGAACATGAATTAGAGAATCTTAACGATAAAGATAAAAGGCAACGTTATAAAAGAAGAATAACACAAGGTCATGATAGAATAACGTATTCCAAAAGTTTACCAAAGAAAACAGTTTCGGTAGGATTTCGTACAAATACAATGGGAAAAAAAACTTAGTTATTTATTTATGTAGTCTGATACTAGTGATGTAGAAGCAAGTGAAGCCAGTAACAATGATGAGGCTAGCAAGAAATATAAAGATGATGCTAGTAAAAGCCGTCTGTCTTCTTTAAAATCAGTTGCAAAACATCTTCTTTTATCATCTTGCATAAACATTACTAGAAACGACATTCAACGAGAGCTACCAGGTGCCACTGAAAAAGAGTTACAAGCACTGATACTAATAGTTCAAACATAACAACCTTACATCCCTAATAAACAAAATCACTTTACTGTAGCGTGTCAAATTCCCCTTTGTATCCTTGCCAATGACATTCTGCAAGTGACAGGATACGCAAAATTTACTCGTCAGCTCTTTCCTCTACCACGCCTCCCGTATTTGAATACCGTACAAGCCAATGCGCCATCCTTAAATCAAATGATTACATCAGGCCCAGATGCATTGCTTATCTCGGATTTTAACCAAAAAGCAATCAAATCGGTCGAATATGCTCGATCTAACAAGCTTCTAATTGTAAAATGCTAAATTCTAATTATTTGGCGAACACTTGTAAATAAACACTGTATTTTATATAACAAATGCTATATGTATTTAATACTTGAATAAATGACGCAAAAGAAGTAGAGTCATAAAGATGGCTTCATAAAAAGAAGTGTTTTATTCGGACTTCTTTTGAGAGCTTCTAAACAACTTGATATAAAGTTGCCTTCGTGCTGAAGGCGTTCCATGAGTTGTAGCCTTCACTAAAAGATCCAAGTATCGCTTAGAGAACTTGTTTACCTTCAAAGTGGTCAACACATTAAAGCACTTTTAGTCTTAATCAACAAAGCCTTGTGTTGGATTTGACTGTGCTTTACTGTTCTAGATTCTACATAATACCACACTGACGCCCAATTGATAGAGGAGGTTAATGTACTGCAATACCTTCCTTTTGGCCCATCTTGTTTACTCTTGTTTTATATTATATTTTATATACACTTTGATCCCAACTGGAACGAACAGTCTTCTTAGATTCAAACTTCAAAAGAATATTACAACAAGTGCTATAAACAAAAGAGTTGTTAGTTTTCATACCATTTAAGATAAAACTTAGGTGTGTTTTTTTTTTTTTTTTTTTTTTTTTTTTAAGAAATCTCTTTAGCAGCTTAATCGTTAATGAAAACAGATGTCAGTAGACGCGTTTTACTAACATCTTTCTTGGCAAACGTCGTATTAACTTTTTGTAAATAATAAAGAGAGAAGATTAGCAATGAAGATTGAATTATCGCGTATAAATGGAGGTTGTGCTCTGCAAAATAGAAATCATGATAACTCAAATTATAGTAAAGGTATTGAATAAAGTGGCACTAAGTTTTGATTATTAATGACTTTATCAAATATAGTCGTTAGCTCATAAGAACACTGATCCCGACTGCCGCTTTAAGATTTTAAGGTTTTCGGAGTTTTTGAACAGGTTATAGGTGACATGCATCTAGAAAAGCTAGATGCGTCACTCATCAAAGGCATATCTCTTGATCAAACTGAGTATGCTTTACTTACTAATTCATTAATTTATATTAAAAAACTTGGTGGTGTTATGCCTGGCTCAGACATTATCAATAAACAGGTGAAGGTCAGCGTTATTTTGTAGTCCGTGCAGTAGGTGTATGTTGTTTCTGTTGGCTCTTGTCTTGCACAGCTGCTGTTAGACAATTCCAAGTAAGGTTTATTTCTCTATCGTTCTGAATTTGATCAACGAATAATACATAGGACAACAGACTTAATCGTTATTAACCATGCCCTAAATAATCCTGATTTCATATCAACAGATGCTGCTTATAACAACGAGCTCTTAATAAAGACACATGTACAAAATGGACTCTAAATAGACAGCAAGTATTTTTATTTATTTTTTTCACGTAATAGGCTACTTTTCATAAACAACGCAACTTTTTCTTACTGCCACTATTTATATACCCCTACTATCAACACACATATACAATGTTTTAATTTCTTCTCTTTGATCTTGACTTTGACTTGCTACTTTTCGTACTATGATCGGATAAATTATCTTGTCTTTCGTTCTTGGTTGTATAATCAGACGCCTTTATACTACTGTTTTCCTTATCATCACTAATGTCAGTATCTGTCAGTTCGCTGCTTGTGATAGATGCCTTCTCGGCAGGTTCAAATATTTTTTTTTGAATAATGCTTTTGGCTCGTTTGATGGTATCGTTGTCTTGTTCGGCATTTGTGTTTAGTATTCCGGTAATAAATGGGTATATCTCTTGACATTTTTCCTTCCATCCCATCAATTCTGTTTCATCATCGCTAAGGAGTTGTACTATACATGTATTAAGCACAATGCCTAAAAGATATAAGGGTAGCTTACCATTGGATGATAAATTATCAATGGCTCTTACAACATGTCGAGTGATATCTACTGTTGCATGAGGTGATTGTCCAAGAGCAAGTAACGTTGGCAATATGTTGTATGCTTGTGTGTGTGATGATGATTCAGATATATTACAACCAAGCATGATTGAACAATTCTCCTCTATTAACAATCAAGCAAGTTAGGTAATACACTATCTACATCATATATATCACTTTACTGTAAAGCGCCAAGTTAGCTAAGCATCGTGCAACATGCTTATGAATCTCGACATGCGTAGGAAGGGCAGCAGGCACGTTGCAAATGTAGCGTAGTAAATGTGGTTGTAACATCAAATTAAGCTGAGATTCATCTAAGTTATATATAAGCTATCAGTGTTAACTGCTAAAGCATATGTTTATGCAAATCTTATTACTGTTTGTAGCAAAATTTGCCTAAACAGGATCTATGTTAGTCTTTTATCAGCATATGTTTCAGTTCATAATTACCAGTGCACAACAAGCATGTGAGATAGCTGCAACGTCTACAGAAGACTCTGTCGTTGGATGATCTGCATCGTCGGATGTATCAGTTGCCAAATAATACAAAAGGTCTTCTGATTTCGTCTTCTTATCCAGGTCATCTAGAGGAAGTCGAACAATGATGGAGATCAACGCACGAGAGCCTTCTCCACCAAGTAAAGATGACTTGTATTTATCTTGAAAAATCTTTAGTCTTTCCATTGTATCTAATATAATAACCCATATACCATTTCTTAGCGATAGATAAGCAACTGCTTTCGCTAAATACTTTCGAACTTCATTGTTGGATGACCGTAGTAAGCATGGAAGCTTGCCTGATGCTTGAACTACTTCAATAATGCTGCTTTGAAAGGATACCTGTGAACTGATCGCTGATATAGCCTTTGCTGCAAGGCTTTGAATGATATTGATTCTATCGGTCGTCTGCCCATCTTGTTTGCCTGATGATGCTAATTTGAGTAAACTGATGTCGAATGCGGCTAATACAAGCAAGCTTTCTAGTACCCCTTCATCAATGACTTCCTTTTGACTCAGAATTCCAGCTTTAGATAGCTGATAGAGTACATGTGTACAATTGATGAGTATCTCAAGAGCAAAATTTTGAGCATTATCTTCAGAGAGACTGGATATACTAGGAGCGCTAGAGTGATCAGACGAAGTTTCTTTGGGGTGATTGATAGAAGCATAGAGTTGGATTAATGAAAGAAGTGGAGGTAAAGCCCATTTGATGATGATGGCAGGACGTATAGATTCTAACCAAGAAAATGAATAAATAGTAGTGTATCACTATGTATGCATGTATACCCTTTTCTGCTAAAATTGCTAATACAGTTGTCGTAAGATGATGTAGTGTCAGATTTTTGGACGTTCTACAGACCCAAACTAGAGCATCTATACCACCATAGGCCACCATATTATGTAAATCTTTTTCTAGATAAAAACTCAATACTCTCCCTATTTCTTACTCTCTTTAATTACCATTATCTTTTTCGGCAAGTTCCAGTAATCCTCTGACTCCATGTATCTATTAAAAATGATAAGTTGAATTGTCCTCTTATAGGTACAAAATAATACCTGAGTAGACACACCATGATCTTGATCAATGATATAAGTCACAAGATACGCTACATCGAAGCAGCCATTACACACTCTCACTGCCTTGGTTCCATAGCCTAGTTGTGGTAAAGGTACTTTACGTGAAGAACATTCCTGACAGAATATGTTGCCACTGAATTAAAATTACGTAAGTCAAAGATTTACAAAAATAAAAGAATTGTACCAGTTTCGACAGTGATGCTAATGCAACGTAATTAGTGAACATGGCCAGATAAAATAAAAAAGATCATTACTCGTCTACGCAAAGGTCCAAATGCAGTGTTGCATAAGTAACAAAAGGATACATCCATATCATTAACCCAAGTAGGTCGAGGTAATAGAAATGTTAATCTATCGTCGTAAGGTTGCATATAAAATATTAAAAGTAAAGAAAAAAAAAGGACACAGGCACCAAAGTTATGCCATTATGCAGCGTATTTCAGGAAAGAGAATTTCAAGTGTCACGAGGCTTGCTATGACGCCAATATAGTTTCCAAATATAATACATCATTTTTTATTATTAATATTGTTATTATTGCTCTTTTTGTTCTTCATCATTTTGAGGTTCTTCTTCTTCTTCTTCGTTATCAGTATGTGCACTAGAGGGAAATAAAGTCAGTACAACAATAAGAATATGAATAACAAATACCTTTGACTATTTAAAAACTTGGCATCAACAACAGCTCCAGGAAATGTATACAATCCATTTCTCCAAAACTTGCATGGATTCTCTTGACTATATTTTATACTTTCTTCACTTAATGCACTTCCTCCAGGTAACTTGTGATGTTTTAGCTCCCAATTTAGTCTACGACATATTTCAGGGACAATGATATCACAATCACCAAGCAATTGTATATCAAATGTCATATGCGTGATAGGTGTACGATTAATCAGGATCTGAGGGACACTATGAGGTATTTGCTGCATGATCTCTGACACAGGAGACACTTTGAGTGATGAACCCATGACGATCAACAAGTCCACATGTTGAGTATCAAGAGCTAATAAGTTATCAAACTCTGAAGGCAGTCTTTCTCCAAAGAAAGTAATATCCTACATATCATATGTGTTAGTCCTTATGTTGTAAAATGCTCATAGGTACGTAACTGGTTTCATAATCGATACACCTCTTGGTCCTTCTTCTTCTTCATTCGTACCTTCCTTGACTCCACATTTTGGACATGGCGGTACTTGCTGTGCTATTATATAGCTTTCGATTTCTTTCCCATCCACTTTATATCCACACGTCACACAAGATGCAGTTGCAAAACTACCATGGCAGTTGACAACGCGCTTAATATCAGCTTTGTGCTCCAAAGTGTCTATGTTCTGCGTATAGTTCCTAAGCAACTTGCCCTTGTCTTCAACGAGCTTGACAAATAAATGACTTGGACTAGGCTCGTAATTGGCAGGATAAAGTTCCTTAGCAAACGAATAAAAGATCTCTGGAGTCTCACGAAAGTATTCAATGTCAAACATTTGCTGTGGATCATCAAGTTCGTATTCCTGTAGTCGGGAGTAAATGCCTGTTTCAGATCTGAAATCAGGTATGCCACATGATACAGACACACCAGCACCCGTGACGATCATGATGTTATTTGCCTTGGATAAGAGGTCAACTACGTCATCAAGTACGTTGACATAGTCCAATCGTCTTCTCTTTCGCAGGAATCGTGTAATGATACTCTTCAATATAGGAAGTAGTTCAATATCTGAAGCTAATAAAGCCGCCCTCGGATGCTACTTTCGCACATTCCCTCTTGATCATCAGTATGCGTATAATGTTATAATATTAATAATTCATTACCATGTAAAGTCCAAACACTTCCAGCATTTTGGGCACTGGAGTGGATGTTTGCAAGACATGCTTTTCAAGAAACTTCATCAAGCCTTTTTTTTTTAAAAAAAAAAGTAAGCATCAGATCAAACCTTATCTTCTTACTTTACCTATTTCTCTAGCCTCTTCACGTAGTTGTTCCATTTCTTCATCTGTAAAACTAGTCCAAGCTTTGTGCAACTTATCAAATTATTATAATTTCTAATGAATATGGTTCAATCCCATCCAAGTGTTTACCTTTCTGAATTTCTTCTTCTTCTATATTATCTACATCCACTAGACTATCATCATCTCTAAATAGTGCAGGATGAGCTAACAGACTTTCAATACTGTCCGTGTCGCTCTCTTCTTCTTCTTCTTCTTGTCCTTCAACCCAATCCCGATCAGATTCTTCATTGTATTCTTCAAGATCATAAAAGTGCATGCTGGATTCTTCATCTACGTGTGTACACCCTTAGACTATTTTTTTTTTGAGATATGCCTTATGTGTGTTACCTTGGCTTACTTTAGACTTTTTGATGACACGATCATCTTGAGTTTCAGTCTGAACTTCATCTTCCAAAACCAATCTCTTGTTTATAGAGGATGAATCGCTTGATAAGTCAGATGGTGTAATAGGCTGATTATTGTCTTGGTCCATCAGTAATAATACCCTTTTAAGGTAAAAGTGGGTAAGAGAAGAAAAAGAGAAAAAAAAGCTGGTGTGACTGTGTATGCAAGGGTTATAGGGGATATGTTGCTCTCTCACATACATAAGCCTTGCTTCATACTATGCAATAGCAATAATAGAAAGAATGGCTTTTTTTTTTCAAGCAACATCTAAAATATCATTGTTAAACTATCAAGATGATACGTTACTGCACTCACACACTCATACATACATACATGTGTATATGAATTGAAATGATCCATTGATCTCTCTCTCTTTCTTTTTACTTCTTTCACACTTGGCTTGTAGTCATGCCAACCTATATGCCTATGGCCCTTATAGTAGATACACATATATACACACACTTGCACATCAAAGCATAAAAAAGTGATGTTTTTTAGATCCAGGTCGGAAAGATAAAAAACGTCACTTTTTTAAGGCGTAGCTTTTTTATTATATCCAGGCTATACTTTCCTGTTCTTTTTATTTTTGTAATATGGGCATTTTCGGCTTTGGATCTAACAGCAACAATACCCCCAAACCAGAGGAAACTCAAGATCTTGACGACTTGTACTCACCTACCGGCCAATCAACCAGTTTTGAAGAATCATTTGGTCATGAAGAAAGTGGCTATGAAAAGATGCCTGACTTTATGTCCTCAATCACACTCGATTCAAACCGTCTTCAACCCATGTCACTCCAGGGTCTCGATTTTTTGCAAATAGAAGATAGTGCACCCGTCGGTTCTTCCTCTGGCTTCACACCTTCCCGTGGCTGGTCTGACGATTTGTGTTATGGTACGGGTACTACTTATCTGGCTGGTTTGACCCTTGGTGGTGCTTATGGTATGGCAGAAGGTCTCAAAAAGAGCTCAGGTGCCTTTAAAGTTCGTTTGAATACCACATTGAATACAATCACTAGAAGAGGTCCTGGTGTTGGTAACGCTGTGGGTGTTATTGCCATGGTGTATAACGGAACAAACTCGTTAATTGGTTATACCAGAGGAACCCATGATACATTGAATAGTGTGGCAGCTGGTGGAATTGCTGGTGCAATCTTTAAATCAACTGCAGGTAAGATGAATGCATAATAAGAGGGATCATTTCTCTGACTTGATCCTATTCTAGGTCCTAGAGCTGCTGGTATCTCCGCTGCTATTTGTGCTGCTGTTGCTGGTACTTGGTCTTTTATAGTTCAACTTCAACAATAAAAAAGGGAGAGGGAGGAGTCAATTCGATACACGAAATGAAATTAGATACAATCCAAGAAGAGAATTTTTTTTTTTTACTTGGTAAATTGAAAGTGATGTCTCTAAAAGGAAGGAAGGAGAAGGGAGAGAGAGGGGTTGATAAGGTAAAATTCTCCTTTTCTCGAAAGAGACGATCTTTGGTTGATAAAGAAGTCTTTTTGTTTCATATAAATACTTTTTGATCTAACATACACACAACCATGCTCATTTTAATTAAAAGGAGCAGAGGATGACTGATGACAGTGAGGTTATAAAAATAAAGCATTCCATGTTGAAGAGTGAACGCATTTTACCAAGGTTTCCATTATTACGAGCTTGGGCAAAATTGCAGAATGATACGTCCAATTCTTGCACATTCCGTTGTACTTCAAACTCATAACCGTCTTTAGCATGAGAATCATCAGTTAAATATTTAAAGAAGTAGAATAATGGGTATAAAGTAGTCATAAACTAAGAAAGAGCTTAATAAATGACAAAAGGAAGTACAAGAACTATAGCAGTTGTTATTTAGAATGTTATAGAGCCACACCAGTGTTCAAGAGGTGATTATATATGAATCCAGATGTAATAAGAATATCAATGCTGCATGATGCAACTATTATGAGTTAATCAGGCTGCTTAACTTTTCATATATGAAAAATAGCATTGAGCATTGCAGAAAATTAAAAAGTAATAGACAGGAGGAGCCTTAAGTACAATAAGGTGAGTGAGCAGTTACAGACAGAAACTGGAGATATGGATATACTTGAGAGTGCTATTGAATACAGTCAACCAGGGAGCAACAATGGATGTCAGTGAAAAGGTCATTGATACACATCCAAGGATGCACCTAGAAGAAACAAACAAGATGATCTATAGTCAAAGGTATAAACCAAATCGAGAACAAGGACAAAAGAGTGGTAATGTCATATGAGATAGGTATACAAAAGTAGCGGAAGAAGGAGAAGCAGGGTCTATGTAAATGCCTAAATAAGAAGAAGTGCTAGAACATATTACGTTCAGTGTGAGAAGATGCTACAAATCAAAAGATCAATAAAAGTGATGAATGACAATAATGAATGTGAGCTAATCCTGAGTCTTGAAGCAACCAAGCGAATGAGAACAGATACAATCAGCTGGCGCCTATAATAAATAAATCAAAGGAAGATACACGATAATGGGGCCACAGTCACCATCCTCATGCTTACAAAGATCATAAGTTAGCCATATCATCAGATACATGAGAAGAAGAAGAGCCAAGAGCCAATAAGAGAGCCTATTTAGGTAACCAAACCCACCCATCCATCTCGAAGGGCAGTTATTCTACAAATACCGGCGTTTGCTTTTTTTTTTTGTAGATATAAAATTTTACTAAAGTATCACACGTCGTGATGAGTGGTGTGTACTGAAGAATGAATTATACACTAAAATTAATCTAGCTCCAGACGTCCACAAAGGGGACCAGAGCTTACTTTTTGAGAAAGTTGGTGTATGAAATTGCTATTAATGTCGATAATAGTCGTGTCGCGAATTAACTTGATCATTTACCTTTATCGTCCTCCTCTTGCATTTTCCTCTTGGAAGATTTCATTGGCTTCCGGCCACATGCATATGAGCGTTGTCATTGTCATACCTTTTCATAGTGACATCCTTCAAATTCATCTCTTCAATCACGACCAATACACCCATCTCTTCGTTCTCTCTCTTCGATGACAACAATCATTTCTTCTTTCTTTTCGACAGCAGTAGTCATCTCTTCTTTCTCTTCGACCCCAGCAATCATTTCATTGTCCTCTTCCTCTTTATCTTCAACAGCCATACCATCATCGCTATGATAGTTATTTTCAATAACCACATCCTCGTGCTCTTCTTGCGCCTGTGCTTGGTCTTTTTCACAGATGATATGGTAGAAAAAATATTCTTCTTCGTAAATTCCAGACGTATGTAGGTCCATGACCTGCAAGTGTTTCTGTGGTATGAAATACACAAATTAATAGTGAGTGAGTGATGGTATACAGAATGACCATGTCTTGCGAAAGCCCTGTGAATTGCTGCTTCTTGTTTGACCCTGATTAAAAGCATAGCAGCTTGCAATCCCATAGGTAATATCTCGCCTAATTGGAATGAGATGTTCAGGTGTTGCGTGTACCATAAGAAGCGCTTCTGGATGTTGATGATCTTATTTAGCTTGGCACAGGCTAAGGTATATTCGTAGTTGATCATGAGTCGAGTGAATCAAATAATAAAAAGGATAAAGATCACTTTTATACCTTATCTTTTCGTATGTTTTTCCCAATTCATCCTTTTTCTATCTCTCTCTCTCTTGCTTATGATAAATTAACATTTCCCGCCTCCATATTTCCATAGTTACTCCGAAACAGATTCGAGAATATCATATATTACCACGGCTTCATGCCCAAAGTAGGATAGCTTACCTTTCTGTGAAATGGAAGCGCTGTTATATCTAAAGAAAGGAGTAATATGTGATCTGCATGCAGGCTTATTGTTCTTTTACATAATAAACAATTGTAATAGCTTCCCTTATTCAGGCACTTTTGATCACTTTTGTGTCTCTTTGTTCTTTTCTATCCTTTTCTATTCTTTTCTACTCTATTTTTAGGCAAATCTCTTTGATTATCATCAAACAGTTATCATGCATCTATGGTGAGCACAAAGTTACACAGTTTCCCATGGTTGCATTAACCCTATTTTACTTTTTTTTGACATCCTTCCAAACATTATAAAACGCATAGTAAATAGTTACTGTACACACATAGGAGAGCTATAAATGAGTAGAAAGTAAAATGACAAATGTTAAAGAAAGTGGCATATAAAACAACCTCTTTCTTAACGTCGATCCTTTATTGTATGGTTGACACTCCGAACAGACGACAATGAAAAAAGGGTTTGAAAAGGTGGCACAGGGTCATTCTATAGCAATATTGTACCTTTTGTTGTAGTCTGTTTCTGCGATACGATCAAGGAAGAACTGCCCTTTTGAATGGTAGACAAAGAATTTCAGCTATTTTTTAAGCAAGTAAGGCTTACTGTCTGTACATGTATGCTAAGAAGGAAGCGTAATGATAATCATGCCAAATTTTGAGTAACTACAACTGTGAAAGAGGATTACTCGAAAGTGACTACTCTAATGACTAGCTGATACTGACTACCCAGCTAAACCTAACATGTTAAAAACCAAGGCAGTATCATTATCCGATATGAGAATGAAATGATCTAGATGTGATAATATAAAAGTAGTAATAGACAATAAGATACAGTAAGACTGAACTAATCCTTTTTATTGATAAAGAGTGGTTCTTATTTTTACTATTCAAGCTTATTGTGGAATTATAGTTGACGTGGGTCTAACAGTTGTTCTTGGGTAAAGTAGCTTAATTAAAGGTTTCCTGGTTTTATTATTGTGACATCTGAATCAAGAAATTATGTTAAGTACTAGTAAGTGTTATTGTAAAGGTAATTTCCTTAGTTTCAATAAGCGTGAATTATGTTCGGATATGACACTAGAGTCAAAGAAGGGCATAGATATATCGATGAAATCTTCACTTGAAGATGAGGTGCGTAAATTAACGAGGAATTAGGGAAGTACAGCCGTCAGCTTTATGGTCGTAGTTAAACAACATATGTCAAGAAGCTTCCAACAAGTGACAATCTGACAATGATCACTTGAGACTTATTGAGGTATCATACTGTGAATGTTAACCCTGCTGCAAAATCCAATCAGAGTCTTTGGGCTGATTACCGCGTTAGTGCTGAATAAAAGCTGTACCATTTGTGTGCTGATATTTATAGTATTTCGAGAGTTCCTGAGGGATACTGATGCTAATTGCAGTCATTTGATGTATCCGTTTATTGTTTAACGAGAGAATAAGTTTGACATTGAAACCAACAAAGCAAAGTGATAGTTTTACGTCAATGGATATGAACAGGAATCGACAATCAGTTTGTGTGGCTGCCAGATGTACCCAATGAAAACAATGCTTCTGGAAGAAGAGGAGCATGACGTAAAGCTTTACACGTTTTGTTCCAAGGAGCGTCAGGACTATCAACCTGTGAGTCATCAGCAGTAAAAAATTGTTTCTAAAGAATAGCATTCGATTTTTACTATTAGGATCCATACCAACGAATTGAAATGTCGAGAAAGGATCAATAGCTTCC